ACCCCCCCCCCCCCCCCCCCCCCCCCCCCCCCCCCCCCCCCCCCCCCCCCCCCCCCCCCCCCCCCCCCCCCCCCCCCCCCCGGGTAATTGCCGCAGCTGACGATGCAATGAAACTAAAAGGGGTTGCTCTGCTCGCCGGGGTACGAGGTCGCGCGCTCGCTTGCTCGCTTGCTTGCTTACTCCATGAGATTCCACGGGTCGTCAATATTTGGGAGTGGTAGTTCTTCGCGAAGGGCTCTTCTATACGCCTGGTACATACAGCCGGTGCTTGGGGGACGGAGCGGTGTGGATACCCTGACGAGATATTGACGGGAGGATCTATATATTGTTATGCACGTTGATGTTTGGTCATGGACAATCGCCTCCGGGGTCGTGTTTGCCTATATAATCCTCCATTCCCTCTGTCCAGATTTCCCCGAACTAAGTTCTTGCCGCATCATCTCAGGAACTGCGATAGGTATTTTCCTATCCGACTGAGCTTACATCTTGGCCTAGAGAGCAACCGGCCAATACGTTCCGCTTCAGACTTCCTGAATTTCGTGCAGCTCTTGTTATTTCTCCTTATGGAAGTCAGACAGAAATCCGCTTTGCGATATAGCATGTCAACGGATCACGAGTTGAGCTGAGTTGGGTTGAGTTGAGTCGGACAAGGGTACGTAGGCATTGCCAGCCATTAGGTAGCCTGCCTCCCCTATTACTATAGGTTGAATAGATCCGAGTTGGCCATTAAAACAAGGACTTTCCTTCCGAGACCTTTCCAATACAAAAAAAAAGAGAGAAGAAAGAAACCCTCTGTATCACGACCTTTTACGACAACGGCTCTGAGGATGTCGTACGAAGGTACCCGTCAAAAACGGAGCGTCGCGAAGAACATCGGCGCACACTCGTATTTAGTCAAATTTGTCGACGCCATTAGACCTGGCAAGTACAAGTAAGTTGGAAAATTCCCCGGCCAATACAAAAGGAACCTGATTCTCGTCTTCCCTGTTAACACAGGTAACCTATATTCTTTTCGCTGGAGCTGCTGACCTTGTCGGCACATCAAATCGGCGGAGAAAAACTTGTTCCAGATCCAACCGCCTATTTCGTTACGAACGTGTCGCCCGCATTAGTGTACTTCCCGAGCTGCACGCGCGATGTAGTTTTGAATTATATCGCTATCGCAGCTGCTGTGTCTGAGGATTTCGTTCTTCAGATCCAATATCTCGTCGCGTAGGCTGCCTGCGTGTTCCTGTAACATCCGGTTTTGCTGGCTTAGCTCCCTTTCTCTCGTTTGCAATTCTGACATACTCTGCTTGGCTTTCTGCCGGCACTTGTGCGCGGCCACGCGGTTCCGCTCCCGGTTACGCCGGTGCTTGTTTGGCGGCATGGAGTCGTCGGCGAACCCGATGCTGCCGTCTGGAGATGGGGGGGTTGGACCATTTACCGTCCAATTCAGCGAAGATCCGGAGCACGGGGATAACCCCGACATGGATCGAGGCGAAAATGTGTTGGTCTCAGAACTGCGCGAAGAAAACCGTCTACGAATACTCTTTCGCTTCGTTAATACTGGCGTGGAGTCATTAACGACCGTCTCAGTATTGTTTGGCAGGTTCGTGTGCTCAGCAAACGGGCCACCTAAGGTGGGCTGAACAGATTGTCCCGACACTTGGGTGTCTGGATATTGATCGTAAACAAAAACGTCTGCTCCTGCAGTGCTGTCATCAATATTGTACCCAGACTCAAACTGAATTGGTGGTTAGCTAGATGGGATGATGTGATCTGATACGACGGGGGCTAGCACGATGGTTCGTAGAACGGTAAGTAATTGTGTATCATTGTGTATCAGATGAACTGTAGAAGCGTCGGGAAGACTGAGATAAAAACACTAACGTTACCACTGGTATCTAGCTGGTGTGCCAGTTCGTCCCGTACGGTATTGGGACTAGACCTGTAATATTCGTCTGAATTGTTACCTGGACTAGCCCATAACTGAGGATCGGAGACAGATATGCCTTCACCGAAGGGAGATGTGAACATAGTTGAAGTCCAAGAAGTTGGAACTTCGTCTGACCAATCGCCGAATTTCTGCGAAAGTTCGACTGTTGCGTTCATAGTTTTTGGCGGGCGTCTTTACGACGATATGAAGTGTAGTAGTAGTTCTTCCGTTCTTACGATGGAGTTGACCTTGTAGGTATGTGTTAATATGTTGGGGTGTAGATAGGTAAGCAAAAGATACTGAAAATGTTCTGTAGGAGGTACCTAACAAACAGTTCAAAGATGGGGATTGGTTATGAGGTTTTTGTCCGAAAATGTAGAGATGAATCAAGTTGTTGAGCACCTGTATGAGACGAATGTGCGAACTATGCTGACTCTTTTGACCTTTTTGTGGAGGTGAATCATCGACCGGTCGTGTTGATAAGCTTCGACGGAGTAGTTGTATTAGACTTAGGTCCCCGAATACTGGGATGCTGGAACGTCATAGCAACGGGTCACTGATGGTCAAGACGGTTAATAGCGATGGGATTTACTCGGCATTAAATGTGTTTGCACTAGGGGTAATATACACGATCATGATGGGGTTCTAGGAAGCAGGCAAAGGTCGGGATTAAGCTGTCACAATCGTGCTAATACTTGTCATGGACTACCTAGGTATTGTACCTATGTTAGATATTAAGAAGTGCAGTTCTATATTGCCTGGCCGTGGGCCGTGGCAATAATAGCAGTTATGCACGTACCTTCGGACTGGGCTCCGAGCGGGCTATAAGTGGTCAGTCCGATATAACGGGAAGCGAGCTTTGTACACCGCTTGCGTAAAGATGCGATGCTAGATGCTAGATGCTAGACAACAGAACACAGGGAAATGCACAAGAAAAGTGTGGCAAACGAGGCACCTGAAGTGTGGGGGATAGATCCAAAAGGGAAAAGGGGGAAAAGGAAAAGGAAAAAAAGGAAAAAAAATATTCAAGAACAGGTTTCTTTGCACACAATAAAAACGAACGACCTTATGATCACGCCATAAATTATCTTAAAGGCATTTATTAAACACATCCCAAAAGACATCAACATAACATAGTAAGGCAAACGATGTAATAAGCGATGCTGCTCTTAAAATACCCCCGTAAAATGTCTACATCCTAACATATTCGGCTGACTTGAGTCAAAATTCATATCAGCTCCTCTTATTTTAGCACCCAACTTAGAACAATTTAGGACATCTCATCAGCTATCATCCCTGCCGAATAACTTGGCCTTTAGTCTTTACTTTAAACTTTTTTTTTTTTTTTTTTTTTTTTTTTACGTAGTATAACGAAAGTCACTAGTAGCTACCTAGTTAAAGTTAATGCATGGTTGACAATGGTTTAGCTCTACCCAGACTCCTTCATTTAGCTAGCTTACCAGGCCACCTGTCATACATACTGTAAACTTTTCTTTGCCTTTAGTTTTTTTTATCCCCTTTCCCTTTTCCTTCCAACGCCCGTTTAAAGTCACCTTCGCAAATTTTTTTTTCTCGCCTCCCGACCAGGAACGGCAGTTCTACTTGATTGGTTCGGTATCGATTCCAGAGATTACATCTCGTACCGTGTCCGCTGCAAGCAGCATGATACCGGTCACCTGTAGAGGAAAAATAAATAAAGAGATTATTAAAAAAAAATAAAAAGGAAAAAGACGATGTTCGAAGGCAGGGAGCACGGAGAGCCTCCGGCCCAGGCCATAGGCAGGATATCTAATAACACCCCGACCTCTCGACGATCGAAAAAAGCCTCTTGACCATCCAAATCCTCTTGATAGCCCTTCGCGGTATGCATCTCCGACCGATCCTATATTGCAAGACCCGGCCGGTCTGGGTATTTTGACACTTTAACTGGTGAGAAATAAGACAAGGGCAAAAAGGGCTTGCGTTCCCATTGGGCCACTTACATTGCTTACCAAGGCATCATGATTCGCGTTTCGCTAGCTAGGGTAGGCTTCGAACTTGAATTCCAAACATACCTACGGTACCTAGGTAGGTACCTTAGGTTAGGTACTAAGTAGGTACGGGAGAACAACCTGGGGTCTGAATTTGGATCTGGGATCTCGACGTTCAGGGATCTGGGGTCTGGAATTCTAGCTTCGCTCTAGCGTCTCGTTTTTTCATCATGTGCAGCTATGGGGGGCGAAGTTTTTATGATAGAAAAGACCCCGTTGCTTCAAATACACATACCTGCCTATGCCCCAGCCTACCCGGGTAGGTATCGATTCGATTTGATTTATGGACACGGACCGCGCAAGAAAGCAGTCGGATACGGCTTGGCGCTCGTCGATATCCCCTACCCCCTCCCTAAAAAAGACCATTCATTCATTACTCGACGAGAATGATATGAAGCTAACTAACGAGTCGTAGTGCGCAGGAGGGGGGTGGACTTGATTCATCTTCAGACCAACCCGTCGAAGTCAATTCTCGGTAGATGTATGTAAACTCGCGTAGCGCGATCCTGAACTATACCCTCTTTTTTTTTTGTATGTGCGTGTTTACGCACTCGGCCGTGAAAATGGGCCTTGATGATATGCTTGGAGCTTCTGGTAATCCTATTGTGCAAGCTGTTATAATCGAGTCAGCTCTCCTTATCATGTAAACCAACCAGGTTGCAAACGTCAAATTCGAAGTGGTTTATTCTACGTGTCCTATTAATATGGAAACGCGCATATCCTAGCACTGTCTGGCATTGATTGTAACATGGTAACTGCTTAAAGATTGGTTTGCATGCGGCTACGGAGGGGATGGGGGGGTTCTTACCACCGGGAAGTGCATCCTGGGATCCCGAGTATCGGATCCGGATACCTCTGTTGTTGTAGGTAGTCTAGGGTTGTAGATGTCATATACCGGATCGAAAGAATAGGTACCCCTAGGAGTCCGTGGGGTATTTAGATGGCGGAGTCTAGACCAGGAACCAAGCGGAGCAACGGCCTGCAGCTTTCTTAAAGCAGAAACTGGAACATAGACGTGGAGTCAATAAGGTTACGAGCCGGGGTTCACACACGACTCGGGGAAATGATATGATCCCCTTCATACCCCTTATGTCCTTTAATAGTAACATCGAACTACACGATTATACTTTATATGGAAGAAAGAAGACAGGTGGGATCTGCCGCGTTTGCTGATATCGGCGGTCGATCGATCGGGTAGAGTGGGTGGATGTCAATGTAAACGTGGCTGCTGGTAAGATATATAGTACGGATCACCCTATAACAACATGATCTAATAAAAGGGACAGCAACTAATCAAGATTTATTCATTACCTACCTACCTACGTTGCCTTCTTATTAGTCCATTCGGATACGAAGCCACTCTCAAGGGTCTATGCGGCAACCCCCACCCCCCCCCATGTCTGTCTGGTCATGTCAACAGCGGAGTAGTGAAGGGACGTCGAGGAGAAAGAAAAAAAAGAAAAGAACAAACCTAAACCCTAAAACGTAAAACAAGTACTTTGGGTGCTCAGGCAGTCAACCGCGCCGTTTCTGAAGAATCGAACTACATATTCGTTTGGTTGCCTCTTATCATGAGACTCTAGCGATCTAGACGATGAGGCTCTAAGTACCTAAAAGTTTAGTGGTTTAAGTTCAGCCATAACACATATGGTATTACCATCTCACTGCAGACGAAAAGAATCCGGGGAAACCCTCCGGCCAATAGTAATGGGCGGACGCGCAGGATTCTTGTCATACTGGCGACTGGAAAGTCAGCTCACATGACAGTGCCGAGCCCGACTTGCGATCAGTTTCCATTTTGAAGGTGATGTTTTTTTCATCAAAATCGTCCAAACAAAGGGTTCTAGCAAGATTTGGTATTTTTTCTTCTTCATTCGCTAATGCTAGGTAACAAGGTAGGTAGATAAGTTGGGAATTCATTTCCCATAAGAGCCTCCAACGCCACGATATCGTAATATCTTTACCCTATTCCGCTATTCAAGAAATTCACCGGTAGAACACTGGAAGACAAGATGCCACCCGCAGCTGCAGCTGAAATGCCACATTCGTGCCAAACCCGGTTCCAAATTTTGGGAGTAACCGAATGACAACCTCCTTAGGGGTTCATACCCCATGAACCCCTCTCCTACTCCAGCCTCACATCCCGAGACTACTTGAAATAATATCATTAGAGTATTATGTTTGCTAAGGCCCCTGTCCGTAGCGACTGTACCAATGGGACGACACTTGGGACTTGCTTGATTCAAGATACTGAAATGTGACGAGGTCTAGATCTAATCGATAGTCTGCGCCGATTGCCGAGTACGTTAAATAACGTAAAATCGTCTCTGAAGGAATTGAAATAGCAAGCATCGGTACCAGCCATGTGACAGTAATAGGTCGTGATATATATCCGGAATCATCAAAAAATCGCTAGTTATCAAAATATCCTCAGGTCTCGCCGCTAGATGCAATTACATCCGAGTTTCCTCCCTCAAGTGGCTCTTGGAACCTTGCTGATTAAGCATCATGTTCCCCATAAACATTACGCTTTCTCTTCTTTTGCTCCTATTAGAAGACTGGTCGTATGCAGATAACGAGTTTTCGTTGTAGTTAGACTCGTAAGATGTATAGTGCGTTCGGTCATAGCCAGGTTGCCTCGAGTTTGGATCGTAATTTGGTGGTATGACGAGGTTGTTGTTCTCATAGGCTGGGCGAAGGGAAGATTGTGATGCCGGTTGGGCTAGGTAATGCGGTTCATAGGAGGACTGACGAGGTGGAGGCGTTGCCGTCGGGCGGAGGCTGGCCCCCATTACGCCAAGGGGAGGAGTAGGTGTCGACCGTTGCTGTGTCAGTTCGACTAGGCGTCTCTGGGGCGAGTCTGTTGCCGTGGATGGCCGAGCCGGTTGGGTCTCTGTCGTGCCCGAGTCTGTATCAACTGGAGACGGTAGTTCGTACTCCTCTGGATCTATACCGAAAATACCCTCATAATTCTGTAGAAGCAAAGCAAATACCGGGGCCGGAATATTTAATGTCGGTGAGAAAACAATCCCGACGTTACGTACAGTCATCTTATTCGTATCCGAATGGTTGATAATCTTAATCAGGAAGGCAATGAGGTACTTAAGCAGCGTCTCATTCGCTAGCGGAAGTTGCTGCACGAGCTGTGCTAATGAGGCAATCTTCTCTTGCTGATTAGACATCTCAGTGACCTCCACAAATTTCATATGAAGATCTGTGGTGAGGATAGTTGTGGGGAGTTCGCGAAGGTAGAGCTTCAACAAGGAAGCCACAGCGTGGATATCGTAATACGTCTCGTCGGTGAGCAGATTAACATCGCCTTCAGTATTGAAGCGCTCGCGTAGTTGTTTAATCACCACGTTAGAACCACTAAGCCGGAAGATGCCTTCTTCTCGGATCGCGTTTTTGGCATCGAGGTACTGTATGCAACGGTATACGACTGCTGGAAGAGGGACGTTGGTGTCGAAAGGTCTACCGAATCTCACGGCGTCGGCGAGGTGGGCACCAAATGCCTGTCGCATCTGTCCACGCTGCTCGGTTTGGTTTTGTGGGGCATTGCCGGCATTGGAATTGTAAGATGGGTCTTGGTCATCGGTGGAAGATCGAGTTCGAGGACCAAATCCGAAGAAACTACGCTTCCTCTGCTTCTTTTCCTCGTTCGTGGGGCCAGGCGGAGCCAGGCCTGTCTTACCACCCCATGAGGCACCGTCGGGGATTAACTGTGGATCTTTCGGGGCTGAGATGGTGTAAGCTGGACCGTTGACTCTTTCTTGTGATTCTGGTGTGCCAGTTTTCTGGTGTCTGGAGGGAGCACCATCCGGAATATTACCTTGCCTAGCTGAGTCGTAACTCATCCCGATCAGTCCTTCTTGGTTACCGCTATGTTGCCCATGATGTTTTCCATTGTCATGTCCCTTTTTCTTTGTATTCAAATTCGAATTGTTAGAATGGGCATTGTTGCCCCCGGCTTGATTTCGGCCATGGGTAGCAGCCGGTTGTGCATCTTCGTCGTTATCATCTCGATAGTCGATCCAGCGGAGTAAAGCTTCCACCCATTGATCACGTTCGATATCGCTTTCGGCACATAAAACGTGCTTCACATGGCTGCTGGAATCTTTCTTTTTGGGTTCGAGAACGAGGAACGCGTGGCGATATTGGTTGTCTAACTCCTCGCCGTTCGGACCGCTCGCTGGAGAACCATCATTAGTATGTTGAGATTGTTTGCCGATTTGCGCATTCTGAAGCTTAATAGTTCCGAGGTGCGCACCACCTGGCGTCTCATAGTATTTCAGGTGAGGCCCATCGAGGACGAAGAATCGGGCTTTCCATCCACCAAAATTTTTGCCCCTCTTTGTCAAATAGCCATTTTTGAACGGCCTGCCTCCTGGGCCCGTCTTTTGGATTGCACCTTCGTTGTTCGATTCATGGGTTGGTGAAGGCTCGTCTGCGTTAGGTCGAAGGGTGTTGGTAGATAAGTATTTGCAGAGTTCTAAGGCTGTTGGGGTGTCGAGAGGTGTGTTTAAGAGCTCATCGAGATAATGATCTAAAACGGTACGGCGAGCATCGAGCTTAGCGGGCGAATGACCACTGAACAGAGACCTATCTGGAGTCTTGGCCGTGAAAGCTGCGCATTGCTTCATTTTTTGGTCCAGCTTAGCGAGAGACGTAGTGTCTTTCTCAACTCTCCATAGCTCAACACCTTCCGCCCGTAAGAGAATGGCCAAAGTAAAAACGGGATCTTCCTCCAACTGCGTCAATGACATGAGGCTGGCTCTTGAAGGCTTCATACGAGATGACGCCACCTTAACCTCGATAGACGGTAGGGCGTTAGGCGGTAACAGCAAATCGGGATATTCCTCGGTGGCGAATCCTCTGTAAATTTTAGTCCTTTCGATAGGGCTCTCGCGATTCGTACGAGGGCTCGACTGTGAACCGTCGGGCATATATCTAGAGCTGCTAGATTGCTTTGTGGATGCTTGGCTCAAAGCGCTAGAGTTTAGCTGTGTATTATTAGGTAGCGGGATTGGTTGTCTAGGAGCTCGTGGGGACAGAGGCATTGCCATCCCGATGCCGACGCCGCGAGGAGACGCGGGGGTGGAGTGCATCATTGGTCTTGGACTTGCAGGAAGCCCAGGACTTTTTAAGAAAGCGGGAACCACAACCTCTCGAATATCGCTCATGTCGTCGTTGCTCATGAGACTGGCTAGTGATGGGGGCATGTTGCTGGGAGCCAGCGAGTCCTGAGCACCAACTATCCGTGAATTTGCAGGAACACCATGTTGAGAAGGCTCCGAGTCCTGAGCAATAGGAGTGCCTTTTTGACTATCCTTCTTGCTCTTTTTGGACAGGCTTCGAGCCTCGGCCTCCTTCTGTGCGAGAATTTCTCTTTCTCTATCATCTTCCTCCCTTGTCTTCCTCCGGCCGCGTTTTTCAATAATAGGTAGCTCATCTACTTCCAATAACGAATCATAATCGGAATCGGAATCGGAATTGTCCTCGGGAGAGATCGAAACGGGCACTTTCGACTCTTTCTTCAACTGCAACGGGGCAGGTGGAGGTTTCCGTGGTGGTGGAGCAGACGGAGGCGGAAATTGCGAAATACCCTGGTCTACAAGTGGTGTTGCCTCAATGACCGAAACCGCCGGAGGATCGGCTGCTGGACGTTTGGGAGGAGGCACTCGAGGCGGGTCACCGGGAAAGCTTCGGGATGGGGGAAGCGAAAAATTAATCGGGATGTCCTTCATTGCTTCTGAAGATTTCTTGGCTTCTTCGGCAGCACGGTCCTCCTCTTCAAGATCGAAATGGTCTAACGCATGTTCGGATGCCTTTGGCATAGCGTGCGACGGGTCTAAGAGTTCGCCGACTACTGAAGGCATCCCCTGGGGGACTTGGTCAGCCGGAGGCGTTATCGGGTAGGGTGCTATAGAGACGTCGATAGGTGAGTGTTTGACACTATCCGAATCGAGGTTTGAAGGTGATCCAGGCATATCGATTTCCTCTTCCCTCGGCACGTTTACGTTGAGCTGAGGAACGCTAGGTAGACTCGAGTGCACAGAATCAACCTTTAGGTGTTCATCATGGGCAGCCATTACATCCTTCAGCTTTTTTCTGTATTTTTCCTTATCTTTCAGAGCGCGCTCGAGATCCTTGTTGAGGCCTAGGATCATTGCTCTCTGTTTGTCCACAAGCCTCCATAGCTGTGAATTCTGTTGCGATTGTGACTGCTTCTCCTTCAACAAATACTGTATGACGGCCTCGGGACTTCCTGCCGCCCTGACCAAACTAGATATATTCGCAGTGCCAGACTGGCTATCCTGCGAACCCTGGTGTGAATGAGCTTTCGAAGAAATAGCGGATATAGCAGAATCGATAGACGACGTCCTTGGAGGATCTGCAGCCTCGGGCTTAGAGGATGAGGAACTGCCAGCCATATTGGGCAGACTCGTAAGGGCAGAGCCTACGGGCGGCTTTGTGGGTGCGGCTGCGTCGGAAACACCCGGAGTATCATCCGAAGGATAGGAAGAGGGCGAGGCCCTAAAAGCACACGTAGACCTTGTCAGATTATTTGACTTCTATTCGTAATGGTAGCAAGTAAATCCAACCGACGATGGATTAAAAAAATTCTATACAAACCTATGGCTGGAAGGAAAGGGTGGAACTGAAGAATTGTTGGCCGCACGATTGCTCTGTCTTGAAGACTGTCGCAGTGTTTCTCGCGATAGGATCTGGTCGACCGAAGCGCCTGGGAGTGACTCGTGGATAGGCTCGGGGAATTTTGATCGGGACAGGCTTGCGCTGGAAGGCGGAGACAGAGCCGTACTTGTTTGTAAAGGGCTAGGAGCTAGAGTTTTCCGCTGTCTAGTTCAAGTGGGGGTATTCAAGTCAGCACCAACGTCGGGTACGATAGATCACAAGACTAATAGGTCCTTCAGATGTTGGAAGTGAGAAGTCTTCTTCTTTTTTTTTAGTAATAAAGATGGGTAAGCCCAAAAAGAAAAAGAAAAAGAAAAGGCCAAGTCCACCTAGCATTCCATACCATACATCTCCAGAAACAACGCAACGACTAGCCACAAGTAGAGATGGGCGGTGGTCGATGTGTAGAGAAAGGGAAATAAGGAAAAAAAAAAAAGTAAAAAAGGATAGAAAAGGAAAAAAAGAAAGAAGAAAAAAAGAAAACCATCTCACTAACCTTGCGCTGGGAAAGGGTATAGACAACGGCGACGGCGGTAGATTGGCGTCGTTAGAGGGATAATTCACAATGGCTCTGCCTATTGTTGGACTATCCTCCAAAAGATGAGAATCTGATGATGGGCTTTCGCTACACTGAAGCGAAAGATGCGACATGGTCCACGGTCCTCGGTCCACAATAAACAAGAGGAGTAAAGAGAGAGGAGCCGAATTAGTCTGGCTTGTAATGTCGTTGCTCAAAGGGGCTGCCGAAAAAAGCCAATCGGCGTCGCGAACTTCCTGTCGAGGTTCGGACCTTCTCGTTCGAGACGCCTAAACGACCCTGATTGACGCCGCATATAATAACATGACAGGGTTGGAGGGCGAAGAGACTTGAGACAGCTAAGCGCGTGCAGATTACTTGTACGCTGTTGGCTGCTGCAAGGGCTTTACGGGTCTTTTGGGAGGGGGAAAAAGCAGTGCGCTGATGTGTGAGAAATAAAGTGATAAAGTGCAATTTGCAGTCCAGCCTGCACAGATGTTTACATAGTAATTAAGAAGGGCAAATAAAAAATAATAATAAATCAAATAACTACCTAACCTTAGGTACCTCCTACCTGGTAGGGAGTAATAACAAAAGGGTAATAGGGAGGGGGTTTGAGCCCGAAGTCCAGTCAAGCCAGTCAAACCAGTTATGAGAATAGAAACGGTTACATTGTTGTAGAAGAGCCTTGCTTTGCAGCGCAACGCCAGCGCTGAGCAGTGGATGTGTTGACTTACCTACCTCAATGCTGACCTAGGGGTGTTTACAACGTCCAATGACAGCGCATGAAACTTTTTAAGTTAAGCCCCCACAAACCCAAAACGGGTCGATACATGAGCGCTCAAGGGAACCGACAGCACCTGCTACTCTGTAAAGTCGGGTCTAAACGTTTCCACGCACGTGGAGTTAGAGAGGCTAGCATATGTAACTAATAACAGTAGAAAGTAAGTGCTTCGGCACTAAAATAGTAGATGTACTATGCAGGTGGTAGTACAGATATCATCATCTTACCAAATAAGCAGGCACGAGATCAGAAATTGACTCTTATAATAGATTGGATCTATCAATTATTCTTAAACATAAGCACCTAGGTAAGTAGCTATCTCATATACTCAGACATTGAAGAGACAGAACAGTTTTGGTTCCAGATTTCTCAAAAGTATAGTACGCTACTCTTGACATTTAGGCAAGGAGAGAAGATAAAAAAAGATCCATTTCTTCCCGTTAACCCCGGATTGGATTTTTAATTAAACTCTTACGACAAGATCCCTGCTTCGCATCCTGGGAATGACCCAGGACGTCCAATTTCCAATCAAACCCCTTCAATCCACTCGTTTTCGCGAGAGGGAAAAAAAGAAGAAAAAAAAACCTTTGAAAATTTTTGCCAATTTATTTTGTTCGTTTTCATCGGTCCTACCGTTCGCTACCCCAGGTTTTTCAAGGGTGGTTGCAGATACCAAATCAAAGCATCTATCTTTTTTCTTTTTTTCTTTTTTTCTTTTATCCTGACGGATTATCATCAAGGGTCAAAAGCCAGTCCCGCAGCTGGAATATTCGGACAAAGACTACACCTGAGACTACACCTGAATTAAAGAAGGGGCTTAATAAACTTCGATATAGGTACTCTCTTTTATCCATGATAAAACAATAATCACTATTCATCCACAGGTTTGTATCTCAAGCAAGCCAGGACGCGCCCACAGTCGAAAGGGAAGCTTCACATAATTCGAGACCATAAAACTAGCGTAGCACTCGATGTGGGTGTTGATAATGTATCATGCAGGAGGTGGGAAAGAATACGGAAGATTTCTGCAGGAACCACATCGGTATCGCTTGGGTTGAAGCTTGAGTGCCAGTGCCCCTTTATTTGAGGCCCACCACTGCCCACCACTACCCACCACCACCAGCGAGTAGGTAGCAAGAGATTTCACTTTCTCGCGCTTATTGAGGTACCTATGGGAACGACTTTAATAAGTCTAGCCAGGAGTGATCAAACTCCAGAGTGATAAGAGAAAAAAAAAATTATGATCACCTTCTTTTTCATCGTCCGGCCTAGGTATTCGTCTAGTACCTATTTTTGCCTCTACACCATCTCAGCCGCGGCTTAGACCAATCACGTCGGAGAATTGGTAAAAAAAGGCTTTCTTGACGAGTGAGTTGGCGGTGTGATGGAACAAGCATCCAAAGGGGCGTCCAATATCGTCATAATACATCTTGATATAAGTTACATACATGTGGTATCGTCATATATACATAGCGTGATGTGGCGATCTAGGGTTTGGGATCTTTGTGGACTTCTGTGGACTCTGTGGACTCTGTGGACTACCTATGTGGACTATGTGGACTATGTAAGTCTGATGCACGTAACGGTCCATGACCCATCATTATCCCCTCTCCCCATCCGCGAAATCGAAATCTCGCAGGGAGAACCAAGTTTTGGTACCCTATCGGCCAAGCATGTCAGCCGCCACATTTGCTGCTTTCGGCTTCTGGCAGAAATCCTCTCGACTCCCGGACCTGGTTTGTTCTGTTTGACAACTTTCCACCACTTTTGAAGGCTGTACCTCTCAGCCTATGTAAGCTGCAAGCCTCACCAGTGCTCACGGCTTGGAATGTCTTACCTTTCTGTAATATGATTGGCTCCAAGCTCTTGCCGCCGCTAATGCCACGTCGACAGGATGGCTCGTTCAACATTCTTCCCCGGCGTAGTACGGCGAGGAGAAGGCTCCATAGGATCAATATAAATCTCTAACGGTTGCATGACTCTAAAAACGCATAGCCTTACCAATCACGGGTGCCGTGCTCGGTAGATTTTTGTCCTTTTTTTGCCTGGAGGCGTAGTGATACAGAACCAGATATATAAGCCGATCTATGTATTACTATCTGTCTACCTCTCATGTACCTGGTACGGTTTATTCAGACGCAGAGCACACAACGTGAGTACACAACAGTACGCGGTTGGTTTGCGCTGAGACATGTCATGCCCCTAGCCATTCGGCAGCGCGTCTAGCCATTGCATGCGAACGGAAATATTTATATCCATCATCCATAGCTTTCGTCTACCTCAATGGCCTCAATGCTCTACCGGCTAAGGAAGTACCAAGGTTCGGCAAACCAGATCCCCCGCCAGATTACGGTTGACTACCTGACGGCCCTAACCTAATGTACAACACATTAGGTATGAGCAGTGGGGATAAATTCTTAAGGATTTCAAGATCCCTTCAAGTCCTTACGGATAGATAGCCTGTTTTTGATTGCTAAAATGGCTAAGAAATTGGAAGTCGTGCAAGAAAAAAAGATGGGCACGAGACCGTGAGGGTTTCTTCGACATGCCCGGGACGCGCATCATCATTCCATTATGACGCCGGTTCCTCGGTGGGACAGCTCTTTTGGAAACATCTCCGTAGTTCATAATTAGAAAAGTTGGCGTGAAATATCCGATATATACACTGCGATATCCGCTACCCATATTCCGAACCCCAATGATCATCTTTTTCTCCAGCAGTTTTCCCGTGGTTTCGTATCGGTTTCATCAAGAGGGATTGAAGATGGAATTAGTTAATATGGTCAGCAACATCTTCCGAGAACCGCTATCTTGGCCCGTGCTTTTCTATCTAGGATCAGTACCTACCTCATACGCTAGGGGTCGACGATCCCCTGTCTCGACTTGATATGGCAGTACTATGTATGGATACGGATCCGTACATTACCTTAGGTAGGTAGAAGTAGTAATTGACTGCAGGAAGCAGGGAGCAGGGGCTAGGGGCCAGGGATATTCGGTTCCTCGCTTAGCCGCAGTCCCTGATAAACATTATACAATTACCTAGGATGTTGATTAATTGCACATTGACTCAACTACGTTTATATTGCACGCGCTCATTCGATCCGGTAACATAACAAAGATATACGAACTTCTAACCTGGTATCAAAAAACCAACGCTGTCCCTATCATACCCCAAGATAAACCACGCTACGCGGCTATCCAAATATTGAAAACATGCAGTATCATAATACATTTCACGAACGAAAAGCAAATCTAGGTTAGGTAGTGGTCAGACGCTGTTAAATGATGTTTATTGTCTATGAGCTAAGTACTGCGGCTGTATTTATAGACTTAGGAAAAAAAGCTCATTGGATATAATAATACATCCGAAAGAACATGATTCTCGCTCGCGTAAAGTCATCGTACGCTACCATCTATCTATTTTTCCTTTTTATGAATATTTTGTTTTCCTCCCAAGAACCCGAGCGAATGAACAGCCAAGTAGGACAAGACAGGTATTTGGACAAGGCATCTGGTCAGGTATCTGGACAGGTATCTGCTCAAGCATCGTTTCGGATCCTCCCATTGGTACTGTCGGTGTATCCCTTTGCGTGACCATTAGACTGGTTCACTAGGCCCTTAGCAGCCAGTTCTATCAGAGGTCCATATAGAGAACCATCCTTGATTGCATCGTGAACAATAGAAATCCATCCTCCGACGGTCTTCTTAGGTCGTCCGTTCAACTCTTCCCCTTGGATAGTGGGGTGCTCAACAAAGCCCTGGTGGAACGGCACGCCGAGTGTTTGGCGAACATATTGGTACAAAACCTTCGCGCCTTTGCCGAGCAGCTCGGACGTGTGGGGTTTGGTGCGGAAAGCATCGAATGTCTTTTCCCATACAGCATAGATAGCCTTGGTAGCCTCATCTTTCCATTGGACTACATCCGTAATGGAACCCGTGACGTGCTTGACAACAATGGGCACGGCTGAGCTCACAAGGCATTCGCAACGCTCAGGAAGATCTTTCTTGCCCGAAGATGACCAGGAAGGGTATACGTGAGCTGCTAGAGCGCTTTGGAGAATTTCTAGCTCATCGACCTCTAAGCTATCAGAAAAGAATCGGGTAGTGACCGACGCAAGCGTGTCGGTAGCCTTCTGCACAAAGAGGTTATGCAGTGCTCTAAGATCTACGGCCTGGCAGCTGGCATACAGATGAGCGGCGGCCATCAGCGTTAAGATTTCCGTAGCTTGTGCGCTCATACGTGCTGACGCTAATGCCATCGAATTGACAGATTGATTATGCATCTCGGCCGCCTGGACGAACGGGCTCATAGGGCTCGCAAAGTAAGCCAGCTCGGCCATGTATGATGCCATATTAATCTCAACCCCCTTCATAGTAAATGATAAGCTTGGGTTATCCGCGGCAAGGTTAGCCGGGAGACCTCCGCTGAGACTCGGGTCTACCAGCTCGGTCATCTGCGAGAAGAGCATCCTGCCAAACATTTGTAGAGATAACCGTACTTTCTCCATGGCCGATGTCACACACGCTGCCTGGAAGTTAGCGCCATAGTGAACATCACCGTTCGGCACGTCCACCAATGGGTTATCGCAAGTAGAGTTGAGTTCAATGCTGATTTGTCGGTCCGCTAGAAGTAGGTCCTCTACCTGCGGTCCGATCCATTGCGGGGCACTTCGTACGGAATAGCGATCCTGGGCCAGATCCTGGGAATCACGCTTCTTTCCCTGAAGAACGTCTCGCGCGAGAGCCGAGCCGCTCATGAAAAAGTAAAGGTTGCGGGCTACCTCGATTTGGCCCGGGTGAGGTCGCGTCTGGGAAATGAATTCGTTGAAGCTCTCTCTGCTTCCGTTCAATGCCTGCATGATTCATAGGTTAGTTACCAGTGTCATTATCCATAATATGAGTTTACTTGTTGAACTTACCTCTACCGCCATGCCAGTAAGCGCTTGCGTGAGCAATGCCAGACGATGGGCGTCCGTGATAACCATAGCGGCAAGTGCTGCTGACGACGAGGTTCCGTTGACCAAGCCAAGACCCTCTTTCGGGCCAAGCTTCACTGGCTCTAGTCCAGCCTCTTTCAAAGCTTGCGGTGCGGGAACTACTTTACCATTCCGTTCAACAAGGATGTCTGGGTTCCCTTCTATAGTTCCAGCGATATAGGATAACGGCATTAGATCGCCAGAACTCGAAACAGAACCCCGCAATGGTATCATGGGAGTCAGGTTGTGCTTAACCAAAGCCACTATAGACTTGAGGACTGCGAGTGTAACCGCAGAGTGACCTCGAAGGTTACTGTTGCATCTGACGGCGATAGCTCCACGAACCCATGAAGAGGGCATGGAGTGGCCTGGAATAGAACCATCTGTAGACCTTGAGAGAATTCCAGACTGGGTAAGTTGCATTAAAGATGATTGTAATGCCACTACTTGGTCAGTACGGCTGTCCGCACTGCCTCCGAATCCCGTATTAACGCCTGATAATTGGTCAGTAGTCGATACCAAAATGAGATACCCAAAGTCCGCATACCGTAGACATGCCATCCTTTCGAAAGGTAATGGTACAAAACATCCACGCTATCTTGGATGTTCTTGGCGACTTCCGGGTCTTCTGTAATCTCGGGTATGCACCCATGGCTAAAGTCCCGTTAGTAAAAAAGTGATATACAGATATACACCCTAACAGTCCAACAACATACAGAGCTGTAGCTACAACGTCCGAGATATGGAGGTTCTGGCCGTCTAAGACGTAGCTGCCGGCTTTGATACGCTCTTGTAGGTGGTCCCATGCCTCGCAGACCTTGGCGAGATGATTGCTTTGGATCCCCATTGCGAATTAAGGCAAATGATTCTTAATAACGTAATGCCGTAATACCGTAACGTAAATGCCTGGATTGTCAGCGTGAAGATTCCCAGACTGAAGACTGAACTGGGAGGATGTAGAAGAAGCTAGGAGAAATATATATAGATGGAATCTTACAAAAGGGGTAAGGACATGCAACAAAGGTTAAGTAGCACTTTTACGTTAGAAAATGAAGCTAGGTACGGTTACTCTTTGAGATAGCGCCTTCCACTAGGTATCAAATAAACGCGTTTGCCATTCCTTTGATAGCTCTTACTTGCTTTATTATCGTAACTAGCAGGAATGGATTATAGCTGGCATGTGGTTGTATCTATGGAGAAAGCAGTACACAGTAAGCCTTTTCAAGATTTCAACCTCACTGCTCGGGTCAGGTACAGTATAGGTATAAGATTACCTTAAGTACCTTATCTAGGTACTTAGTAAGGTAGGTAGTCTTGGTTCGTTCCCAAGAAAGAACAACCTCGAGCGAATAAGGAATGAGTTAGGTGCCTGTTGGTCGTGGGTGCTTCTTTATTTTAGGTTTAGCCGAGGTTAGAGGTATGCACCTACCTTAATGTAGGTAATGTATGAGGAATGGTTTAGAGTTCCCCTGCCAAAATTGCATTTATAGCCTATCACCTAAGTTACACAGCATATCGTGTATCGAGTATTCTACACTTATGCATACCTACTGGTAGGTGGTAATAGATCTAAGTTACCTTAGGTACCTAGGTACATACCTATATTACATACCTCTAATAGGTATAGGTATCTTACCTAACGGTCTAGGTACATGTTGATATATTGATATTTGACCCAGGTTTGTATACAAAGCAACTGCATATTGATGCGGGGCCTCTTTGGGAGCGGGCCTGAGCGGGATCAACAAGCTTGGAACCTCTTCCAATGCAAGGGCTTTTATGAGTGGGGAAGTGCCGATGAAAAACAAACCCAAGTTCGAAAGAGCTCTTTTCGTCGAGAAATGATTGCATACCTACCTCCTATCATTGTATATTCAGAATATGCGGCTTGTATTACCTCTTGTACTACTTTACTTATCATGTTCCGGCACCTTGAGAACCTGGTCGGATCACCCGAAAGGTAAGCTACTAACAAAACATTCCTTACAAAGACCGAAACCGCACCAATAGCATTTCATAGGTAGCGACTCGTGGAAACGTGAAAGGAGACTCTCAGTAAAAACAAAGCTGTGCACATGTGAGAAACAGGGCTGCCCACACGTGGTAGATCAAGTCCGCGTTATTAGATAATTAAGGGCCTTTAACCCACGAGTCTGCTTTATGCATTTTCCTTTCATAATACGCGAGTTTCGACCAATTAGCAAACCCGGCGGTAACGGATTTGGTTGAAACTAAGCAAGGGGACAGGGGGGGACGTGATATCAAAGCTTAATATAGGCTAGGCACATGTACCTATTGTTAGGTATCTAGGTACCTCCCTTTAAGTGCCCAGATTATGAGAAGTTCCAAGATCACAATCATAGGTGGCACGTCAAAGGTATAAAGCGAGGATTATAATCACTCAAAATTTTTATAATGAAACTGGCATATGGAATTATAAAGTATAAAAAAAGGAGTAACTACAAGCAATAAGTAGGGGCCTAGAGCTAAGGAAGGTTATTTTAGTTAAGATATTAGACGAGTCTAAACTCATTATACTTAGAACAAAGCTTCTCGCGTAACACGACCTAATTTAGAATATAGAATAATTGCTTCCAATAGGAGCAAGCGGATAGAGTATACCTACCTACCCTTAGTCCAAACACATGTTATGACATAAGCCTCATCGTTTTCACTACTATTCATGTAGAACTAAGTGCGGGCCATTAGACATATTCACTTAACAACAATGCAGGTATAAGGTAGGGGCAAGTATCCCGTTCCATAACATAGTTTCATTCATCTTGATTCATACCCCTATTTCCATTGCCCTCCTCCTGCGCCCAATCCTCTTCCCAATGTTCTATTATCACTTTATCAAAGGGATAAGAGTTTAGCGCCTTTGACTGCTTACCGAAGCAACTTCAGGTTGGTTCTTTGAAGCGGTGGCCAATGCTTCATGGTCGAGGGTCTGGGTCTTACGCCTGCGGAGGAGCACGAAGGCAATGGCACCTACAATCGCAAGAGAAGCTACGATTACACCGACAGCAATGCCTGCCTTTGCACCGCCGGATAGACCGTCACCAGCTGAGCCCGAGCTAGGAGCTACGTTTGAGTCGGAGACGGCATTCGTGGCACTGGCTGCCGGGGTAGAAGTCGACGATGAGTCTCCGGATTCGAAACCTGTTGCTGTTACGTTGAAGCAGGGAGGTTGGATCGTCATATCCTTAGCCTCGACGAAGGTCTATGAAAGTTATCAGTATATGTCTAACGTTCTAGGTACCTAGGGTGTAGTTGGCAGGTATATTTCATACAATGTCGGCGCAGGCGTAGAAAGTCTGATTTCTACCATTGAGCTCATTGTCGACGTTTGACCAATACTCCAGTTGGATTGTGGCATTAGTTCCCGCGGAGACGGTGCTCGGGATATCGGCAATCTTGTAGCATTGGTGACCCGGTTCAATCTCTGTCACATCGCTGACGACTTGCTGAGAGAACTGCCTCTGGATAGTGGGTGCTGGAAGCCTATTAGCATCACATTTCAGACCGAATGCAGTATTAGGTACTGACTATTATCATATGCAATGGAGAAGTTGACGTTCCAGGCTTCGTCGGCGATTGATAGGGCAACAGTTCCCTGAGCTAGATAGAAACGAGGTAAGTTCAACGTCATCATGCCTTTGCTATGAATACTCACTGAGAGGGAATGCCGTTCTGTTAGATACACCGCTGGAGCTTCCACAAGGTCCAATATTGTCCGTCGAAGCGGACCACGGCCTGTCATTAGGCCAAAGGAAGGCTACGGGTCCCATAATGGAGCCTTCAAGACCTTCTCCATGAGCCTCTCCATCACCGGCAACAAGCCGACTTCCTACCAGTGCAGCAATATAGGACAACTGGCCGAACCTCATATTGAATAGGCAATATGCCGCAAGTAGCTCTTAAGATGATTGTAATGATATCCTGCGTACTCACTCGTCTACCTGTGTAGCTGTGGGGAGGCGGTTGTGGCTGAGAAAACCGTTTTGAAGGGTGAAGAGAGGTGCGGAACAAGTCTTATAAGTATCAATATTGTAACCCGTGGGGAGTTCATTTAGGTCATATAGCCGGCACCTTGTCACAAGCCAATCACCTCGATGCCAAGCTATATTCCCACCATCAAATTCTTAACAGTCACGTACAGTCATTCGTCCGAGATAAGCCGATCTTGGACGGTATTGGACCCTGTATACGGCAACACTAACAGCTCCACGTCCAGGGAAAGATTAGTTGACTACCTGTGAAGGATACCTAGACCCCTCGGGGTTTTCGACGTTGATAGGGAATCTCTATCATCTATAAGATTTTCTCGTCGTGGCACCCGATCACAAAGCAGTTCGTACGAGAAACTAAGACGTTAGGTCAGGACGTGGTACAGGAGGCCTAGCCAGCTTGTGACAAGCCGGCCGCTGAGAACCTAATTGGCCGAGCAGCCACCGCAGGCGGCTGCCGGGGACTTACATATCCCCAGTGAGGTATAGAGACGTGGGAAGTACGAGGATCCGATGACGGCAGAGTAGATAAGTGTTAGTGTGAAGGCGATTATCTGGGTTAGGAAGGTCTCACAAAGACTCATCTATTTTCCTCTCAATACGATAGTAGCCTGCTCTAACTCCACGCCGTTTAGGAACATTGACTGCCTATGCCAAATCTGGGACCATGTGCGTGGGTGGGTATTGGAACCACCTAACTAGTTGTCGAGCCTATCCAGCATCCTATCTTCGCTACATACCTCAATACACGGTATCTGCATCCATTCTAACTAACAGCATTTCTTTATATCTACCTTGTATCTTTCACTCATGACCCCTACCTGTTATTAGAAGTCAGTACTTAGCCTTATGTAGTGCTTTTGGAATATCAACTCAAAGCTAAACGTGCTTGCCAAGTAATGAGTGACATGGCATGTCACGGTTAGTAACGTAGCAGGTAACTGAGCTTATAGTGGTTACTTGATAAACGAATAAGAACTGCAGGTCACAGCTTTGACAGGGAGGACTAGGGTGGCTAGATGGACGGGTGGTACGATTTCTCACCAATCTTCAGATCGCGGATCGCCCCGGTTCTTCTCTAGCCGGACCTTTCAAGCCAGGTCACACGTGTAACAAAAATTCGAGTCCAACCGGGAGGTCATACTGTAGTCTGTTACCTTAGATACGGATATATACGACTGCGATGAAATATGAGGCCATAAAAGGATAAATTTAGCGTGCGTGCGCTTACAAAGGAGAGCATCCACGTAGAGATCATTTTTATCTTTTGCTATATAAAAAGCTAGCAAGGACAGGAAACTAGAAGTTCAAATTGTTATTCTTTCTAGCCCGTCTGTTTATCTGATGGCGCTAAGAGGAGATCCCCTTGCTTGATCCTTACTAGCTTACTCTTGGGTTGCAATGGCAAAAACTCCAGAGCGGAGAAGATCCAACATGATGTGGCACTCCATCTAATCTTATCAATCTAATCAGATCGCACGTCCAATCCGAGCCCAGAACACCAATATTCTCGTAATGAGCTCCAAAGAGGTCCAGTAGCAGAGGATAGGGGGGAAGGTATTGTGGCCCGGTTGCTCCGAATACTGGTAGCCACAGAGAAACACTATAGCATCTAGTGGTAGTCTTTGAACACTCGGCCGATATCATAGCTAGCCTGTCTTGTTTACACAGGCTAGAGACACCGTGGATCGATAAAAAAGGACTAGGGGCGAATATTGACCCTCGGTTTAACAGTTAACCTAATTGACTATCCGAAGGTGAAGGATATATCCCAGCATGTGCGATGACATATGCAATGCTATTACACAAGTAGCTATGCCTCGGAAACCTTCGCTTGAAGATAATCTACCTAAGTAGGTATATATCATGCTTAGTATGACGATTAGACTAAAGCCGGAATACGAGTTCCTTTACGGAAGGGATTCTGAAAACAGAGACGTAACCGTACCTGAATAACTATCGTTCAATCTCCGAGCATCGGCTACTCATATGCTATTCGTCCATGGATCCCAGTTAACGTTCGGTCAAATCCCTTGCCTTTAACTGAATGCTTGCATGCATTTTCCCGGACACTCTCTTTTAAGCTTACTTGTGTATAACATTCAATGTAGATATAAGATTATATGAGCCTCTTCTCACTTTCTGTTCCATTTCACTTGCGTCCTCATCAACAATTTTCGAAGCCGACTCTCTTTCAAGCTTGTTTACACATTCGCTTCTAACTACCAACATGATCGTAGCCCACTGGACATTCGGAGCAATCCTTGCTGCCACTGCGGCCTCGGCTTCTACGGACGACTTACAGTTCTTTGCTCGTTTGCTTAAGCGCCAAGAACCCGGGACTCCTTCCTACAACTGCCACGATAATTGCGGTAAGTATTATGCCTCCTCTAATTTACTAGAATCGATGCTAACGTTCTCCAACCTAGGCCAAGCCATCATTCAAGGGAGAAGCAGCAAGGATGTATGCCATGATGATATCTTCCTAGCCGACTACAAGGCCTGCCTGCAGTGCGCAGGGCCCGACAACCAGGACATCTGGCAATATTACGGAAACAGTTTAACCAAAACTGCAAGTTCATGCGGTCTTTCAACGTCGCCTCTCTCAGGTCAACAGCCTGATGTGGGACCAGCGGTTCCCGCCGGCTCCTCTGGTACGGCGAGTGCATCGGAGTCTCCCTCGTCCACTGCATCTGTGACTAAAACATCTACGCCCGTGTCCACTGATACCGAATCGCCCACTAAAACGCCTACTGAGGCGCCTACCGAAGTACCAACTGTTACCGAGTCCTCTCAAGAGGCACCCACTGTCGGTCCTAGCACCCCAGAAGCAACCCCGACCGAATCCACAACAGCTTCTTCCGGCACCGAATCCAAGTCTAAACACCACACCACAACAGTCACACACGCCCCCTCGGGTACTGGAAGCCACAGCGGATACGGAACAGGAACGGCAACCACAGTAAGTCTTCACTCCTAGGTACCTACCTAATGCGACGAAAGGATTTTCAGCTAATTGAGAACTACCTAGTCATCTGAGTCTGCCATAGCTACTGGTGCCGCCAATACCTTCGCCAACGGTGGTGTTGGCTTCTATGGCGCCCTGGTGTTTGGTGTTTTGTATGCCGCCGCGCAGTAGATTTCGACACCCTCTGAGTCCTGGAACTATTACGCGACTATATATCTATGTAAAATATATAATTTGGTGAGATAATATTTATAAGCTTAATAATATTGCATTCCTTGTCAAGTTTCTAGAAGATATCTTTTTTAAGACGTCTGAGTTCCAAGACAAAGCCGAAGTGATTAACACACCTCATAGCGCCTCCTTTTGATTAAAATACAATTATGATGCGCCCTTGCAACCACTTCCACGACCTGCTCCATACCAAAAACACATCCCACGATGTTGTGCAGGTTACTCTGATGTCATTGACTTCGACTTCCTTCCTGCTAGTTTGACAACACCTTGAAGTTTTTTTTTTTTTTTTAATATATATTCATAAGCCCCCAATATCCTTAAAACAACCTTTCTCTATGAATACCTCTCGCGCAATGTTGGAAATGATGTAGAGACAGTCTACAGTTTCTTGGCTTTCGCTTAAACATCAATGTCCCACAGTCTATGAATCATGGAATTCCCACCCTCAATTGTCCGCGACGCCATTCCCAGTATCTTCAACGGCGTGTGTACCGCTTTTGGGTTGATATTAATTCGTATCTTACCGTTGCTAAGGTACCTATGACTATATGGGCACCTAGTGGACTATCACTCGTGTAGGTATATAAGGTCCCTGTCAGATGAGCGAGTGACCTTTCATCCTTTCAGCCTTTCAGCCTTTCATTGTTTCTCTTCCCTCTTCGTGAAAACAACTATCTCTTCTATCGAACCCTGGCAATCATATTTGAATTGAGGGGTTCCTTAAACTCTTTTTAATTTAAGCTTAAGTTGGCTAAGAGTCCCTATCGCGGCATGGTTGAATACAAGAGACTAACCTAGAGAATATATATATAGTCAATGCATATGTCTACGTCCTGCGAGGTTTTTACCGTCTCGAGATGCTTTCATCGGGGAAGCCCTACGTCAGTTGAACTAGGATCTAGTACATAACCGTATATTTTCTCGTCGGATTTTAAGTTAATATCATTCAAGGTAATTAATCTACTATTTACGTTTGACCGAAGCCAGCATTTCTTGGCTGAATATTGGAACTAGCCAATGACGAACGCGATTACGCAGCCATAAAGGCTATCAATGAAGATCTTCCCTCATGGAAATTCAAGCGAATATCGTTGGGCTTCGTAAAGCATACCAGCTACGTATTTTATCCTTTTCCTATGAAAACCGTCCCCGCTATCCTAGCATTTATCGCGGTCGTTTGTTGCTATCGTATAGAGGAGCGCCACCACTGACGGGGGCTGACTATTGGTTATAGTACCGTAACATTCTTCGTAAATCCCGCCATGTTCTAAGTAGCTGTATAGTCTGAAAATAAATTCGTACTCATTATACCCTTGCCTGCTTCATTCTCGTCCATACCTTTTACTCCCCCCTCCAGTCTTTTCCCATGGTCCCGCCACGCTCTGTCCCAACCCCCTTTCCTACTCCAGTACACCTACACATGTCACTCTTTAATTCACGGGACGCGTTGACCAAGTTGAATAGCCTATGTATGAGAAGTACCCACCAGGCTTTTGGTAGTCGGAGTGCTTTCAGAAATCAGTAGGGTCTATTTCGAGTCGCCACTATGTTATAGATGCAATTGCGGTCCCCATCGAGCTGACTGAATCGACCCAGTTACTAGTTGATGAACATTTATGGAATTTATCCTCGGAGAAAGCTTCACTACCATCGCATATTATGGGGAAGAAGAGCTAAACCATGTAGCAGTAGTCAGAAGACATCTTGTCATACCTCGATTTGAATTTTGCCAACGCCTATCTGATTCTTACCCGGTGACGTGCAATTAAGGTGAGGTACGGAACTGACCGGAACTTGTTCCTATGCATGTATATAGCAAGATACCTAAATAGGCTATTGGTTATACTCGTAATCTATACAGGTGAACAGACCTTGCCGCAGTGATTAGAATATCAAGAAAAAAAAAAAGAATACCATCAAGGTTTAAATTATTTTGATGTCATCCTTGACCTAAGGTATATTCGATATTCGTGTCATTTGATAGACACCTACCTACCTAGGTAATTATGCATGCGAAGAAAGTATCTTATTATCATAAGAACATCTATCTGACCTATTCTTTCAAAGCTCTATAATGTGTTGTATTAGATGTTGCTAATAGGGCAACTTTCTCCTGCATATCCACACCCAACACACACCTAGTAGATATTTTTTTATAGAAAAGATATTGAAGAATTAGTATATCGGCGCATTAAAGCCTGAAGCGAATCTAATACGCGGATAGAATAGAATCTTATACATTCGAACAGGGTAGGGCGTGTTGGCTGATATACATACTAGCTGTCTGGCCCCGTCAGCCCCGTAATGTTCGCATTCAATTGCCTGATGCTCAGGGGAGATGGGATCGACAGAGCGTTGGTGCATTGCCGCCTAGCCTTACCACTAGTAGCTGGCAATTGGAATAAATACCGAAAACCCACCCAGCTTTGCCAGCATACCCAGGCTGCCAGGTAGGTATTATGGTAGTATGCATTTTCGATCTAGAAGATCCTGCTGATAAAGCCTCCATGATCCTGCTTCACATAATACGAACAGCTGAACCGGCCGACTCGGTCCACAATGCGGCCAGTTCTCGTATGCATTTGCGGTCGCACCGTACTCACCGCAAATATATTATTGACACCTCTTGCTCGTCGTAAATTCTGCCCAGTGGATCTAATGAAAGCTTGTCCACGGTTAAGTTAGCCGGAATCCAATCTCGTGTTCAGGTCTCCATGCATATGCACCCCGGCCAACGGCGAATGGAGGCTGAGCACAGATCTTCCTTTGCCTCGTTGCACCAAACATCAGCCTCCGGGGAATGGCTGACAGCGGTGATCGGCACACGTATTAGCGCTGACCGTATGAGCGGTCCGCAAGTTTAATAAGGGATATAATGGAGATAACGGTTAAAGGAGTCGACGACGATTTCCTATAAAGCCAGCCGTCAAGTTTCTGCAAAGTCGAATCTTATCCAACACATCGACAACGCAATCTTCAAAGCAAACTACAAGTTCAACAAACTCACCAACAATTCTCATCATCTTAATATCGACATTTAGTCAACCCCTTCAAAACATTCAAAATGCAGTTCTCCGCCATCATCGTCGCCGCCTTTGCCGGTTTCGCCGCTGCCCAGACCCAGGCTCCTTGGGCCATGGTTGCCGTCGAGTCTTCTCACGGTGGTGCGGGCAATGGTCTCGTCAACAAGACCATCCGGGTCCCTCTCGACACCGTTTACACCAACCCGCCTGTCCTCAATGAGGTCTCAACTCTTTACCTCATCAGCTGCTCCCAGGGAACTGATGTTTACTCCGTCGTTTGCCAGCCTCACAAGGACCCCGCTGGGTAAGTAATCTCTAGTTTAGTTCCCTTTACAAAAAAGGCGTCAGTTATCAACTAACAATATTCCAGCACCGACACTGGCGCCAAGCCTTTCGACATCAACACCCCTTCTTATCTCTCTACCAACACTGTCGTTGTTGGTAGCCTCACCTGCCACGCCTAAGTTGATGCGTTTGATTTGGCACTAATTCGGCTATCTCGTCGGATCATGAGAATTGTTAGGTGATGGGTTTGCATTGAAGTTGCTTGTCAGTTGGAGAAGAGTTAGAGGAAAAAAGGGAGAAGAAAAAACCGGTGCGATGCATAAGAATAGCCTACGGTTATTGGCGCTTGTTTCTGTTCGCTTATAATTTCGCTATTAGACTTATAATATACTAGGTACCTAGAATTGGCACCCTGCATACGTCATTTGTCTTCTGTGTTTAAAGTACAATCTAGTACGCGTATTGAATGCTGTTCAAATTGTGGCTGGGATTACATTGAATTTGTGGCAAATAGCTTCCGCGCTTTTTAGATTGGCACTAAATGTACCTACGCGAAGACTCCGCCCCCGCCACGAAGCTAGTTGACATTGGCCAAGACCCTTAATGGAACATTGAAGGGTACCTACATACATAATCTGACATATGTACCTAGGTACATAGCAGTTTCTTTTGTTTAAGGGCCTTATCATGACATCTATCGCATTCACTGCCTCAATTAACGCGTGAGGCGCAAGTTCTAGGTAGCAACCTTAAAAAAAGATTGAACAATATTGCCCTGCTACCTTGTACTTCCCTGTACTTCCAGGCAGTTACTATCCTCTTTTCTCTTTACATATAAGGTAAGGTGTCTATCGTTTAGCAGTTTGTATGACTTTACTCCTCTTCTTCCTTTCCCTTCCCTTCATTTACTCCGCTCTTGAACTACGCTTCCTAATCTTGTACACGCCCAACTTCCAAATCCTCGCATCCTCACAAAGTTTTCTGAATAGTAACAAGCCATAAACCTTGAGTACCTAAGGTATATCATAATAATATATATTATCGAGTTGGAGTTGGAGACTGAGTTATAAGGCGGACATCTAAAAGCATGTCATATCCTTACGGCCAGCCGGCCTATCCCGGCCAATACCCTCCAGGTCCACCACAGCAATATCCCCCGAGCCAATGGTCGGCCCCTCCTCCTCCTCAAGGTTACAACCAACCTCCTCAGGGTTATTATCAGTCTGGACCTCCGCCTGGACCTCCGCAGGGTTATAACCAATATGGTCCTCCTCCAGGTCCTCCACAAGGACCTCCTCAAGGATATAACCAATACCCCCAAAGCCAATACCCCGCTGTACAACAGCCATATAGTCAGCCTTACCCTCCAGCACCGGTAGGGCCGCCTACGCCTCATACTTTAGGATATGGACCGCTACCGCAGATTCAATGGGATCCTACTCCCGACGCGCGAGCGTTAAGAGGCGCCATGAAAGGCTTTGGCACTGACGAGAAAACTTTGATTCGGGTCCTGTGCTCTAAAGATCCCATACAGATTGAGGCTATCAAAGCCGCCTATTTCAGGAACTTCAGTCGAACGCTCGAGAAGGATATAATATCAGAAACGAGAGGGTGGTTCGAGGCAGGGCTAGTCGCCATCGTCAGAGGGCCCTTGCTCCACGACGTTCACCTATTGCACTCGGCGATGGATGGACCCGGAACGAAAGAGAAAGTCCTTAACGACGTTTTGCTGAGCCGGAGCAACGCAGATCTGAATGCTATCAAGAACATGTATCAGCAAACATTCCATCGGTCGCTAGAGAGCACCGTGAAAGGAGATCTCAGCATGAAGACCGAAAGACACTTTATGATCGTATTAGGCGCAAACAGAGCCGAGGACAGCGCACCGGTTATCCCCCAAGCTGTCGATCAGGATGTGATGGAACTCTATCGCGCCACGGAGGGTAAACTCGGCACGGATGAAATGATGGTGTGTTCAATATTATCTACGAGAAACGATAATCAAATCCGGGCCATCAATTACGCATACGAGCAAAAGTTTAGACGGCGGTTAGAAGATGTTATTAGAAAAGTAAGTTGGACCATGTGCCATGCGGAGTCTATTTCGGGTTGATACGTGCTGACGATGTTCAATTTTACAGGAGTTTAGTGGCCACATGGAGGAGGCTTTGCTGTATCAGCTACGGCATGCTGTTGACAAGTACATGCATGCAGCTGCTTTGCTCGAGGACGCAATGGCAGGTTTGGGCACAAAAGATCACCTACTAATTTCGAGAGTGGTGCGATATCACTGGGACAAGACGATGATGGCGAATATCAAGGGCGCATATCAACAACGCTACCATCGCAGCCTCGCAGGTCGTATTAAAGGCGAGACGAGTGGAGATTACGAGAGGCTTATGCTCGGCTGCATTGGGGAGCCGATTTAATAAATGCGCCGCGCTGAAGAGGCATGTTATTATACCGCGTATGTCTTTCATGACTTGATGTTATACCATTAATGTATTCCTATCATGCTCTTTTTAGGTCAATTTTTAATGCTACCGAATGAGATATGATCGTCGCAGTTTCGATCAAGTGCTAGGATCTTTTGTAACTTTCGACGGGTTATCCTTTTAATTCGTTGAATTGTTTCGTACCTAATTACGACTATGAAGTTGTATGAACGCTGTTTCTGTGCTATATACGTATACTACCTGTATCTAGATACCTATACTTAACCTTCCTACGTAAGACCTGCTATGCTGTTATGTAGATGTACTACCTCTTATCAAAGACACAATATCCGTTGGGGATGGTGTAATCCTACCTGCCTGCGTGTGCCTGTTGAAGCAATAAAGTATAACCCCACAGATGAACAGCTTTTAAGTCGCAGGGATTTGACATGCACAAACTGTATTGGCGTAGTACTAATTTTGGGGGCGAATACTTACCTGTACCTAGTGGCTCGTACGTTAAATTCTAGATGGCTTACCACTATAGCCACTATAGTTACAGGGGAACCAGCTGTTATTGGTAGATCTACATAACATCGTATAGGTACCTAACTTAGAGGTACCTTAGGTAAGCCTTCGTACATAGTACAGTCTTTTAGACGGATTGTCATAACTCGGCCTCGGCCATCGTGCCACCATCTTTAATAACTTCCAACTTCTAACTTAACCACGTAGTTAGGTAGGTAGTCAAACATTATCGCCTCTTGCCTTTTTATTTCACCCTACCGTCTGTTTCATTATAGCTAGCTCATTTGACACTCATTTTTAGCTTTCCGATTAATCACGCGCCTCCCGCTCGGATCTCTTGGGTTTATCAACAAGCCTCCAAGTTCCAACTAGTAAACCCTTCGAGCGTACCTATGTTTTTACATCATCCATATATAAAAAAGCTACCAAAAGGCGATGACGACTTTAATAAAATAAGCTAACATTATAAACTTTTGTTGTGGTTTTTTCCTCTTCCATGAGAGGAACTTAGACCTCCTTGGTTCATTACTAATAAACTCCGCCGTCTCGCCTCCGACTGGTATAAAATCTCCTGCTTCCAGAGTTGTCGTGGGGTGTTTACTTTTTTTTCTTTTTGAATCATGGATGCAAATTTCTACGTCCCCACGCAATGAGCATATTATATATACGAGCTAATATGAACTCTTTGCATCTTTTGCAGAAGCTAATCATTCTTTCCTTTTCGCTCCTCGGACAGATTTAGATTCCTATCAATACTTAACTGCCGCCATGGACGTCACGTCTCAGTCTTCCATCGCCCAGGCGGCAATTGCCGGCTTCTGTTTTCTGATACATATCAGCCGCGGCCTGTTTCCCAAAGGGCCCCAATGGATCCGTCCCTTCGCTAAAGAGGAGGCCATCCTGCCTGAGGTTCGTACGAGATCGTGGACTTTTTGGACTTTTTGTCTGTTGGCTTTGTCCACGATCGGCCTGGCTTTCGCTATCCTGACCGCTGTATCACCGCCCTTTAACACCGCCCGGATCTGGGAGCTGGCACCGTGGGTCGTAGCCTTACTTATCACGGTCGCCAGCCGTCCCAGGAAAACACCAAGAACCCTATTAATTCTGTTCACCGCTACTGCTGTATGCGGTATAATATCGTTGGTTTCATTCTACAATGAGACGGAGCGAGTGAACATTGTCCATGTCGCCGCTGTCGGCGTGGTGCTCGCCGCTGTATTTCTTATCCTGTCGATGCCCATGCGAGATCCAGATATGGACGCAGCGGGTATCGCAAGTCCTAATAGCCCTCCTACTTCTCAACTTCGCAGTCCCGAGGATAACTTGAACCTGTGGCAGTTCATGACTGTCTCATGGCTGTCTCCGCTAATCTCCCGAGGATATGACAATAAATTGGAGGACGAAGACGTCTGGTTACTGCCATATGACTTTCAGCACGAAAGATTGCATCTATTATTTCGAGATCTAAAGGGTTCCATAGTAAAACGTTTGGTTAAGGCAAACGGATTGGATTTGGTCATCATCACATTTTTGGGACTTGTAGAGACTGTGGCTAACCTTTCAAACCCGGTTCTTCTCCAGCGCTTATTGCAGTCTATCCAGAAAGACCCCGCCCAAAAGGATAAGTCTTTCTTGTACGCTTTTGCTATCTTGGCAGTGCGTCTCGCCGCATGTCAGTCAGGCGTCTTCCTCCTTTGGTACAGTCGGCGCGCGTATGAGCGGTCGCGGGGAGAGCTGCTTACAGCCGTTTACGCTAAAACTCTGGCACGAAAATCAGTTGGACTGCGCACAGACCTGGGCGAGGCTCCTCAAAACGATGGTATTGAGAATGGCGTTGACCACAGCGATGAGCCGGAAGGGGAGACGCCGTTACTTGGTACAAGGCCCCAAAAAACGACGCGATTGGCTCGCCTTCTCGAGTTCCTAAGACTTCGCAGAGCCAAGGATCAAAGCAAAGACAATGCCAAGCCGGATCAGCCTGCGACCATGGGCAAAATCCTCAATTTGATGAGGAATGACGTATACGAGGTGGCCCAGCGATTTTGGGAATTCCCGTCCATAGTTACCAAGCCGCTGCAGCTGATTTTCTCACTGGTTTTGATCTGGCAACTGCTAGGATGGCCTTGTCTTCTTGGCTTGGCCTGGGTAGTAGCTCTTCAACTTCTGAACGCAGCTTGTGTCCGTTCACTGATCAAGGTGGAGAAGATTCGAAGAGTCGCGACCGATGTTAGACTTCAAGCAACTACACAATTCGTTGAAGCTATCCGACCTCTCCGATGGTACGATTGGCAGTCTAAGTGGCTAGGAAGTGTTATGCAAGCACGGGCAAAGGAACTGCAATTGAGAATCATCACTAGCTTGTGGACCATTGGAGTGGGTGCTTCTAACCTTGCTGCCAGTGCCCTCTTCCCAGTGTTCACCTTCTTTGCGGTAACCTATATCGCGGGACGTCCTCTACCAGTCGACGTGGCCTTCCCTGCTCTTCAACTCTTCACAATGCTAGAGTCTAGCTTGAAAGAACTGCCTAACCTAATAACAGTACTTTTGAACGCGACTATAGCAGTAGGACGTTTGGAGACCTTTATGAACGAGCCGGATAAGGAAGAAAGTGATTATAGCAACATTAACACCGAAATTGAGTTTCGAGATACATCTTTTGCGTGGCCGACAAACGGCAAACTGGTTTTGGAGGATTTGAACTTGCGCTTCCCTACAGGCCTTACCCTTATTTACGGCAAAGTTGGTTCCGGAAAAACTGCCTTGCTCGATGCTATCCTAGGGGAACTCGACCAAGTCAAGGGCGACACTACTCTACCCAATGAAATGGTGGGCTATTGTGCCCAGTCCCCATGGCTTCAAAATATGAGTATTCAGGATAATGTCCTTTTCAATTTCCCCATGGATAAAGCTAGATACAACGAGGTATTAGACGCATGTGAGCTTATGCCCGATCTGGCTAATTTCGCCCATGGAGATAAATCCAATATTGGGGAGAATGGTATTGGCCTTTCTGGAGGTCAGAAAGCTCGTGTTGCGCTAGCAAGAGCTGTGTATTGTCGGTCTCGAATCCTACTGCTCGATGACCCCCTCGCCGCACTCGACCATCACACGGCGGAGTCAATTGTTCGCAAATTATTTCGCGGGTCTCTTTTGAAAGATCGCACCGTTGTGCTTGTCACGCATCGGTTTGACCTATGCCTACCCGTCGCGGACCAAGTCGTCGAGATCACAGACGGAAAGGCTCGCATCCTTGACCCCGAGGAGTACCCCCGAGAAGTCAACACGGCACCCCAAACTCACGACGCCACCGCCCCGAATGAAGCTAAAGCGGCCACCGAAGAGGTAGCGAATGCCGCGGTCCCGGACAAATTTATCGAGGAGGAGACTCGTGCATCGGGCGGCGTAGTCGCTAAAGTTTATTGGACATACATCAAAGCAGGTGGGATCGCATGGTGGCTTGCGGTTATCGGTATTTTCTCACTTTTTCGGTTCGCTCGCGTGTTCAACTATTGGTACCTCAAGGCATGGGGTGAAGCATACGAAAGAGGTAAGCCTCGGCTCTCCGTGGGCTTGCCGGATATGGCAGATCACATATTCGACGGGCTACCGAACCCAGAAGACGATGTTAAGCCATGGCTGGCATGGTATGCCGCCCTTGGACTGCTCATGACCATACTCTATGTCCTTACCCAGTGTGGTCTTACCGTTATTCTATATAGGGCATCCAGGAACTTGTTCGGTAGAGTCGTCGACAAAGTGAGCCGTGCGACATTCCGCTTCTACGATGTAACTCCAGTTGGGCGTTTAATGAACCGCCTGACTTCTGATATTGGCATGTTGGATGGCGGTGTCATTTATCCACTTCAAAATTTCGCTCTTTGGTCTCTCACCTGGCTAAGTTCTTTGGTTGTCATCGCTATGACGACGCCTGTATTCTTTGTTGTCGCACTCGGCATGACAGCTTGGTTCATTGCTATCTTCATGAGGTTCTTGCCAACTTCGCAGAACCTACGCCGGCTGGAGATGGTTACACTCAGCCCGCTGATGTCCAATTTTGGTATTCTCGTCGACGGTCTAGCTACCATTCGAGCATTCAGGGCACAGTCGGTCTTTCAGGGCCGTAACATTGTTGCTACGGACACGTTTCAGAAAATGGATCATTTTTATTGGAGCTTACAAACGTGGCTTCAACTCCGGTACGATCTACTTTCGGCTTTCTCTATATTCACCTTGACGGTACTGGCCTTGTACCAAGGTCTATCCCCCGGCTTAACAGCTTTCGTGCTCACGAGTGCTGCCCAGCTGGTTGAGGCCACACATGTTCTATGCAAAACATACGGCCAACTTCAGATGGACTTTGTATCTGTGGAAAGAGTCACGGAACTATTAGACTTGGAAGAGGAGCCCAATGGGGACGTTGAACCCCCGGCATATTGGCCTTCATATGAGGATAGCATCACATTCGATTCGGTGACGATTAAGTACGCGCCGCATCTTGAGCCTTCACTTGTCGATGTTTCTTTTACAATCCCCAGCGGATCGACCTGCGCAGTCTTAGGTCGAACGGGGTCCGGAAAATCTACCCTAGCTCTGGCCCTTTTGGCTACGATGCATCCCGAAAAGGGGCAGATCCGCGTTGGTAATCAGGATATTTCTAAAGTTGACGTACATGTATGGCGCCAACGAATCAGCTTTGTGGCGCAGGACCCGGTGCTTTTCCCAGGAACGATTCGAGAGAATCTGGACCCGTTAGAACAACACACGGACGATGAACGCAAGGAGGCATTACTCCGCGTCCTAGGGCCAGAATGGTCTCTAGACTCGATTATTGATATTGGAGGCAAAAACCTCAGTCAGGGTCAACGTCAGCTCGTTGGTATTGGACGAGCTATTCTTAGAAAGAGCCCTATTATCATCTTGGATGAGGCAACGGCGTCGATCGATAAGAAGACAGCTCTTGCAATTCAGGATGTCCTTCTGGCGGAATTGAAGGACAGCACGGTGATCACGATTGCTCATAGATTAGAAGCGGTGAAAGACGCCGATTACTTTATTACATTAGATGCCGGTCGGGTAGTCGAGGCGGGACCGGCTGGCGCGTCTCGATAAGGAGTCATTTGAGACCGTACCTGCCTGGCGTATACGAAGTACATTGAAGGGGCACAGTGACAATGTACAGCAGATTGGATATTACTACATTACCTACCAGGCAGGTATATATAGGTGCCTAAGGTACCCAGGTACTTAAGATATAAACACATGTTATCTAGGTACCTAGGAGGTAGGCAACCAGGTTAGAGTTGCTGAGCCATGTGTAGAACAGAAGAAGTCAGGAACGATACATCCAAGTCTGAAAATGAATGACTGATTACAGGTAGATTCCGATATAATAAAATACCTAGATATGAGAAATCACATCGCTCCTACCTGGATACATGCTAGGCATCACATATCATATAGAGAGAGGGATCCTCTAAAGAAGGAGCACTCCGTTTGCTATTACAATAGTGCAATAATTCCAGACCTACACAATCAAAGACCAAAGCTTGGTGGATTATAAATACCTAGTACCTTCCCCGCCCCGAAACCTCCTCCGTAGGATTACAACAACGCCTGTGATAGCTTCACATTCCTGGAAAAAAATATGAGCATCGTCATCACATAACTATACGGTATCGATTCAGCATTGAAATATTTCCTACATAAACTATCTACCTAAGTACCTACCTGGGGCACACTTTATATCATTAATAACACTTATCGTCTCTTCTGTGCAATCTACCAGAGTCAATCAGATACCTTGCTTCTAAAGGGAACGACCATGTCAGTCAGGAACAGGAACCCCCAACCGCTCGCCAATTGCCCTGCACAAGGTACACCTACACGGGGATGTGCTATCCCTTTTGACGAACTACCTGACCTTTCTAGGCTCAAGCTGGAACTCAATGAAGTGGCAACTTTCGACTGGTCCTATCCTACGGCCCGTCCTCAGGGACCAGTCATCCTCAACGTCTATATGCGTAATCTCGATGAGTTCATCTACTCTTTTGAATCTAGCCGCGAGAAAGATGACTTAGCTCAGTTCAAGAAGACTCGTCTACGCCCCGAGTTCGCATCTCTTCCGGACGAGGAGATCTTGGGACGAATGGGTCGCTTCGCGCAAGACCGAGCTCTCATGATCAACTACATACTCGGCTCTCGCGTGTCGCCAGTTTACCACCAGGATTACGTCGACGAGAGACACCCTCCAGACACCAAATACGAGAGGAAAGAGCTGAAGAGGGACCGGCCGCGCATGGCGAGGAAGATAGTCGAGACCTTTTGGGGATCCGCACACTCGGGAAACCCGCTGCCGAGTCACGAGCACAAGCAGCTAGGTATATCCGCCTACGACTGCTGGGCCGAACGTATTGATGACAAACTAACAACGATGGCGAAGAAGCTCCATAAAGAGCCTAAGAAAATAAGGGGCCTGTTCTAGGAGAGCGGACCTCAACCTCACCTTCTCCCTCAGATCCGTAGCTCGGCAGAGAATAATGCTGAAACTGACACTAACACTCATGAGGGAGGTAGCGATAGCAACCCAATTGTTATCGAGAGCGACGATTCGGAGGAGGAAGTCAAGCGTGAGCCCAAGAGCCCGCTTAAGACTATGAAGCAGATGTCGAAGGATGCTTGACAACTGGTGTCGCCTAAATTTGGGGAGTTCCTACCTGGAAACTCGAGGAGGAAAGACAGGAAGGAGAATAAGAAGAAGTGAACTTCACTTTAAGAGGTCCCTCGCTGGTTGGCATTAAGGGACGGATATGCGTGTTCCTATGGCAAGCGATAGCCTGTTTCTTTTTTTTTTTTGGTTGCATTTATTTGATATGACTTTGCCATTTCACCAAGATGCAGGGTGGGTGATTTGGGAGTAAGCGGAAGAGGCGCGGGGGATTTGCAGCTTTGAATTTCCAAGGATTGGCAAAGCGAGTCAAGATGTTTTGACTTCGATTTAAGCAGGAATCTTCCTAGCTTATCTGAAGTAGAGGTGGCTTCATAGGCATGGACTTGTTTATATCCTACCATAGGTACCTTCTATATAGGCGAGGATCTTGCTAGATAGTTTGCTTAAGCAGCGTACCTAGGTAGGTAGGTAATCTTGCCAGGATTGCACATACTGAATAATATTTGCATTGCGTTTAATCATCCATTATGGGAATTCTTGAGCATTATAATTTACCTGTGCGCTATAACCCATGCTCTGTAACTGTAGATCTGTGTATATTTTGTTACCTCGTTCCCCATATTTTAATATCAAGAGTTATTAGAATTATTTCCTGCTCATTTACTAAAGTACGAGAGCAGACCTCTTCTCCGTCAATCCGGATAAGCAGGGTACTAGTATGTTTACTACTTAATATAATAAGTTCGTGATGATTGATGTATTGCATCATCTAATGTGAACGTCCACGTCATGACCTGAGCCTTGCTTGAACAATGGTCTACTTACTCTCAGAAGGTCGCCACGATCAACTCGGGCGTTATCTTGAATTGATTAATAGATCGTATTTCATAATTCATGATGACTTCGATACGCCACCTGCACCTTAATCCGTTGAAGAGACAGCCCTTACTCAAGGACCAACCGGCCCCTGATGAAGACGGTCCCAAATTACCGGTGAAGAAGATTCATACCAATCCTCAAGGATCGGAAGGCAACGAAGACGCAAGCATATATTTCATCGGCACGGCGACAACGGTGATCGAATGGCAAGGGCTCCGGATCCTCACCGACCCCAACTTCCTGCACGCCGGCGACCACGTGCACCTGGGGCCGGGAGTGACCGCGCAGAGGAAGACGGACCCAGCGGTCGATCTGCGCGAGCTGCCGGCCATCGACTGCATCCTGCTGTCCCACTACCACGAGGACCACTTCGACCGGCTGGTCGAGGACTCGCTGAACCGGTCGTTCGACATCATCACGACGCCGCACGCCAAGACGTGCCTCGCGGGCGGGTCCAAGGCGGACCCGTTCCGCCGCGTGCACGACCTCGGCTTCTTCGAGAGCATGATGCTGCACGTCGACCGCAAGGACACGCCGCCGCTGCACGCGGGCGGGCACGGCAAGGCGCCTGTCGTCAAGGTGACGGGGATGCCGGGGAAGCACGTACCGCCGGGCCCCCTGGCCGCGGCTAACGACTTGCTGAAGGCGGTGCCGCCGACGAACGGGTGGCTCTTGGAGCTGGGGTATAGCTCCACGGCGGCGACGGGCAGGGACGGGAACGGGAACGGGAACGGGAACGGGGACATCATCAACGTCGGGTACCGGGTGTACATATCGGGGGACACGCTGTTCGTCAACGAGCTGAAAGGGATCCCCAAGTGGCTGAAGAACGAGAAGGTCGACCTCATGCTGGCGCACCTAGGGGGGACGACGATCCCGGGGCCCGCGCTACCGCTCGTCATGGTGACGATGGACGCCAAGCAGGGCGTCAAGCTGATGCGGCTCATCAACCCGGGCGTGACGATCCCGATCCATTACGACGATTATAGCGTCTTCCTGTCGCCTCTCGCGGATTTCAAGGAGAAGGTGGAGGAGGAAGGGTGGGATGATAGGGTCGTGTATCTTGACCGCGGGGAAGAGTATCGGTTCAAGGTCCGGGGAAATTGAATAAGCAAGACTACCTAGTAAAGTAACATTAGGTCCCTAGGTCTAGGTAGGTATCTAAGGATAAGGATTAGGATAGTTAGTCGAACAGCAGGAAGATGAGAGAGATTGGGATGGTCGTGTGCCACAGTGGGAAAACGGCAATCGGGAAAAAACTGCAGGATCGCGAACCGCGTTTGGGATGAACTGAACTGAACATAAGAAGGGAGAGAAGAAGAAAAAATAATTTAATTTAATTGACCAGTCATATGATCCTTTATTTAACAATATAATAATAATACTCTTTCTAATAACTGCATTAGCACCTCTCTCGTTGGGTACGTGCATGTTCAATTTTCATTAAATGAGCTTGCTAAACAGCCTAAACCGGGTTGATGATGTATCTGTATAGGCATCAAAAGTTGATATATGAGCACTTTGTAGTAAGTAGTAGCCTTTTATCCCTTCCCCCCATCTTCCGCCTCCTTTTTTTCTGTCCTTTTTTTTTCTCAGCGAAGTCGTACATCGGATTGCAGGATGGTGTGTAACTAGATAATTTCCTCAGAGCCCGTCTTGGCTAGGTACCTAAGGATAAGGATAGCCTGTTCAATAGAAAACAGAGGGGGAAAAAAAATAAAAAATAAAATAAAATAAAAAAGACATGTAGCTTTAGCGCTTAGTTTCCCATTGTCTTACACTATTTCCCGAGACCCAAGCAAATTGGCCTCTAATCCGTAATGAACTCTCTAATGAATGCCTATGTACGGATGTACAGATTTGTCTGTATTGCATCGCACCGCAGTTGGATATGAACACTTCCATATATATTATCTGCGCATTGAAGCATTTAATCGTATTATAAGTTCAGAGCGCAGCTTATATTTATATTAGATAGATTTGAGTCCCTGAGAAGATGTAACGCAGAAAGTCACCTGACCTAATAAATATGACGCGCAGTAATACTCGTATTTAACCTACCTAGTGTGTACCTAGGTGCTGAGATGCAGGTGCTTGATGTACCTAGTACATTGACATGTGCTCTTAATAACGTTAGCTTTACGGTTGCAAGAGAACTCGAATCGTAGGTACTAGAACCTTATTGATTCATCTGGGTTAAGACAAGTTGGGCCTTCCCATGTTAAAAAGGGCTAATGTCACACCTTTCGCGTAACAAGATAGAGCACAAGCCAATCATGGGTCGGTTCGCTTTTTAAGCGTGGGCCATTTATAAGTTGCTCAAATACTAAAGTACCTCCACTTTCCTTATTTAATTAGCACTAAGCGGAGGTAAAATCAGCTACTAATAAATAGATTATGTGGCCCCACAAGTTAAAAAAAAAAAGGAAACTTTAATAGTCCCGGACATCCTTTTTATTTTGTCCGTTTGTTGTTATTCGTTTATTTAAATTCAACTGTCAATGATACTAATGTTATTTTAATATTATATGACAAAAGGCGTGTTAGAGATTCTCTCTTCAGGACTGGTAAGTAAATAGCAAACGTAACATGCTGTCAGATTGAAAAAGTGCGCTAATTCTTCTACCATGTCCAATAGCAAGCAACAAGTAAAGAGCCATCTTTAGGTGGACAACAGCTAGAGCAACCAGTCAGTTACTCGTTGCAGGTTTTTCCTTTAAAAAAAAGAGGAAGAAAAAAAAAGAAAAGAAAATCATAGAGCGTGTCTCCACCAGCAAAGCCCCTAAAGTACATACCTCAACATACATACAAAAAAGTATTCACCACATTTATTTATGTACAAAGGAGACGCGTGGACCTGTTAAGGGATCGACCACATTTTAATGTTAGCAATCCAACTACTCGGTCATGGAAGAAGCACAACCCCCGTCTGCACCGGCTGCATCAGATGCACCAGCTACAACTACTACAACTACCGCTGCGACCGCTACAACCGCTGCGCCCCCTGCGCCTAGTCAATCGCCTATAGAGATCCAGGCTCCGTCGTCAGCTAATCCTTCAGCTAATCCTCCAGCTAAAGCCCCAGCTAACCCCCCAGTTAACTCTCCAATTAACTCTCCCCCAAACTCTGCAACACACTATCCGAACGGGCTTCCCCGTAGTATCAATGGACTTAACGATAATGCGATCAACGGTTTGGGACTGACGCCTATGCGAGGGGGCTCAGCCAGTCCAAGAACACCTGTTCAACCGATTGCGCCGTCCCCATCAGCAACTACGCCGGTACTAGCGGCCCGAGCAGTGACAGCAGCCTCCGCGCCGCCACCCCAAGTTCCAGCTCCAGCTCCGGCTCGGGCTCCGGCTCCCAACCCTCCACGCCCACTTAAACCAATGGTTATATATACGCCTTCTCAGCCGCACCCTCATTCTCAGCCACGTCAACAACAACATCATCATCAACAACACCAGCATCAACAGCCTATACATCGTCAGTCTTCTACAGGTGGAATGCACAAGGTTTCCATCGTGGAACCGCCAAGAGCATATTCACAACCGAGAAGCAACCCGCAGGCACCGAATGTTCCTCCCAGTGCAGGCTTCCCGTCCCCCAGGAGAGAGCACCATCTTGAGAATTCTAAGTTTGGCGATGACTTATCCCGCCTCACCCATGCCATGCAGCAATCAGTCCCCGCTGCGGTAAGGAGAGTCATCCGCGATAACTGGGAGAAGTGCCTTCTTGGCTCCGAGTTTCATCACGCGTTCCTTGTAAGTGTATTTTTCTCTTCTGGCCAGGTGTTAACCGTACTTTGCTATCACGTAACTTCTTTATTACTACTCCCCATCTTACTTGTCACATCACATCAGTATCAAGTGGCAGCTTCGTTTTCAATACCCTTTTTTTCAGCGCCACTTTGTCTGTTGTCTTGGCCTCAAAGTGTGCCTCTGAGATACTCATCACCTTTGGCCCCAAATCCCGGCTTATCTTGACTTTCTGAATGCATGATAACTTGAATCCCATTTACTAACATAGAAACTAGTTGAATGCCGTTATTCATCACTCTAATGGGGTTATTATCCGTCGATCTATCAAAGATTTCGGTGCCAAGATGGTGTCCGAGTCAAAGCATGAGATTGTCTCACATTTCTCAACGGCAGACCTTAATGAACTAGCAGATGGGATACTCGAGAAGGCTAGTGACTACTTCCTAGATCTGGCACTGGAAAGGCGGCTGAGGACTATTGACGCGCGCTCTCTCATCAATGCTCTTGCGCGAGCTGAGCGTCTTGGTTACGAGAATAGCGACATTCTTGATGATCGGAGAGGAAATGGATCCAGATTTAATCCGGCACCTTTTAATCCGGCACCAAATCCCGTTGCGATCACTCCCATCTCGAGACAACAGCATACGCCCGCTATGCCTGCTATGCCAGCCCCGACACAGGCAGTAGCACGTCCTCCCCCTCCTCCTCCTCCTACTATATTGCAATGCCCACTATGCTGGCGCAAGTTTGACCATCCACAGCCCTACGAATATGTAAGTTAGAAGTCCTTCCCTTACACGATCTCTGCGCTAACTCAAATATAGCATGTCCAAAAGCAAGTGTGTACTAAAGAACCACCAAGCAAGGAAGGGTTCCCTTTCTCATGCCAGTATTGTGGTGCTGGTTTCATAACCAAGGTTGGCCAACAATATGTTAGTCGTTCTTACATCCACCTTTTAGACAAATAGCTAATACAGACAACAACAGCATGTAGCCAATCATGTCTGTGGTGATCATGGTACTATGCCAGCGACACCTAGAGGGCCGGCAAATGTAGGATCGCCTATCACGATCTCATCAGGAAATAATAGCCCGATCCAGCTTCCATCTTCTGTACCTTACCCTCCAGGAACTCAGCATGCCACAACTCCTTTGTCTCATCGATCTACTGCGGCATCGACTCCTGGCTCTCTACCGAAAGAGCAAGATCCTTATTCACGCTTGAATCCCGCGACGCGGGAAAGACTAGAGGAAGAGCTACGTCAAGCTGAAATTACATATACCGCTCGCTTCAAAGAAGCAGAGCAGATCCAAGATCCAGCCCAACGGCAGCTTAAGATGGACGGTCTCCAGAACAGTTTCAGTACGAAGCAGAGCATTATTAGAAAGAAATACGGCGTCCGGCTTAGAAATCGACGAACTAAGGCCGAGATTGACAACGAGCGCCAGCGTATGGGTTGGAAGCATGGCAGCCCCGGCCCGATAGAGGATACTCCAAGCGCGAAGCGTCAACGGACTGACGAAGGCCTCTCTCGTCTAAATTCCCAGGTTCCTCCAAGCAATAATTATCCCGAGCCTAGAAGCAACCACATACCTGTAGCGGATATGTCAGGGGGATTAGGTGGAACAAACGCAACAGCAGCCACCATCGATCCTACGCGGCCAAAATCCCCCGAGGAGCAGCAAGGATCCCCGCAGAACAGTCTTACATCGTTACAGCGTAAAGGTTATCGCATCTCGTCTCACCTCCCTCGATCGAGCCAAGTCTCCCCCGCCGACACTACGATGGAAGATTCTACTACTCAACGGAGCGACTCGGCGTCGGTGCCCGTAGTAATAGATGAGGATGAGTCTTCGGATTCCGACTCCGATGGGGATATACCCGCGAGCCTGCCTCCTCACAGAGCTAGTAACACGCCCTCAAGGGGCTTAGCAGCGTAGGATTATAGGCTCATTCCCTGAATACCTACCTAAGGTAGGAATTATGTATTCAGAATGCGGGAAGATAATCTATTCCTACGACAATCCCGACTTGCAACAACGAAAATAAGGAGCATTGGTATACTTTTATCCACTTGGTTCCAGGGGCCTTTGATTCCATACGGAAGCATAAAGTTTTTGCGCTACATTACCTATGATTGTCTTGCACGAGAACAGTGTGTTGTGTCCGCAGTTATATCTCCTTCCTTGTCCGGCTTCGCCTTCACCATAAAGCGGGAGCTACTCTTTTTTTTTTTTTTTTTTTTTTTTTTCTTCCACAAACAGTACCTCACCGATTAGACTCTCCTCCAAGAGTTTACTCGGACTCGGCGTTGAGACAGCACGAGGCTAGAGACGGATGTGGATGTGGAAGCACGTAGGAAAATAGGACGAGCATTGAGCGTTCTTAACGTATGGCATTTCTACATGCATTCGTTGCTACTTGGTGTGTTGCTAAAGATATACGAATCAGACCTCGAGATCCGCGGACACGCACCGAAAAAAAAAAAAAAAAAAAAAAAAAGGGGGGGGGGGAGGATGGCTTGTTGTGATACCTTGTAGTGATTGCATACCATACCATAGGAATCGAGCTGGCAGTCAGTCAGGCGTTAATGCTAAATCCTATATACGTAATTCCATTGACTTGTCTTCTTGTATCCTTTAGATTATATACCTTGAATGCTTAAAGTACCCAAGCTTCGATATCATCTCGCCCCTCTTTGTTTTTCTTTTTGCATTCCTCTAGTAAACGTACGTAGGTACCTATTTAACTACCTGTAATATGAGGTACCTAGAGTATATCCAAGCAGTTTTACGAGGCGAAGGAAAAGCTACTCTAAGCCCCTTACACACCCGCAACATAACCCCCGGCTTTTTGCTGTCCCCTCTCATCTCTCATTCCCCTTAGATTGACTCCCCCCCATAGCTTCACAGAAAGCCGCACCCTTCCTTACGTTACACTTTACAAGTATAAGACATAGGATACTCGAGAAGATTTTTAGAATTCATTCGCATTTATATTTACAATTACACTTCGCACCCCCCCTTCCCCCTTCCCAATCCTATCCTATAACCAACCTCGCCCGGCGGGGAGGGAGGCAGAGAAAAACAAAAAGCAACGACGAAGGAAAAAAGACAGCTATAAAACAACAACGACGACGTAAATCAACATGCCATACAAACTCCATGCTTGATTCTGCGCGCCTGCTATATCATGCATAGGTATCTCAAAGGCACTTCCCCTTCCCCCCCCAACAATCTTCCTGACCTCAACTTGCTCCCGCCCCTTTCTGTTGAAATACAGAGAGATAGGTAAAGGAGACTGTCACTCGTAAGTAACAATTAACCCGAAAGAAGAAGAAAAAAAAACGACTTTAAAAAAAATAGGAATTAATTATTTCCTGTGTCCGTTCCGGCGGGAAAATGGGCCAACAACTTGGTTCCGCATCGATCATGGAGTGTCGTATTAGAAGATATGAGCAATCCGATGCTTCTCTCTCACACGATAGGTGGAAAATGTCGCTCGCTACCAGCGCCATTCCCCTTACACCCTGCCAATAGCTCTTGTCCCTTTAGTTTCCCGTCTCTTCTTCCTACTCCCTCTATCCTATCCCGTAACTCTCCTCACCCACAACGTAGTCGGCTCATACTCCGCGTCGCGATCCAGTCTCTTATAAGCGCGGTGCAATTTCAGTCCCAGTTCGTAGCTCTCGCGCTCAACATCAGCCAGCTCGAGTCGCAACGCCTCTACTTTACGTTTCTCCTCCTCGCGTCGTCGTACCACCGCGTCGCTCGCCAGGATGTGGTCTGTCGGCATCAGCTCCGTCATCTGCTTGATCGCCGTATTTAGGTTGATGCGACGGTTACCCAGCGCCCTTAGCCGCGCGTCTAGCTGGGCCACACGATCCCGAGCTTCTAACGACTGCGTCTCGGGTGGAGCTGGGGGGAGGGACTTATCTGCTACGGATATGATGGTGAGCTTCGAGCTATTATCCTGGAGGCCAACGTTATTCGTCGCCTTTTTCTTGACATTGGTTTTGCCGGTGGTGCTGGTGTCTTTGCCATTTCCTCCAGCTCCTGTCATATAGTATGAATCTAGGCTAATCTTAACGGGTTCGACGGGGCTACTTCGCGGGGAGTTTTCGTAGCCTGAAACTACCGGGCGTTTGCGGGCAAGAATCGAGGGCTCTTGAGGAGTAGGTACCGCCGGCGTGCCCTCTTCTATACTCTCTCCATGAGTTGATTGGTCTGACGTAGCATGTGTGGTGACGCTGAAGCGAGATGGGGGTTGCGTCCAACCTTCTAAGGATGTGTCAGGAGGTGGTGCTTGGGCAGGGGGTATTTCCGGCTGGGAGTATACGGATGAGGAGGTTGACGGGTGGTGCTGGTGGCTAGGGGTTCCCGTCGGCTTCCTACGAACTGCTTTGTTGTTAGACGGGACTTGTAGAGATTGCTGGCGATGATTTCCGGCCGTATTATCGTCTGAGAGAGGTGGGCTCGGATACGTATGCAGATCAGCGCTAGGATTTGTGACTTGAATGTTCGGTGATTGTGGCTGGGGAGTAAGTTCAGAATCGACAGAATCAATACGGGATAGGCCACCAGTGTCACGAGCAGCCCGTTTACTACTTCTGCGAGGGATCTTTAAAGGGGCCACGTCTTTCGTGTCGTTAACAGGTGCAACCAGTGTTGTTCGTCCACTAGCACCTCGCCATGCTGGTCTCGGAGTTGGCTCAGGTTGTGTACTAGAGTTAGGCTGTTGTACTCGACGCAACTGGTCACGGAAGGAAATGGGGCCTTGGTTAGCTGGCTTAACCGGCGTAGGAGATACCGAGCCTGGGCGACCAGCAAGACCCTGGGCGTACTGTTGCGGGTTCGTCTGTGATGGTGTACCCTTCGAATCCGTAGTAGGTTCTCCTGTCCTCGGGTTCCACCGTACATCTTGACCATATGGCCGTTGCTGCTGCTTCAGCCTCTCGCGAGACTTGGCCTCTCGAAGAGCATTCATAGCAGCATCCGAATTCTTCCGACGCTCGCGACGGGCGGCTGGAATTTTGGTGCGAGCTTCATTGATTGGTTGACCACGAGGGTCTATGGCGAGTTGAGACATGTCTGGGGTATCGTCGATAGGAGAGACATCGCCTGGATTGGGCCTAAAACAAAAGAGGGACGTTAGCTTGAACCTCATGATGTCTCTGCTTCGACAGAGAAGGTTTATGTTCTTCATAATGTATCCAAAGATTTGGGTACCCATTGAAGTTTTGAAGTATCAACGTCTTTCCAAAAAGCCAAGTCCCAAGAAAGAGCGCCGGGTTTGTGACGCGCAAAACGGATAACCAGGGATGTGATGTGTTTTTTGACGGCAATGATGATATAAGGCATGATACCAAATACAGTCACCACCAGTCTCCCTTTCCATAGCACTGATTTGCTGTTCCGTGTGCCTACCCCCTTCTTTCTTACTCTTCCTTATGTTCCTTATGGACAGCTGTTTCCATTTTCCTCTCATTGACCTAAGAAAGATGAGCGATTGTACTTACTCGTCCTGGGGCGAAAACACATCAGGGGAACTCGGTGGGGAAACCTCGTTCGGATCGTGAGTCGTATTATTAGTTGGATTATAAGTCGGGACCTCGACTCTCAGCTGTTGCGCGGCAAAGGTAGCAGCAGCTGGCGAAGGCTGGGAGTAGATTGACGATACAGGTCGTAGGTAGCTCGAATTGCGATGTTGGTTCGGCGCTTGTACGGGGGGTGCTGGTTGGAGGTTTTGCTGATTCTGCTGACTGCGATATCGTCATGTTAGCATCGTCTAGTACAGTCGGATCGAAGTACAAATGGGATGAGTACAACTGGTGTAACGAATATGATGAATATGACGAATGCGACAAAATGTGACAAAATGCGGTACGAGGATCACGATCCTCTTCCAGCTGATTTCTTGTCTGAGTCGACTAGATGATTTGTACATCCAATCCGTCAAATTCGCTAACACCCGATTGACTAGATGAACAAGGAAACACATGCGATTGCTATAATTTCGGTTACAACCTGCAGGAGGCTGAAGGTTGTCGACATAGTTATCGTTCCTGATAGAATCACTTACTGTTCGGTAGGATAGACAGGCTCTATCGGTGGTCTCGGGGGAGGAGGAGCTCCTCCTCTAATAGAATATGAGTAATACGAGTCGCCTCCCTTTATGCTGCGTGAACGGGATTTCTGCCAGGCTTCGAGCTTCTTCCTGTCCAAGGACGGCGCGCCCTGATCCTTTGAGGAACTTCGTAGACGGTCAAACATGGTGAACTGCCAAAGCTACCACCGAACCTCCCTCGGATACCAATTTTGCCACTTTTACCAATATTCCTTTTTTTTTTCTCCTTTGCTGCCACTTCTGTGTATCACTGACGCTTTAGACGTGTCGGATCGCCAACTAGGATGCGATAGCTTCACACAAATTATGGATCTTGGCTTATTTATTTTTCTGGAGAAGCGGTATTGTTGGAAACAGCCCATGAAATTCAGATGGTTCCCCAAGCTTAGGAAATCGGATGTTGTTGTTCTTTGCTTACTAGATGCTCTCCTGGAGTTCCTCTAGGAAATGAAAGTAAGAATCAGAATTAGAAAAGAGAGCTTTAAAAAAATTGAGGAATAAAAAAAAAGGAGTATGCAAAGGTTTGGTAAAAAAGTTATTGTTGGGAGATTTCCCCCTCTAATACGCTCTAATATCACTGGTATTGCAGGTGGTCCTATGTGGTATGCGTCTCTGGCGTCTGCTTCGTCGTGAATTTGTTTGCTTGTTTGTCAATTGCTTCGTACTTTGTTATTTTCTTGGCAAGGTTAATGCTGGAAAATCACGCCTCTTTATTTATTGTCCAGCTGAAACTTAGGAAAGTTTAATAAGTTGAAGTCCCCAAGCCAATTCCTTATTATGGTTCATGGCACAGGATTTCCTTATCGTTCACTGCAGTCCAGTTATGTCGTATGTACTCGTTAAAGAATCGGGCTGTCGGGGCCAAACTGGTCTCATGTCGGGTCCTTTTCCACCTATTGATTAAGAGTTAAAATAGCATAGATTCCGCGCTTTCGGCCCTTGCGCTAAAGGACCCCGTTCCTGAAGATCCGTTACGCTAATGTCGTGCGTTCTTGTATATTAGAGTTTACATAAAATTTAATATACTGCGTATATAGAAGTACAGCATAAATATATTATAACACCTTGTAAGGTAGATGGAAAATAATGCGCACTTCAAAAAGAATATATTTGTCATGTCAGAAAATGAAGCGACCAAAAATAGGGAAGGGGTCCGTTGACGCCTTTTCATACATACCTACTATTATATAAGGCATGTTGGCGTTATTATTACGGCAGGTCCTTTAATATTAATATTACATAGCTCTCGTCATCACCTCTAAAATCACCTTTTGGTCAGCCTAGCTGTAATCCTTCTCCCTCTTTTGGTCATTACATATACATTAAGTAGTCCAACCTTAATATAGATTTCGGCCGGGACATTCTATAAGATCCGGTTCGTTATCACCTTTTCTATCACCCTACCTTAAGTATATATTAGGTATCCATAATGTACCCAAGAATAAATATATTGCCTAAGGTCAACAGATCTAATTCAACTTCTAAATTAGTTACCTCTCAAAAAGTAAGTAACTACCTAGGCAGGTATGTATTGTTACCTTACAAAACTTGACAGTCCCATTTACATCTACAATTCGAAAAATCTTAGAAAGCTTCGAATCTCCGATGAACCGCGTTGTGTATAACTTCGGAACAAGGACCAACCCCGGAGGACCTAGAAGGTCGTGGAGAACATAGGTACCTAGGGTAAAAACTGTTTCACCTTCAAATGCCTAGGTCATTTACCTACCTAGGTACTTGCATCCCTCCTGCTCTCCAGGGGTTCGCAGCAAGGAACCCTAACTATCTCGATTGGGAAAGTGGGCTGATGGGGTAGCGTTATGCGTACATGATTACTACCTACCTAGCCAATTGTTCAGCTTTTGAAGCTTGATCAGGAAAACCCCTCCAGTCCGCCGGATAGTTACACCTATATATGTAGTATTTACAGGCAGGCTCAGTATGTTCTTGTATGCTGTATTATGTTACGTAAAGAGCCTCCACAAACGCCTCTCCAATTGATTTATCTTTAATGATCCGGCATTAGCTAACCGAAGAGCTATTGGCTGGGAGCTAAGTTTAGAATCTCATGTGTTACATCTCTTAACGCTTGGTAAATTGTCGTGGTTTGCTACATTAGATACCTAGGTAGATACCTAGGTAGTTTAGGCAAGGTATACCCTAGTCCTTACCTACTGCACTATCTACTTAACAAATCCAGAGTCATGCTACCATAAGCTGACCATTGTTGACTCCGTTACTAGTACCGCCGGTTAGGAATTAGTAATATACAGGAGTATACAGGAGCAAGATCAAATAGAATTGTTACGTGTTAAACTTTGACGTATTCGTTACTGCATTGACTATGTTATACACCCATTACTTATCTCTTAACCCAATTTGCTTAAGACTCAAAGAATTATTCTAACACAACTTGCTTAACTCAAACGGTTAACTAGGTTACGTACCTAAAGTAAAGAGCCCGACATGACACGACGAAACTTACATATAATAATGTATAGTTACTAACCTACTTACTTCTTTATAAGGCCCAATACAGCACCTATACATATGTACCTTCAATATGCACTTAAAACTTATGTCGTGAAGTTTCGGTAGATTGGTGTGAATTACCTATATTGATCTTACTAAGTCTATGTAACACTATAATCTTTGATTGGTTCCAGAGCGTAACAAAGATTACGTCTACAGCATATAGAATTTGGCTAAGTGGGTGAAAGTGTATAGCTTCGGCGATAGCTACTTAAGCTAAATAAACGTATAACAACTTAGATAGGTACTGCCTAGGCCGTTATAGACAAGCCAGTTCATCTTCCACTCTCTCGTAAATAAGATCTGCAAGTTAATTTATCATGAGCTGAATTCAATCAGGTATACAGCATTCACTTAGATGAAAAGGTCATATGTTTGGAGAAATGCCTACAATGGCTCAAGGTCAAGTCAACCTGTCAAAGTTGTTCCCGCTGCAACGGCCCCTAAAACTTTTAGACGGTACCTGTTGTACCTCTTGGATCTTAGGTATGCGGATACACCCGGGCCATTGGCATCAACACATTTCCCTACATATGGCGGGCAGGCCTGTAGTGGCCCTCACTTACCTCTTTGCCCTACCTTCCCTCGGATAAATACATAAGTTCCTTCTACCTTTCCCCCATAAAATACATGGAGCCCACCTGCTCATGGGGAGACCAGCTTTTTCTACTTACGGATGATCAAAACAATTCTGTCCATCCTCGGATAAATACATAAACTCCGCACCCCGCACACCTCCGCACACCAAAAGATAATCCATCTTCCTTCCATTCTCCAATAGGTACCTATGAAAACAATGATACCCACACTCGGATAAATATATATCCTCCGTATATCGTGTGATAAACAATCCTGTGTATTCTCGGATAAGTACATAAATCTCCGCATCCTTTCGGATAAATGATCTTTTTTAATTTTCTGGTGAACAACTTTGAATGCTGCCCGCACTCGGATAAATACTTGTGTTCCTCTTTCCCACTGCGGATAGTTACATAAGCTCCGCACATTCACTGATAAGCACTCTTATCTGATTACGGATAAATTTATAAGCCCCACACACCCTAAATCCTACCTTCCCTCGGATAGACCCATATGCCCCTCCTTCCTGCCTCGGATAAATACATAATCTCCGCACAAACTCACACACCCACACACTCGGATAAATCATTTTCCTTTCAATCTCGGATAATCCTACCCTCCTTCGGATAAATACATACACTCCGCATCCCATTCGGATAATTGATCTTCCCCTATTCTCGGCTAAACCTCGGCTAATATATCCACAAAATCTTTCCTATGGCCAATTTCTCCAAGAGGTGGGCCCCTAAGATTAACCCCGCCATTTCGGCACCAGGAAATTTATATTTTCAGCTTGCACTTCGCGACGACGACTGCGAAGACGAGATTGCAGCTGGAACACGCCGTGGACGTAGAAGAAACCCCTCTAAAAAGAAAAACCACAAGCCAGCCCAACACTTCAAGATCCCGAGCCAAGCTATTTCTTCTACATCCACGTCACCCATCTTTCCATTTAAGTCCCCAGACCCTCTTGACTACAACCCACAGGACAATTCTGGCGACGAGAGTGACGAATACGACGTCGACCACACCCAAGCGCTTCTTAATTACGTTACTCACCGTCTCGAACAGCTAATTGCTGAACACGAAATTGAGGCAGAACCGGAGGAATTACCTGAAGATTCATCCGACAACATCTCGTACAAATTATTCTAGTTCAACATGGCTGCGCAAGTCGAGCAGCAGGAGGCGCGTCAGCAATACGCTTTCGTCGACGGTACATTCGCTGAGCTAGCTCTGGACTTGGCCAACCATCTCAACGTCGGCGACGAGGTTAAGGCTATTATCGAAAAGGACGATAAAGATCAGCAAGATGAGGTGTTGAAGAAGCTTATCGTCGCATCTACTTCTCTACACTCCGTCCCCGAGAAGGAGTTTACCTCCAACTATAACTTGCTGATCTATCTGGTTCTACAATCCGATCATGTCGGCATGTTCCTCCCTCGAGTTTGCGAGAACCTCATGAAGCCCGTCACTTCTTCACCCGTTCATGGCCAGGCACTCGCCCTTCAGGCTCTCACGACTATCTTCAACCTGCTACAGCAGGAGAACGAGGACGATTACGAGTTGCGCTTCCACGTCCTAATGGCAATCTTGCGATTCATTAAGCTGAACGGCATGTACGACAACCTTAAGAAGGCTTTGCCTAACATCAAGCAATGGCTTAAGCAGTGGGGAACTGAGGCGGAGGACCAGCGAAAGCTGTTCCTCGAGGTTGCAGAGGTCGCTCGCGACGCAGGTGACGACGAGTAAGTTACACTTTGGCAGATTTTTACTTTTATTTTTGCCTTTACTTTTACTTTTATTTCTACTTGGATTCAATTGCTTACTTCGCTATAACAGGGTATCCTACCAGCATATCCTTAGTGCCCTACGCACCTTTGACGAAGACGGTGTCAAGTCGGAGGAGGCCCAACAATTGGCCCTCCGCGCTTTGAAGACGGCGCTTCTATCCCCTACCCACAACGACTTCCAAGACCTCCTTGCCGTTTCTGCGATCCAAGCGCTCTCCGACTCTCATCCTCTCTACTTTGAACTGCTTACCATCTTTGCCGAGAAGGATCTAGAAGACTACAAAGACTTCAACGACGAACATGAAGGATTCATCGAGAAGGAACACCTTGATGGCGATAAACTTCATCGGAAAATCCGACTTCTTACCTTCGCAAGTCTGGCAGCTAGCACCCCTAACCGCGAGATCCCTTACGAGAACATCGCCAAGGCCCTTCAGATCCCCATCGAAGAGGTCGAGATGTGGACGATCGATGTGATTCGTGCCAGTCTAGTCGAAGGAAAGCTGTCGCAGCAGAAGAAGGTCTTCCTGGTCCACCAGACCTTCTACCGAGTGTTTGGCGAGAAGCAATGGCGTGAAGTTGGCGACCGCCTCGACGGATGGCGAACTCTTCTCGGTAACGTCATCGCTAACCTACGCCGAGAGCAAACCAGCGCCGAGGCTCAAAAGAAGCGCGAGACAGAGGAACTAGAGCGACGACTAGCGAATGCAGGCATCAGTGGCGGTAACCAGTCGGGCGCTGGCGGCGGTGGACGCCGAGGTGGTGGAGACCGTGGAGATCGTGGAGATCGTGGCGACCGTAACGAGCGAGCGCCTCGCAGAGAGCGAACTGACGATGATGATTAGACGAAAACATGATTCTCTTCTCTCTCCAAGTTTCCGGCTCTGGATTGTCTGCATCAGGTAACGGTCTACGGCGTCTTACGGATTTTTGCAGGGCGAGAGTTTTACATCGGATTGCGAATGATTTTTCCCATGGTTTAATATGCGGTTGCGGTGGTTTCGGAGGCTACATGATGGTGTTGTGTCTAACACCTATCTCATCTCATCTCGTCGCGCGGTCGGTTGCAGTTTACGTTGCATTATGTTTTCAGGCACCAGGGTTTGAAGAGAGAAGGGAAGTGGAAAAAATGTTCACCGGGTACCCAAAGTGCATGCATATAGAAAGATTATGAGTGAGGATTGACCCTCCTCCATCTCCCACGCGCGTTTACTTCACGACTTGTATTTAGAGGATACAGAAAAGTTGCCTGCGAATGCGTTGCGCATGTTTTAATTGCGAGATTTTTTAATTAATTCACTAATCTCGTCCCTTTCCTCTCGTATAAAAGTAATATAAAACAAACACCCCCTTCCCCTTCGTAGATGAAGCAATCCAGATACATAGATGCCCGGGTTGTTTCTGCATAATCGTTACCTATATATATATATATATCCCTGGTATATTCTTCGTGATCCTTTATTATCCGTACCTAATCATAATCTCTTCTCTTCTCTTCTCTTCTTCTGTTTCTATAGCCTAGCTAGGACGAGGGGGGAATAAAGCTGAATTCTATATCTGTATTCTATATCCGTAACAACTAATGCCTTCTTCTTCTTGTTCTCTCCTGGATTTTTTTTTCTTTTTCCTTTGAAATCTCTACTACCTTCGCGCCATCAAGAGCTTCTCAAGGCCACTACTCACTCTAACAGAAACAGAGCGACACCTTAGTAGGTAGTTCTTCTTCTTCTTCTTCTTCTCGGCTGCTGAAAAGTCTAAGTCCAAGAAGAAGAGGGAGAGAAAAAAAAGTAAATCTAAAAAAGTCTAAGACAAGTGGAGGCGCTTCTCGATCTCCCTCCTGGTGACGTCGAAGACCTGGTCGGGGCCGAGGCGGGCGTCGACGCGGACGACGCGGTCCTGCTTCTCGAAGTAGTCGACGACGGGCATGCTGGTCTCGACGAAGGTGCGGAAGCGCTTGCGGATGGACTCGGCGTTGTCGTCCTCGCGGCCCGAGGTCTTGCCGCGCTCCAGCAGGCGGCGCTCCATCTCGTCCTCGGGGCAGTCGTAGAAGAGCACCAGGCGCGCGGGGACCACGGCCTCCTCGAACTTGATCGCCTGGTCGAGCTTGCGGGGGAAGCCGTCGATCAGGAACTTGCCCTTCCTCTTCTTGTTCTCTGTCTTCTTCTCCTCGTCGGTCGAGGTCGAAGTGGAAGTGGGCTCGTCGAGGACCTGGCGCATGGCGGCCTCGAGCAGGGCGATGGTGACCTCCATGGGCACGATGAGCCCGTTGCGGATGTGGTGGCGGATGAGCTCGCCGAACTCGCTGTCGGGCCGGTTCTGCTCGGCGCGCAGCAGGTCGCCGGCCGAGAGGTGGGCGAAGCCGTACCGCGCCACCAGGCGCTCGCACTGGGTTCCCTTACCGGCGCCGGGCCCGCCGAGGACGAATATGACGGTGACGTCGTCCGGGGAGAACACCGGGGTCGTGCGGTCTTTGAGGTTGTCGATGGTGGACATCTTGTGGATGATGATGGTGGTGATGATATGTTCTTCTTGTTCTTGTTTTCTACCTTACATAAGATAGGGGTTCGATGGAACGAACGTAGGTAGATTAGCTAAGGTATCCTAGGTAAGGTAGATTAGGTACTAGGTATAATTTTGTTTTAGGTCTGAACGAATGAAGATTATTCGGGGCGAGGGGGAAGGAGAAGGAAAAAGGTAAGGTGGAGGTTTGTTTATTGGTGAAGAAGATAATTGTCGGTATTGATAGTGGGAATCGGAATCTCTTGGTTGGATATGTTAGTGGTGTTAGTTACATGGTACTGTATTTATCCTATTGTATTGCGCTACATTGCCCCGCTAATGTCCCGCATTGGCGCTACCTATGCGTTTATTGGTCTGCTAGGGTGGGGCAGGAATTAGGTTAGTGATATGGACAGTGCACGAAAACGTGAATAACCTCATGCTCAAACCCCTTATCGATTGTAACTTGGAGTAGCTTACACTTTACCAAAGCTGTTATGTTATCGCTTATATATTTGACAACTGAATGTTAATAAGCTTTGAGTAAGGGACAAGCTATACGACTGCTATTCTATAAATAAACTTTACGTTTTTAAGAAATTGAGACGTAAGAATGTGTTAGTGAAAACTTATCCTCTGTAAGTCTTTAAATTATACATGTTATACCATTCATAGGCCACAGCTTACTTTATTATATATTTGACCAAGTTAGACAAACCCGACAAGTAGATGAAATGTTTTTTACATATACCTGCCTGCCTGCCTACCTACCTAAGGTACTTAAGACGTTTCCAAAGCTCTGCTCACGGTGATGAGTTACACTACACTACATAACCACCAAGAAAATAAACACAAATGGTGGTTGTTATTCTCTCCCTGCTCTGGGTCGTAATCTCATGATTTGACTAGACCTCCTTCTCACTCTCTATGATAGTAAGAGAGAGTTAAGTCACTCTCAGACAAAAGTATCATGTGCTCGGAGAAGAGAGAAATTATCAATCTAGCCAAAGCTACACAACTTCGGTATTTGTTGGCATGCTGAAAGTCCACCCGCTCATTCTATCCTTCCTCAACCAATAATCATACATACATGCATATGATACATCGCTTTGATATAATCCCCGACTGGATATATATTAGGTAGGTATATATACATCAGCCAGAGTATCACTATTGCGTCTTCCGTGCCGGCGCAGTCCTATACGCAAATCGTCAATACCGTATACATATACACATATATACACACATACACAGACGGGGATAGGTTCAAAATAACTATCAACCCGCAACGGTGCGGTGCTCAACTCACCTGTTCGCCGCCTTAGCCCTGACCAAGGAAACGTAACCCGCGGTCCCGAGGCCGATGATGGCGATGAAGGGCCAGAACTTGACCGTGTTATTGGAGTCCCTGGGGGGTTGTGTGCTGTAACTTCGTCGCGATGGCGTTGCCGTTGCCGTGCGAAACCGGGACGGCAATGCAGGCTGCATCAGTAGCCGCCGTGATGCGCCAACCACGACACCAGCAGCCATTGGATATTTAATTAATTTGGGGGCCGTCTCCTTTTTTTTTTTTAAAAAAAAAAAAAAAAAAAATCTGTGGGGGGGTATGATAACAAAAATTGATTGACCTCTTTGCACTGCCTTGCCTTGCTGCACTCTGTATTTCAATATGCGCCCGTGGATAATATTAGACAAAGCTTGATGACGATGATGGAACTTTAGGTAACTTAAACTCGGGGCTTTGAAGCTAGAAAAGCTTTTGGAAACTGCCCACCATGAACTGATTGATGATAGCGCGCAGTTGGTCACCAGCTGGGGACACCTGGATCAAAATACGGTAGTCTAAGTCTAAGCAAGTCCAGGTTCTACATGTACTATGTAAGAATTGGCAATAGTAGCCACAGCCTCTGTGAGCATGGATCTACCTAATATAGTACTTAAATTAGGTACGCATAGAATGAAATATCACTGCACTGCGATGTATCTTGAGCCGTTCGTGTAGATCCTCATGACCAGTAATCAAGGTATCAAGAACCGCTCGGGGAAATCCAACCACGCTTAATAAACCCAAGACTTCTTTACATAACCGCTTCTCATTCATCCAATTCTTTACATAATCTATCTCAAAGCTTGCTGCGCCTTACGGGACAGCCCTCTCCGTACTCCTACTAGGCCCCGGATGTGCAGCCCTGCGGCTCTGCAGTAAAGAATCCTTCCCGGGTTGCAGAATCTCGTGCGTCCATAACAGACGCATAGCCACCAACATGCCGCCTCGAGAAGGTCTCTTTGTTGTAACCCATTATGAGAACCTGCTTGCGAGGTTACATATCATTTCTTCCATACAGCCAAGGTACCTAATGTATGCATTGCTGAGCACCGCTGAAGGCAAGTACACGTCACCGAATACGAAGTAACCAAGTAAGGCGTGCGACTGTTGAACTGGTATCTCAATTGTTCAAGACAGAAAAAAAAAGAGCTTGCTATACACAATGTAGCGGGAATTATGATATATGTAAAATGTAGAAAAAAAAAGGGGGGGTTTGTTGTTGTTCCATCCCTGAGGTATATTCCAAGTTCGCCAGTATCCCAAAAAAAATGCACAACCTACACCTCTTCTCCCTCCCAATCATATCATCTCGAGGACGCCGCCTCTTCATTTGGGTCAGCTTTGATTCGTCGGTTGCTACCGTTCCTGCATGTCGTAGATGAAAAAAAAACCATAGGACGTAGCGCATCGCAGTGGTGGTGTGGGAGATAATCCAAACTTGGGTCAATGTGACCCCGTTCCAGCTCAGCTGAACAAAAGAAATTAAGTATATCCAAGTAATTGTTTTAATCTCGCTTCATTTTGTTTTTATTTATTTTTATTTCTTTTCCTTCTGTCGCCATGCCCTTTTTTACCGCGGTTGGCTGAAACTCGTCTGTGCCGCCGGCGGGCTCTTGATAACGGCGTCGCTATACGCGCCAGGAATAGGCACGGCGTCGTATTGTACCTCTCCAGGCGCAACTGGACCATGCTCGTTTACGTTGGAGCCAAAACTGGTTCCAGGTGCGTTGGGGGTTGTAGGTGTTCGGAATGCACCCTGGCCCATCTTGGGGGTGGCGGAGGGAGCCTTGGTGGGCGGAGCCTGCAACTTGAACGGTTTCTCCGCACTCCTGGCTTGGCTTGCAAAGGAGGATGGAGGCTCGGCCACTTGTCCGCCCAGTGTGACGGAAGATTGTTCCGAGATATCTCCCAGAGATTTGTAGGCTGAGGGAGGGAAGCGTGGCGACATAGCATACTGTGAGAATGACGGAGACTTGGGTCCAAAGCCTGGAGTATTGGGTGCCGATTGCGATCGCAGCTGTGCTAGGTACAGGTCGGATCTGGCGCGGTCTCGCAGATCCATCGACTTGGCTAGGCGTCGCTTGGTGTAATATCGATAGAAGACAACGCTGTAGAGAATGATAGTAAGAACATCTATGACGATCTCGATAATAATACAGATCAGAGCCCAGTTCTAAGAATATCGTTAGCCATGTCATTGAGTAATCAAACAGGCTCATCCGTGTGCTTACCTGAAGTCTGCAAACGAGTTCGTAGTCAACCTTTTGCGAGAAAAGATCGGCACGGTGGTTTTGAACACACGCCCATCCCCACATGTCCTTGTTATCGCTGTTGTTCCTCGTGAATTGCAAAACACCTGCAGCGGCAGCCCATAGAATCACGGAGACGATGAACCAGCCAACTGCGAACAATGTATAGTATACACCAACCTTCTCTGCACGACGATGACCACCCCTGCAGTAACCGATGAAAATAAGTATGCAGATCAGGAGATTGGTACAGGAGACAGCCAGTACGAGAATTTGCGGCCACGTGCTCGTGCCTGTCGCCCATGCAGGTAGGCCGTTTTGCGCCGGTAGAGTCTTAGTCGCGTGGAAGATAGCAAAAGACGAGGAAAGCATGGCTAGAATAATGGTGCTGCAGCTGAAACTGACACCTCGGAGAGCGAACTTGGCCATCCGAACTTTCGTCTTAAGACCCTGTATTATGTGTTAGTCTAGACTCTTACATAGTTGCTTATGATTCAACCTACCAAGTCTCGTTTTTGCTCCTTCTCGGTGTCCTTCTCCCTTTTCTCTAGTATATCCTCTTCCATGAATGTCGGACTTAAGGGGTTCTCAAATTTCCTCCCCGGGGTACCTGGCACTTTCATGGCGCTCTTTAGGGGCGACTTTGGTGTCATCGGCATATTCACAACATGGCTCGACTCCTCTCCAATATATCCAAACCCAACATCAGCCGGTTGAGCGTGAGCTACATGTGATCTATCATCTCTTCCAAACGGCATATCTGGTTGCTCCACCGGCGAGTATACTGTAGTAGCTTCTGCGAATCTTGGTGTCCTTGGCGGTTTGTGCAGCGACGATGTGGTAGAAGAAGAACCGGTCGAGGATGACCGCGATGGAGCTAGTTTAAGGGCAGAGGGCCGCCTTTTTTCGTCTTGCGGCGCCATTTGGACCGTAGTATGTGTGATGAGGAAGAAAAGGGAAAGAAAGAAACAAGATTCAGTTTATCTATACAGGCTTACTATATGCTCTTGTGATACCTTAAGAAATAGGACCAAGATGTATGTGGCTTAAAGAGAGGAATAGATTAGTATGAAAATGAATTGAGAAGAGACCAGCTATCGAAGGAAAAGTATTTCAGAGCTGGATAGCCGGGAAGGTGGGTGGTTTTGAGTAGGCGCCGCAGCGATATGCTGTCACCTCATTCGGTCTTTTCTGGTAATATTCTGCACGGGACGGTTAGTCGATGGGGCTACATAAGATGCAATGGGATCGCTCACGATGCGCCGGGGGTATGAATCGACCAAATGCAAGCCTCTGATAGGATGGCTAGAGTAAACCCCAATATCCAAGTTGTACGATTATCAAAATAGACGCCCACAGGCTGTAGTCTAACGCTGGACTACTTGCCGGGTTGTATCTAAATTCCCAGATCAACGTGTCAACGTTGATTTAGAATCCGATGGGACAAGTCACAGGCTTTTTTGACGACCGGTCTTCTTACACGGACGAAAGAGCGCCTGAGGAAAACTAGATAAAGAGGGTTAAGAAGTAACCTGAGAAGAAGGCTGAGTACCTATATGAAGAAGAAGAGGGAATTTGCTGATCCCGCTTTGGGGGGCATGATTTGGATCTGGAGCCGACAATGTCTACTACATAGTACTTTCGCTCTCACGGGTATAACGGGCATTGAGGATAAGTTCCTCGCACCTACAGGTACCAGCAAATAGGTACATCGACCCCATCGTTAACCATATGCCCATGTACATCATGTACTGCAGTGCTATCAGAATTGGCAATTCCTCTTTCGCAGTTAACGGTCTCTTGGGTGCGAACCTCAACTGCAATTGGACACGCCCGGCATGCTAGAACGTGCGCTACGAATGAGGTTGAAGGAAAGACTCAGTAATGCCAGGGGTCCCTACCCAGTCGAGCGCAAAAGACGGGAAGGGTGAGATGTGGTTGGAGGTGGGGACTAGCCGGCGCGAATCTTCCTAGGCGCCTTCACTGACCCCAGTCAACGATCTACCGTTTTGATAGGCAGATAGCACCCCTAGCAGGACCCGTGCCCAGATGCAAGGTAGAGGCAAATAGCCAATGAGAAGCTGAAGAGACGTGATACCGCACGACACTATGCATGGGATCAGGTTGTGCCTGGGCGGTAAACTCTTACCACCATAAGAAACAATAGGAAACAACTGGTCCAATTCGGATTTTGAGTCCGAGTCCCTGTTGCTTATCGTTTTCGCGCTCACTTCAGACATGTGTTGAGAAGGATTCTTAAACCGTGGGTAGAACCTCAGACCTTGATCGTAAGACGAAGCGCAAAAGGTTTATAAGAACTCCTGATGATTCCGGACAACTCTTCTAAGGTCCGCCGGGCAGATGTAACGAATAGCCGGTCGGTCGTATTTGCCTTCCTTTTAGCATAAGGAATAATGAGTCGACTACCAGGTAGTAGTTAGGCCTAGGGATTGTCTTGCTAAATGTAACCCAAGCACCGACAAAAAAAAATATTTAGTTCCCCTCCCGGACCCTTTACTATAATCGGTTGCACGGACAGGCGGGAGATGGAGGCCAATTTCTGACGAATCTGCATGCCATGTAGTATCGCACTCAACACAGCTCTTATTTGAGAATTTATTAAACAAAACAAGGCCATTGTGTTGCCAAGGCCACCAAGAACTATTATTAGCGCTTTTGTGCTCATGGCCAGTCGGCGCAGAATCGTGTGGGACACATCGCCTCGAAAGCAGTAGCTGTGCTGTCTTTCAATGCTGTAAAACCACACTTCGGTGATCTAGATGCTATACAAGAACACGCGAGAGGGCAACATATTTTTGTTTAATGTGCCCTGAATGTTGCTCTGGATGTCAGGATAGAACTCAATGACGCCATGTAACTTATTAAGAGACAAGAAATTATGGTAGGGCTGCATATATGAATATATTTTTGTGCAGGAAGTCGAACCCTCATCACCAGCTAGTTAGTTACCTGTAAGTTACCTTAGTGTCGATGCGGTAGTATTTTGGAGGCTTATACTGCTTTCCCCGAACGTTCGTCAGCCTTGGAGGGTGAATATCTAAGAATAGCCGTTGTTGAAGGATGTCATATTAATTGCCTCATGGCTATAGTGGTTGGTGAGCAGGCTCGATATTGGATAAAATATATACCTAATGTAGAGTAATGTTAAGATGACAGCTAATGCTTCTACGAGCACCACATCAAATTCAAGAGACTACCTCAGAGATAATTGTTATAAGAAATATGGATTTACTAGTAAGGCGAGTCGAATTGACTTGAGGCTAGATTAATGTTGTTTGACCTGCGATGAGAAGGAGGTTGCAAGAATGTACGGATTGGTATTAGGAAGAGTTGAGTTTAGAGGTTTTCAATTGACTTAGCCTGTATTTGGGGTTGAGCACGTGACTTGTTTTCATATGATCCACTGTTCTCTCCAGCTTTCTTTGTGGGTCAGCAAAGTCAGGTACCTTAGGTAAGCATCTCAGGTACGCAAAACTTTGTACCTTAGGTACCAGCTTCCATAGGTACCAGCCTACCAAAGTTTTGCCCCTCATTCTTTATCTTATCGGCGCCTTGGGAGAAGACTCATACACAACTTTCAAAAAAATCCCAAACTTCACGACTAAACGTCATTTTATTATCAGGTCCTAGATTTCAACTTAGCCGCAAAGCAAACACCACCCGCATTCAAGAGCGAGCGAAAAAAGCACATACATACCTACGTAGAGATATAGAATTAACAGTACTTACGTCACAATGTCTGCGCCCGACAAGTTTGGCAACGACATCGAGTCTGACTCCGATTCGGGCAACGAGTCTATCAACGACGGAGTTGACGATGGCGTTGAAGAGGTAGATCAGAAGCCTCTCAAGTCGGCTATGAAGAAGTCCCCCTCAGGCCCCCCGCCTCCCGTCGAACGCCCTCCTCTGCCTCCTCAAACAGATCCGAAAGACCTCGATCTCGGATCCTTAACCCCTCTCACCCCTGAGATTATCGCCCGACAAGCTACTATCAATATTGGCACAATTGGCCACGTCGCTCACGGCAAGTCCACTGTAGTGAAGGCGATATCAGGTGTTCAGACTGTTCGTTTCAAGAACGAGCTGATTCGAAACATTACCATCAAGCTGGGATATGCGAATGCCAAGATCTACAAGTGCGATAACCCTGAATGCCCCAGACCCGGCTGCTATCGAAGCTACAAGAGTGAGAAGGAGGTAGATCCCCCCTGCGAGCGTGAAGGATGCAGTGGTACATACAGACTGCTACGCCATGTTTCGTAAGTTTGATTATTACCTTTTGTTGTTATTTGTGTGTATCCATTCATTATTATTATTATAATGCTGACAATATTCAGCTTCGTGGATTGCCCTGGTCACGATATTCTCATGAGTACTATGTTGTCCGGAGCCGCGGTCATGGATGCTGCTCTCTTACTGATTGCCGGAAACGAAACCGTACCTCAGCCTCAAACCTCGGAACATTTGGCAGCTATCGAGATCATGAAGCTTGACAAGATTATCATCCTTCAGAACAAGGTCGATCTTATGAGGGAAGAGGCCGCTCAACAGCACTACCAGTCTATTCTCAAATTCGTCCGTGGAACGCCTGCTGCCAAGTCGCCCATCATTCCTATCTCTGCGCAACTGAAGTTCAATATCGACGCTATCAACGAAGCTATTGTCAACACTATCCCCGTACCGCCCAGAGATTTCACCCAAGAACCTCACATGATGGTTATCCGGTCTTTCGATGTGAACAAGCCCGGTGCCGAGATCGAGGAGCTGAAGGGTGGCGTTGCAGGTGGTAGTATTTTGCACGGTGTGTTGAAGCTTGGCGACGAGATTGAGATCAGACCTGGTATCGTAACTCGAGACGACAAGGGTGCTCTACAGTGCAAGCCCATCTGCAGCCGTATCGTCTCCCTCAACTCGGAGTTCAATGATCTGAAATATGCCGTCCCTGGTGGTCTTATTGGTGTTGGTACGCGCATTGACCCTACTCTTTGCAGAGCCGATCGTTTGGTCGGTTTCGTACTCGGTCTTAAGGGTCGTCTTCCGGCTATATATAGTGAGATTGAAGTCAACTTTTACCTCCTCAAGAGGCTACTAGGTGTCCGCACTGCAGATGGCAAGCAAGCAAAGGTCGCTAAGTTGGCCAAGAACGAAGTCCTTATGGTAAATATTGGTTCCACCTCGACCGGTGCCAAGGTTGCTGCCATTAAGCAAGATGCTGCCAAGCTATCTTTAACCAGTCCTGCCTGCACGAACCTCGGAGAGAAGATTGCCCTCAGCCGAAGAATCGAGAAGCACTGGCGTCTCATTGGATGGGCTACCATCACAGCGTAAGTTTCCACTCAGATATCTCGAATATGAATTATTAGCTAACCCCCTATTTTAAGTGGTGTCACGTTGGAGCCTACGGAATCATGAAATCTAGGCTAGGCGTAGATTTCTTGACGAAGATTATTCGACAAGTTGCAATTTTGAGACAAGGCCGGAAGGGGAATGACTATAGACATTTCCACGTATAGGGGATCAACATCAGGAACATAGTCCAAGCGCTTCAGGGAGATACGAGAAGCCCTAATCAGAAGCTATTAGGGCTAAAGGGGGTGTATCTGAGAAGGCTGTGTGTATTTAGATGATGACGACGAAGCAAAAAAAGGAGATGAAAAGGCGTATCTGAATACGGATCCCATTGCGCTTTGACTTCTGGTCCTTTTTTCGCAGAGACTACGGTCTCTGGTGGCTCTTGTCTAGGTACCTAGTTAATGGAAAAGGAACATAACAACTATATCCATCTAGCTATCCAATTTGTCGATGTATATTTTTCTTTCTTTACATGACTTGTAATGTAGATGACTGGCTAGATATCGAGTAGGTATATCAACGTCTTATAGGGGTATACAACCTGTAAGTGACACCCGTACTTCGAAGCCGTAGAAGAATGGTCTGGATACTACTCCTCGACAGGTGTTATATGTACAAGATCCATCTTAAATCAATTCCGCGACTAAGTAGAAGCTACCTAGTCTATTTGGAGAGAATGCCTACGTCTACTTAGTGAGAGTTATCGCTTAGTAGAATGACAGGTAACAGGTATCTTATAGTTAATACCAGTCCATACATACCTTTATACACCACTCTATCGTTTCGGAGTAGCTCGTGAAACTATATTGAGAACCACCCGACTAGATACTGCTTTTGTGTTTAGACAGCTTGAGTTTATTGTAAAGTACCTGATATAGCCGAGCACCTTCTTTTGTCTATGCTTTTTGCGTTGTTGTATCTCGCGTTTTGCTTCATCATCGAAGAGAACGAGGTGCTCTAATAGCGATAAGCCATTAGAAAGACTGCTTGCTAGCGACATGACCATCGAAAAGAAATACTAGGGCTTAGATAGGTATGCTTAACAGATGGCGGGTTGTGATATATTATATATAGGTACCTATATATATGTATATCTTTAGTCACTCTTAAAAAGCCGAGTACTAAGATATCATTGTTCCACCAGGACACAGACCCGACGCAAAGACATTAGTAGGTATTACTATGTATTAAAAGTCTTCCCCCCCTATTTCCTAGTTTTCCGAGCATGCTTCACCAAGTTTTCTATCACCCCTTCGAACGCCTCCCGATCGCCAATTTTCTCGTCCGTCCGTTTCTTCCAATACTCGAGCACGTTGTTCGCCAAGACCTCCATGTCTTGCAGCTTCTTCACATGCTGCTGGAGCTCCTTGTCCGTCATGCCGCCTAACGCCTCTTCCGTGGTCGTGCAGAGCTGCTTCGCGGAAACCAGATCCAGCTCCGGCGCTTCGGGCGGCCCTTTTCGTTTCGAAGTGGATCTCGGCTTCTCCTTACCCTGGGAATCTACGGATGCCGACGAATTGTTATCGGCATCTGCCTTCCTGAGCCTGGAGACAGAGCGTGACTCTGATGATGTGCGTAGCGAGCCATTTGATGTGACCCGATGAATAGATGGTAGCACAAGCTTCTTTTGCTTGGAGGCTGGTAATATCTCGTCCAGATCGACTGGTACGCCGAGAGACACGAGGAATAAACGTCGTATGCGAGATCGAATCCAGTCAGGAGGTTGGAGAGGCGGCGGTGCTGCCAGTTGTGACCAGAGGGAGGCGCTTCTGGGGTTGAAGAAGATTGGGGTTTCCTTTGGTGGCGATGGCAGGGCTGGGAGCTCCTGTATTTCAGGAGAAAACAGTGCGTCCAAGTATGGCTCCGTTGCAGCTAGAATATCCTCTGAGTCGAGACCATCCAGCTCTAATATTGGCTGATAGGGCAAATAGTTAGCATAAATATACGACTACCTAGAGAGGGACCTAAACATACAAATGAGGGTATTGAGGCCTGAGGCTGAGGAACCGATATAGCAACCGGTGCTTCTGCCTCGGCCGTTTGAAAGCCATCGTCGAAGTCGCCAAAATCAGCGTCTTCATCACCCTCTTCAAACTCGTCAAAGTCGTCACCAAAGTCGTCACCAAAGCCGTCACCAAAGCCATCAACATCATCGCCGTTAACATCCTCTTGATCAAAACTTCCCGCTGGCTTCGCTGTTGACGACTTTCTCCGTCGATGGGTCAATGGTGACTTAAGTGATGGGGCTACAGCCGCATTATCTACGAGGGCAAGGGTCAATCGCGCTGGGTAGCTTAGGAGGACTTGGCTGCCGTACCAGTTGCTTCCTTGGTGGACTCAAGCGAGGAGGGGTTTGGATTCGCCTCGCCGGTACCGTCAGGTTTCCGGATAAAGTCTGGCTCAGCATCTGCCCGACGAAGATTTTCGTTGTAACGAGGAGTTGAAGAAGAACCAGGGGCGTCCGCTGATTCTTCGACTACAGTCTTCGGAATTGGATGCCCTCCTGGTGTTACAGGTCTATCTAGGGAGATAGATTGCGGTTTCTGGTCGTGGATAATTGCAATCTCGTCTGGTTCAGCGTCCTCTGTACGCTTATTGTAGGCTTCCGTACCCGGGACTTCACCGTAAGACGGCTCGTCATCTACCTTTTCGACTCGGACTCGAGGTACCGGAGAAGTGGCTCCATGGCTATTTCCCGGGGAAGATTGAGCATCGGAGAAGTGCTCATCGGAATCAGAGGCTGAATTGAGACGGATTGTTAGCTTCCCGAAATAAATTGGAAATTGACTTATTAGGGACAACTCAGACATACCCAGCTCGTGAGCACCAGCGTCTTCTGTACCCTTCCTCTCAGGAGCCTCGAGGCTAAGCGACCTGCGCTCTCTAGGCATGGCAACGAGTTTCTTAGGTGGTAGATTGGGACTGTATCAGGAGGAGTTGTGGCCCGTTGGTAACAGCGGGTTTGGCCACTCTGAGGGGGCACGAATATAACGGATTGAGGGGATATAAGGACTCGAGAATTGGGTGGTCGACGAACCGTAGTCACTAATCTTAGAAAAAGCGGTAGGATCGATTTGAAAGATGCGTCGAGGCCATAAAAATATGGTTTCTATTTGTTTTGGGTTCTTATATGAGGTAATCATATAGATCGAAACATCAGCTTAGGGATCGGAGACACATGTCGCTGGTTGGGCAGAAGGGCGAGAGTGGACAAGGGCTGGCAAGTTGATTGGTATTTGCGTAAAGAAACGAGCCTAGAACTTCTTGTGGCTTAAAGCTGCATTAATGTACTTCAAGCATTATGCTTAAAGGCGTTACATAATGAGTTATACCAGGTATCTAGGTACCTCCCTAAGATATCAATTCAGACCCATACCTGCCCTGTAGTGATATGCTAACAAGGCTAATAGGTACCTGTCGCGTCAAACTCTACCATCTTGGAAGCTTGTCGCGCAAAAAAAAAGTGGTCAGTCTGTGATGCATCGAAAAAGTCGCCAAGTTACCAAGATAAACATAAACTGTAAGTAAAAACCATTATCTTTTTCGGTTAGATTCGTATGAATTGCTTTTTTATCTCCCCATCTACTGTGCTAACTATCCTATAGAATATCAAGATACATTTTCATCTTGGACATTGATCATCGTCGTCGAGCGAATTACCAAACGCCGAAAACCCCCCCAGCCTTTTTTCCTCTCTCTTGCGGCTTGGGGATCAGTGCTGGTCTATTAACACGGCTGAGCTTAGACGAATAACTATCCTCTACATTCCCAGCAACCAAGGATACGACAGATCAGACACAGTACAACACGTATCACATTCCTTTCTTACAAACACTGTCCTACCATGTCGTCGCTTTTCGGCAATACGAGCTCGGCAGGGCAATCCAACAACAATACTACAACATCTACTGCACCTGCTTCTGGTAGTTTGTTTGGCTCATCCGCACCTACTACTTCAGCATCGGGCAATCTTTTTGGTAGTTCGACTACCGGAACACCTTCATTCTCTTTCGGAAACTTAGGTGGTGGAAATAATAACAATAATAACAATAATACTGCTGCTGGTGGTAGTAGTTCATCAGGATCTACTACTCTCTTCGGCAACACGGCCGCCAAACCAGGGGAGCAAAAATCATTATTTGGACAAACAACAGGAGCTACTACACTGGGATCTACTTCTACACCGGGTGGAAGTGCCACGGGGTTGTTCAGTAGCAGTGCCCAGCCAGCTTCTTCTAACCTCTTCGGTGGTGCTACGAAGCCCGCGCAATCCACGAATCTATTTGGAAATTCCTCAACGTCGGCGTCGACTAGTACTACTCCGACATCAGCACCCATGGCGACAGGATCTTCTACCGCAGGTTCGCTTTTTGGACAGAAGGATAATTCTTCAACAACACCATCCTCGGCCACTCCCACCTCGAAACCCGGGCTCTTTGGCAACTCCACAACCGGCAGCAGCACCAATCTTTTCGGCAACAACTCGAGCACTACCCCAACTAGCGCAGCCCCCGGCACTGGTTCGCTATCGACACCTACAAAATCAATGTTTTCTCTAAACTCAACTACTCCTGCGGGTGCGCCTCCGACGAAGCCTAACAGCCTTTTCCCTACTGCTGCAGGCCAACTACCCTTCCCGTCTACTCAACAAGGTGACAAGAAGGAGAGCCAAGCCACCTCTTTGTTTGCAAACCCAGCCAGCTCATCCCAGGCTAATACCGCGGCAAGTAAGCCAACAACTTCTACCCCAAATACTTCACTCTTTGGCAATGCAGGCCAGAGTTCGACTCAAGCTACAAATCTTTTTGGGAACACGAAACCTGCGGAGAGTTCTTCTACCCCAAGTTTATTCGGAGCGAAGCCTGCTGCCACTCCTGCTACTAGTACTGCCAGCACTACTGCTACGACTGCCACTACTGCTGCTAAGCCCACAAGCTCGCTCTTCGGAGGAACAAGTGCTACACCGGCAGCACCAGCAAGCTCGTCTTCGTTATTTGGTAACAAACCACCTACATCGACTGCTACAACTACCACGCCAGCAGCTCCTACATCAGCATTTCCAAGTCTCACCAAGCCCTCGAATGCTACTTCAAGCTCTGAGCCGGCTAAGGCACAGGCCAGTTCCCTGTTCTCTGGTCCTGGGAAGCCGAGTACTGGAACCGCTGAGCCAGCCAAACCTGCATCCGGTCTATTTAGTAATAATGCTTCTACTCCAGCAGCAGGGGCTACTTCAACTACAACCACTACACCAGCTACCGGAACAACAACTTCCGCCACTACCGCATTAACGACTCCCGCCCCAAACTCTTTGTTCAGGGCGGCGCCAAAAGCTCCTGCGCCAACTGATAACGCAGCAGCAGCACCACAGTCTGCTGCCGGAGCAGGTAATGCCTTGGGTGCATCCACCGCCGGACCCCCCTCATCCATGGCGCGGTTAAAGAATAAAACAATGGACGAGATTATTACTCGCTGGGCTACGGACCTCTCGAAGTACCAGAAAGAGTTCAAAGAGCAAGCAGCTCAGGTAGCTCAATGGGACCGCCTTTTGGTCGAGAACGGCGAGAGGATTCAGAAACTTTATTTGGAGACGTTTGAGGCCGAAAAAGGTAGCCGTGAAATCGAGCGACAGCTTGTTGGCATTGAGAGTCAACAGGAAGAGCTCGAGAGTTGGCTGGATAGATATGAAAGCGAGGTGGACAACCTATTCACCAAATCGATCGGTCCTGGAAATCAGCTTACAGGACCTGATCAGGAGCGCGAGAAGACATACAAGCTGGCCGAGAAGGTTACCGAGAGGCTGGATGAGATGGGCCGTGACTTGTCCAAGATGATCAAAGAGATTAACGACATTTCCGGTACCTTAGGCAAGGGTAACAAACCAGATGACCCGGTAAGTTTCTTCATACAAACACCTAGTAAGATTTCCTGCATTTAGCTAACTATCCTTTCCTCTAGCTGAGCCAAATCGTCCGTGTCCTCAACAGTCATCTTGCTCAACTTCAGTGGATAGACACCAACGCCGCTGCGCTCCAGGCCAAGATCGCAGCCGCGCAAAAGGAGCGCAGCACCATTGGCAACCATTACGGAGGCCCGGAGCAAGACAATGTGGATAGCTTCTACCGGTCCTATATGGGACGTAGATGAGACCAGAAATTTCTTTTATAATTACCAAAGGCTAGCAAGGAATTTGAGGAGAAATTCTTGCCAGGGGGAAGTTTGGTGTAGGAGTTTAGGGAACCATGCACAAAAATTCGAGAACTCATAGATGATGACAATGCACTCGGAAGGGAAACCCTCTATTCGGGAGCTAATACCGTGATAAGAGAGGCGAGAATCAAATTCTCAGGATAGCAACAAGAGCACGCTGTAATGCGTGTGCAGCAGCTGTATTTATCTTATGTACACTTAAGACATGGCAAATGCGATGACTGGAGGGACAACAAATCGGGTTTTGTAGACTGCTTCTAGTGACACAGCACAAAAAATAAAGCTCACGAGCTGACGCCAGACATCATCGTAAACGAGCGGAACTCCGGCATTCCTTCTCTTACATGCTAGGTAGTATTTGGTGCATTGAGTCGTCCCATTTAGTTATGCTCGCCGCCTTGCTCCTTGGTCAACTCGTCACTATAGCGAAAGACGGTATTTGTCAGTAGCTGTCAATCAATCATCATATTGCGAATTCCGACAGGAGGAAATATTCTGGTAGTCTAGAGCAAGGAAGCGGGATGGGGATGGGATGGAACTTACATATGGTCGGAGAGCTTCTGGAGGTGATCCTGCTGCTCGCGGAGCTTCTTGCGCAGCTCGAGGAGCTTTTCCTTCTCGCGCTGGCGGATGGAGTAATCTTCGTTGGCCTTTTCGCGCTTCTGGAAGGCGTCACTATATTTTGTATCGTTTCCTTGTTAGTCTCGTCTCATAGTCTCGTAATTCTCTACTTGTTTTTTTTTTCTTCTCTTTATAGATCCCAAGTTATGATCCTAATCCCTCCCTTGTTGCTCGAGGGAGCTAGGAGACACCGAGTATTCTTTGCTTTGGGGTGAGATATATATATTTTCCATTTCATCCGGCTTCCTGGAAAACCCAGATGATGGTGGGGGAGAGGGGTTCGTGCTATCGGAATAATAAGACGTTTGCGACGTACCCTTGGCCGCCGAAGCTGCCCAGTTTGCTGGGCGAACCAGTGTCGCCCTCTGCCATGGCGCGGATGGTCGTCGTGAACGCGCGGGAGGGAGCGATGGCGAGGCCTCGAGAGGGGATCTTGGTAAGAGTTTGGCGGTACATTTTGGCCTTTTAGTTTTCTTCTTCTTCTTCTGGGGAAAAGAAGCTTGCTTGCTCTATTAGGGAAGATGGGTTATTAGTTAGTTATTTGAGACCAACCACCCTCTTATAATGAAGTCACAGGAATGGTGTGTTATGGAAGAGCTATGTAGCACCTACGTTGAATTGGGTTGTTGCGTGTGTAAGTGGTGTGATTGATGAATTGAGGCACTTCCCCCCAAAAAAAGTTGGAGGTTCGAATTGAAGCTTAGGTAGCCTAGGTAACCCGTAACAGCCTCTTTCACCTATGACCTATGAAGTCAATGGCAAAGCTTCCACAAACCCGGCGGAACAAGAACGGTACGCACGGACGCAACCGGAGCGGAACTCTCCTAACACCGTTCTCATTAGGTACATAAGGTACCTCCTTTGCCTCTCCAGCCTCTTATCTAATCTCCAGCTGTAAGTGCAGTGCTCAGGCCATACATAGCATCATCAGCAACCACTAGTCACGCAAAATAGTTCATTTCTTCCTTTCCCCCACCACGCCATCCATTTACACACATAGCTAGGTACCTGACCTTATGTACCTCTCCGGCACGGGTCATCTGATATACATAGGTAGTATACAAAATCCCGTAATTTCCCTGCCATTGAAAGTGATGAGCTATGGAAGTCTTTCCTTGTTTATTATATTGGCTTTGTATCGGTTGATACTAGGTACTTCGTATATTCAATCTTTACTTTAGGTGAACTCTCTTGAAATCTCACTTAGCTATTATAAACCAGCAACCCTGTTAATACATATTTATATTTTCGTCGAGGCTGAATGTTGCATGGAGACATATGCATAATCGGCTATGTGAAGTTTTTCATGCTACTAGGGGCTATCAGGGTCTAAATTTGGGACAATAATCTACCTAAGGTATGGGCATGCAAGAGGTAATAAAGGAAATGGGGGGCCTAGCATCGTGAGGCTCTGGTCTGGCATGATATACCTGTCTTCCCGAAATCAGAGGAGCCTACCGTTTTCACCGGGAGGCTGTTCCAGGCCCCGCAAGGAAAAAAAGTAGGTAGGTTAGGTTAGGTATATATTGTTATATTGTAGCTTGGCAATGCCTGGGTTTCATCCCTCCCTCTCACCCCCCTCTACTATAGTATAAAAAAAAAAAAAAAAAAAAAAAGGATCAAGCCAGTGACGTTTTCCAACGCATGGCTACATTTTTCGTTTGTACTCTTGTTTCTTCTCTTTTTTTCAGGTCAAGTTTACATTGACGACAGGTCAAAATGGATTAGACAAATGAGAAGCTAAAGTTCCCAGGGTGGCTGGCACGGGGTGTGGCCCCAAATCAGAAAGCAAGATGTAGCACTGTGCATATGTATGAGCTATTTGGGCTGCATATGTTGACGTAGGCTGAAATTCTTTTATTTTATTTCCTTTTTTTTTCTATCTCCCCCGTTTCGCCTAGCAATGGCAGGTTGGTAATAATTCAGATGGAACGCACATCAAAAATTATTGCCCCATGGAAGTTCTGCTATGTTAAGTACCTAAGAACAAAGAATGAGAATGGCTCGTGCTTTCGAGTAGTAGCCTCGAATTACCTTGGCTTCATTTCACAAGGGTGATTGGTTAACTCGATTGTCAAGTTCGAGTGTAGACCCTTTTTCTCGGTGGCTGTTAAGACATTGAACGAAATGAATGGGGGGTCACCTGAATGCCACTTTCTATTAGTATACCTATATAAATGTTAGCGCATGGAAAAGGTTTACAACTAAAAGGAAGAAATATGGGCAAAGTAAACCCCTAGGCAAACCTCAGAACGGGATGTCCTTAGGTCATCCTGTATCGTTTTATTGTTTGAGGCTTAATAGGTACCTAGCTGATGTCGTGAGTCGTCGGGTGCCTATGAACAATGCACCATGTACCGGTACAAGCGTAAAACAAAATTTAATTGTTTCGTCAAGTATGTGGGGTACGAGGTACGATTAACAGGTACCTATTTTGCAATTTGATAAGTACAAATGTATTGTACGATATAGATGTAATATTGAAACTGACGTAGGGAAAACCAGGGCAAAAATACCTGGGCGGCCAGGCAGCTAGGCAGGGAGGAAAAGAAATCAAACAGGTGCCAGCAATGATGAACTTTCGAATCCAAGTAATCCAAGTTATGTGACGTAGATACTTACTTAGGTATACAATACATAGTACAGCGGGCATACCCTAGGTACGCATACGCATACGTACTATAGAAGGCACATGATAACCACGTGAGGGCGTAGCTTCCACTTCAACACAAAGGTCCAAAACAAATTGGAAGGTAGAAATCAAGATAGAGAGAGGTCGTGACTCAGGAGTGCCTTGCCAGATTTCTACCTAGTATTATGTATTACCTTGTGTGTATACCCTATGTAATGCGGTGTATGTGCAATGCCATGCCCACAACGCATGCATACATAATGTACTTATCCTACATAATGGTATTGGAATTGTACTATCTAATGCAATGTACCTAGATATATTACTTATAATAATGATGCCAGTCATCATTTCAAAGACCAAAAAAAGGACGGAGATACCAAAATGTTTGGATTTGAGGATGACCCCCTTTCAAGCCTTGTCCCATTATCAAATGATCCGGTACCCGTTTCCCGTTGCTGGTTCTGGTTCTGGTTCAGTTAGGCTCTAGACGGAACCGGTGCTAGCAGTTACCTAGGTAGATAGTGGAGACCTGCACTGGACCTCACTGCCCAGGTGCTCAGTACCTACCTCTAGGTAGTTGTATGCATGTACAGTACAAGTGTGCCTAAGGATTTTAGAATGTACCTGAGGTTACTATTACTTCCTTCCCCCCCCTCCCCACGCGCGCACTGGGCACACCCGCCTCTGAGCCCGTCACCCTCTTTTCTTTCTTCACCTCAGGCTCCCTCTATCTACCAACAAAAACCCTCCCAAAACTTTTGCATCCCATAAACCTTCCAAATCCAACAACCGCCGACTTAGTCTCTCTTGCACACTTACTTCTCCTAGGTTTCTCATCTACCACTTCAGGTCGTTCCTTGACAACCAACCCTCCAAAGAAATAAAAAATAAAAATAATTAGAAGGTACGTCGACAATCTTATATTATCCCCATCCCATCTCTACTCCCCTTAAAATTCCCCTTTCTTTGCACTCGCACTTGCGGTCATACTCCTTGGCCTGCTACCCTGAGTCCCGCCTTACACTTTCGTCATTGCCCCCATCACGACCACCTCCTTGCCGGCCGTACACACGACAGCAAACCCATCAACCGTTTAATACGACCTGTCTCCCAAATCAATTGATTATTGCGACAACGCACACACCTATCCGTTTACTTTTATCCTACGCGTTTTCTATTCGCATTCGTTGGCGCAAACCCCACCGACTGCGGGGGGTTAATCTTTGCTTCACCGTCACAACCTTTGAACCTCTCGATATCCCCCGACAAGGTAGCGCGTTCCTCTGATTTGAGCTGTAAACCTTTCCAGCATCGCCTTGGCAACATTGCACAAATTACTAGACCGATAATTGCTGCCTGTGGATACAAAGCTACATCTCTCTCTTTCTCCTCTTCCTCGAATTTCACGTTCATTTTGCATATACACTCGTTTCGTTCATCGTAATCAAAAACAAACACATACATTACCTGATCGAAAAATCAAAACTAACTAAACATTTTTTCTAGTTATCTCGTCTTACCAATTCTCACACCGCCAAGATGGGTCACGAAGATGCTGTGTATCTTGCCAAGCTCGCCGAACAGGCTGAGCGCTACGAGGGTATGTGATGCTATAGCTGTAGCTCTAGCTCTAGCTGTTAAACCCCGCTAGAGTGACGATACTGACTTTACCTATCATACAGAGATGGTCGAGAACATGAAGATCGTCGCCTCTGAGGACCGTGATCTTACCGTCGAAGAGCGCAACCTCCTCTCAGTTGCCTACAAGAACGTCATCGGTGCCCGACGTGCCTCATGGAGAATCGTCACATCCATCGAGCAAAAGGAGGAGTCCAAGGGCAACTCCTCTCAAGTCGGTCTCATCAAGGAGTACCGACAGAAGATCGAGGCCGAGCTCGCCAAGATCTGCGATGACATCCTCGATGTTTTGGACAAGCACCTCATCCCCTCTGCTAAGTCTGGCGAGTCTAAAGTGTTCTACCACAAGATGTATGTCTTCTTCAGCCTCAGCGTCCACTTTGAAATCAGAGGTTTCTGACGGAATAATATAGGAAGGGTGACTACCACCGTTACCTCGCCGAGTTCGCCGTTGGTGACCGACGTAAGGAGTCGGCTGACAAATCGCTCGAGGCTTACAAGGCTGCTACCGAGGTCGCCCAGACCGAGCTGCCTCCTACACACCCTATCCGTCTTGGTCTCGCCCTTAACTTCTCCGTCTTCTACTACGAAATCCTGAATGCACCCGATCAGGCTTGCCACCTTGCAAAGCAGGCTTTCGATGACGCGATTGCTGGTATGTATCACGCCTACAGATTAAAAAACAGTTTGAAGCTAATTAAGATTATAGAACTCGATACTCTGAGCGAAGAGAGCTACAAGGACTCGACTCTCATCATGCAACTCCTCCGAGACAACCTGGTACGTATTCGTAGCTGTGAAATAAAACGGTTGAATTTGCTAATATAAATTAGACTCTCTGGACGTCTTCTGAGGCTGAGCCTCCTTCGGATTCCGCCGCGGCCCCCGCCCAGGAACCGGAGAAGGCCACCGAGGCCCCGGCCGAGGAGCCTAAGGCTGCCGAGTAAGAAACGAAAAAAGAAAAGCCCACGTCCCTTGTTAGTCTTTAGATTTTAAAGGGGTCGACTGAAGTTGGGTGAACCCTGGTGTCTATGGAGTGATTGCTTGAGAATTCTCTTGCTTGAGATTCTGCATTGATTTGATTTTTCCCTCTTCACGTGGCAGATACACAGAGCAAAGACTTGGACGGTTCTCTTTTCCCGCAGGCAAAAGGGCTCAAGAGCTTTTGGGAGGTCTTTCGCCGGAATGCTTGCCCTTTAGACTCTAATGCAAATTCGTCTGAATAAACCCCGTACTTTCTATTTTTGCACAAGCAATATTAATGTTATGAAATTGTCATGAAAGTAATGGACTTTCGTAGGATGTTTGTAGGATAAAACTTAAAAAGCAGAGGTAGTAATAAGTATCTCAGGCTTGATTAGCCAATATATGCTAAATTCGTTGATATGCACATTTGTGCGTTCAGCTTTGCTGATAGACCTAAAGTAAATATTTACGTATTTCTCCCCAGTGATGCAGATCTTCCGCTGCACAGATAATGATCATGATGGTGATGATATCTTGCCCTGGCTCGTAAATCATTCACATTATCATATCCGAGTAACTTCACGTCGTATGTACCTAGGTAGATAGTCTCCAGACTAACATAGGCCAATGTAGCAATCCTTTTCTTCTCCGTACTCCCGAGATGCCCCTCATAAATACATGACCATAGCGTACAACCCTACCAACCTAGAATAAATAACTATACCACGTAACGTGTTTTTTTTTATCTGTTGGGGTAGAAGCGAGAGTGAGCCTAGACGATATGGGCAAGGAATGTCTTATGATATCATATATCTCGATGCCTCTTCCACACTGCTTGCTTACTACCTCCGCGAGGCGCTTGTGTCCGTACCCGTACCCGCCGTCGCGGATCCCGTCAGCGAGATGCCCCAGTTAAAGCTCCAGTTAAACGTGAAGCCCCGGCCGGTACCACTACCTCTTCTCTCCCCCGCGGCCGTAACCGTGTCCCCTCCACCACCTCCTCCTCTTCTTCCCACGGGACTACTACAACTACTACCACCACTGGTAGTGGTGGCAAGAGCAACATCATCTCCCTCGTCCTCCTCCTCATCCTCGGATGCAGCCGCGGCGAACAGCACCCGGATCCAGAGGCTGCAGTCGAGACACTCGACCATAAGCACGCCGTCGTCCTCGAACTCCTCGAGGTTCTCCTCCGTGAAGGCGTACCCCCGCGCGTTGCCGCACCGGCACCCCCGGTAGTACACGCCCGTCCGCTCGTCGAACCCCAGGTCGTCGAGATCGACCATCTCGACGCCCGTCTGGAACGAGGATGACGAGGGATGGGTGCGCAGCGCTCGGTCGTACTCCGCGCGCTGCTTCCGGTCCGCGAGCACCGCGTACGCGTGCTGGATCTGGTCTACGGTGTACGTGATCCGCGGTGCTGATGCTGGCGCTGGCGCTGGTGCTGGCTGAGAGCCCTGTTTTCTTCTACTGCTGGTACTATCGCCATTACGACTGCCACCACTGCCTTGAGAAGCTTTGTCCGGGTGGTACTTTAGCAGCGCGCGGTGGTACGCCTGCTTGACTATCTTCTGCTGCTGGGCGGCGCCGGCCTGGCCCTCTAGGTGCTTGGGGGTCAGCGCGAGGATGTCGTAGAGCGTGGGCTCGGCTGACGTTTTGGATATCGGCGGAGCCATGCTGCCGCCGCAGGGTGTTCCACCTAGATTTTTTTTTCTTTTTCTCCCTTATCTTTGAAATCTTAGCCTTCTTTTCAAGATAGGTGATATGTCAGTATCTAGTCGACTAAACCCAACACGCCCGTTAAATATGGCTTCAGATATGTGAGTTTTGGATTTTTCTTTTTTTCGTATCAAGAAGTGTAAGTGAAATTCCATTTGTTGTAAGTGGCTTAGTTATACCTGACATCGATGTAACTTGGTGGGTGGGAAACCGGTTTTGAGGCAAAAAGTTCGATGGCGCACGTGGTCACGTGAGACTCCGTTCAAGTTTGGTAAGGTGAACTATATATATGAAATCGCAGGTGATGGGGAGAGAGCACGGAAATCAAAATTGACAATATAGGTAATTAAAGAAAAGGAGATAAAAAGAGGGAAGGGTAATGGAAAAAAAAAAAAAAGGAATCTCCCGTAGATTTGGTTAGATGCTTACCATCGTTAAATCGGCTGCAAGCTGATACCAGCACTCAACCGAATTAAAAGACTGGATTATGACACGGATGTGGAGGTCATTCTTAGGCTTCTTGAAATATTCTCCAATTCTTTTTGAATAAAGTAGCATATATATTTTGTACAAGTTTTTTCTTTCTTTTTTTTTCTTGTCTCGAGTCGTAAGTCATGACATGATTGTTTACCGTGGATATTTGGTCCACCTGTTCTTCCCGATCTATAGTTTCTTGTTAGTGACGCTTTCAAAAGATATAACTCATACATATATAAGTAACCTACCTTCCGCCATTCCCTGACAAGCCTCGGCATACCAAGCATAGCCGTTCTCCTCTTCTCCATCCTATTCCGCTTGTTAGTATCGAAATCATATAAAGGAAGCTTTCCCCGGCATGCAAAATGGTGGTTTGGAGGAAGTGTATAATAACCATGGCCGGGACATACTTGGCAGCTAGCATTCTTTCGTATAAGTGACCCTTGACGGTCTGTCCAACACCCGTACCGCGAACCCTGAGACCATGCGCAACTCTGTGCCGTATGCGCTGTTCCGTGCCCTTAGATGTGAACGGCAGCAGCTCTTCCACCCCGTGCTCCCTCGCCAGCTTCACGAGCTCCGCCTGCCGTCTCAGGGAGTACTCCGGGTCGTGCCATTTCCCGGTCACGGGGTGCTTATGGGGCAGGAAAGGGTTCGGGGTAGCGCCGTCCTTGATCGTGTTCGTCCTCGTCGAGGCCGGGAGGATCTGGTTCGGGGGGTACTTGGCGAAGAAGCGCTGCAGTCGCGGGTGCAGCTGCTTGGCGAGCTCGATATATCTCGTGTTTAACGCCATCCCCCCAAAGAGAAAATCGCAATTGAGACGCTTTCTCGTTTTTTTTTTTTCTCTTTTTTTCTGTTGCGATTTGGGGAATTTGGTGGTAACTTGAGAGAAGGTCGCAAAACCGCAACAGCTTCTTCCAAATTTTGGCTGCTAAATGGGGACTAGGTACCTAATGGGACATGGGAAGTGACAAGGTACCTCCATCTGAATTCTGAACTAAAATCTCCGATTGGCTTCGGCTTTCTTAGCGGGTTGAAACGGTACGTACCTTGTCCCCCGACACGCCGATGTTAACCTACCTTACCTTCTAATATATGTATTTGCCTCCAACTCTGAAGTTTATTACAAACAAACAGAAACAAAGGCGACTTTGCGTGCTGCATTGTTTTCATTTGAATTTACATTTACTGTAGTTGACAGTTTTGTCTCTCGTGGTTGATCACAAATTTAATCCGCAGAGAACAAACAATAGTATCGAATCGATACCGAGATTTATTAGCTGCCTGTTCCAGACCTTGCAAGTCGTTATTTCAAAATTTCAGAACATCCCTACAAAAGCTCGTCGCTTTACATCGTGGTCCCGCGATAATGGGAATACAACCTCGAGCTGGATCGCTAGCCGACACTAACGGCACCAACGGAACAAATGGCGAAACGAATAGGCGGAAAGCGCCCTTGGACATTGAAGAGATCTTACGCAAAAAGAAAGAGGCAAACGAAGCTGCTGCGAAACCACGATTTATCCCTAAGGCTGAGCGCGAGCGCTTAGCTGCAGAAAAGCAAAAGGAAGAGGAAGAGAAGCGAAAACGGAAGGCAGAAGAAGAAGCCTGGAATAAACCCAACGGGAGATCCACAGCCGCGTCAGGACTCGATGGACGGCGCGCGGATCGTCGCGACAGAGATCATGCACCAATCGTTCCGACCGGACCTCGTGCTATGCGCCAAACTGGAAATGACAGGCGCGATCCCGACGACCGCGGAAGTGGCGATGCGCGAGGGAAATCAAGGGGAAAGAAGGCAGTGGCTGGGGAGAAGCGGGCGGCACCGGAAGAAGCAGAGGCAGCCTTAATAAGAGCACGATATATGGGCCCCGAAATGAATCAGTCTACGTTTTCGGCTAAGAAGAAACGGAGACGAACAACAGAAAAAAAGTTCAATTTCGAGTGGGATGCGGAAGAGGACACAACACAAGATCACAACCCTATCTACGCAGAGAGGGCTGAGCCCACCTTCTTCGGAAGAGGAAGGCTGGCTGGATTTGGTGACGACATGACGGAGGAGAATGCCAAGAAATATGCCATGTCTTTGATCGAGCGCGATCCTGAGAACGGAGAGCAACGAGCACGGGAATTACTAGATATGATGCAAAAGGCGAAGGAGAGGGCCAACCGCAACGGCTTAGGGAAGCACTGGTCCGAGAAGAAGCTGGAAGATATGCGTGAACGAGATTGGCGTATCTTCAAAGAAGACTTTGGTATCTCTACCAAGGGCGGGCTCATTCCAAATCCAATGCGAAATTGGCAGGAATCGGGCTTGCCCCGTCGTTTGTTAGATATTATCCACAAAGTTGGGTACGACGAGCCGACTCCGGTCCAGCGTGCTGCAATCCCTATCGCTTTACAGGCGAGAGATCTAATCGGTGTAGCCGTCACCGGTTCAGGAAAAACGGCTGCCTTCCTACTACCTCTTCTAGTATACATTTCGGAATTACCACCATTAACTGAAATCACCAAGAATGAAGGCCCATACTCGTTAATCATAGCTCCAACGCGAGAATTAGTTCAACAGATCGAATCAGAAGCCAAGAAGTTCGCTATTCCGCTAGGCTTTACCGTTGTTAGTCTTGTTGGTGGCCATTCGCTCGAAGAGCAGGCATTTGCTCTAAGGAACGGCGCCGAAATTATCGTTGCTACACCTGGTCGTCTTGTCGATTGTATCGAACGACGTCTCCTAGTGCTATCTCAATGTTGTTACATTATCATGGATGAAGCCGATCGTATGATTGATATGGGTTTTGAAGAACCCGTCAATAAGATCTTAGACGCGCTCCCCGTCACCAACGAGAAGCCGGATTCCGACGCGGCCGAAAATGCGCAATTAATGAGCCGGCATCTCGGCGGCAAGGATCGATATCGACAAACGATGATGTACACAGCCACCATGCCGGCGGCTGTTGAGAAGATCGCAAAGAAATATCTGCGCCGACCCGCCACCGTAACTATCGGCAACGCAGGCGAAGCTGTAGATACGGTTGAGCAACGAGTCGAATTTGTCCCAGGGGAGGACCGCCGCAAGAAGCGGTTACAGGAGATTCTATCATCCAACGAATTCGCGCCCCCTATTATCGTGTTCGTGAATATCAAACGCAACTGCGACGCCGTCGCTCGAGAAATCAAGCATATGGGCTTCTCAGCGGTCACGCTCCACGGCAGCAAGACCCAGGAACAGCGAGAACAGGCACTGGCCTCGGTGCGCAACGGCACGACGGATGTTTTGGTTGCGACGGATCTTGCTGGTCGTGGTATCGATGTTCCAGACGTATCTCTCGTCGTCAATTTCAACATGGCCACCAGTATCGAAAGCTACACGCATCGTATCGGTCGCACGGGTCGTGCTGGCAAGAGTGGTGTTGCCATCACGTTCTTAGGCAATGAAGATGCAGACGTTATGTATGACCTACGGCAGATGCTCTCGAAGAGCTCGATATCCAGGGTGCCGGAAGAACTACGCAGGCATGAGGCTGCACAGCAGAAGCCAAATAAAGGACCCAAGAAGCTTGAGGAAAAGGGGTTCGGCGGTAAAGGTGGTGGATGGGATTAAGATATTATCTTAACTAAACGTTAACCGGATTAGGAAACTCAGTTGTACGTGATATCTAACATATTTCTATTAAATATATTATTGAAAAAGAAGGTATTAATTTTTCCCTTCTTCAATACCGTCTTCCGCTACTTACCCCTCTTATCTTCACCCCACATATCGTTCAAAATATCGTTAACAAAAGATGGCAACAAACTTCAATCACTACATCGATTTAACAATTAACGAAGACTTTAAAATAGACGTATCCGTGCCCACTAAAGACCTCCCCGAAAAGGCATTAACAACAATATTTGCCAGGCACTTTGCAAAGTACGATAACTCCCTATTCGACGAGGAGCTTTGGGAGAGATTCAAGGCTGATTTCCATGGCTGGACTGAGGAGCATTTCCTCGGCGTCAACGAGGATCTCCTCGGAGATGGTTACCAGCACCTACGCTTGTACGGCGTATACGTTGTAGGACCAGGTAGCCTCGCCAGCAAGCTCTACAGGATGGTCGTCGCAGCCGAATGGCCACGGCTTGTGCCGCAAAAAAGGAAGCCAGCTGCAGCTAAGGACTTGTAATTCGAAGGCTTCCGGTTACCCCTGGCAAAGGCACCCTTTTCGAGTAACAAGAGATGAGACGAGATCCCGGACAACACATTTAGCTAGCTGTACGCGGGTAAAGTACACGTACGGGTTCATCGAATAATTAAATGTTGTCACGGTTAGGAGTCAGGTCTTTCTTCCTGTACATAAAGCCGCCTTGCAGCTCCGCTGGTCTTTGCCCGAGTTTACGAGGGATATTGTGTCGAAATACGTATCTTTTTAGGAGGAGTAGGTACAATCTTAATCTTTCAAAGGCTACAGTTCGAATCCCACATATCCCTTTTTTTTTTCTTGCGAATCTGGCTGGTAGCACGTAATATGAGTAAAGCTTAAGGGCTAGTAAACTCGGGCTATTGTGATGCCCCGCAGGGGTGCCCTCAAGTCCTTAAATTAAAACTTAAGGCAAAGAGCCTATTTAGGAAATTCGACCTACCCAATGCAAGTCGGTAACAATAACTCTTCGTAAACTCAGGGCATTTGGGCTGTCCAACCAAGGGTACTGAAAGGTCTTGCCTACTCATTACTCATGATGTAACTGAGTGTGGACATTTGAGATAAGATGAGAAGAGCCAGTTATTAAAGCTTGGATACTCCCATGCCGTGCCAAGGCGAGAGTATCTTTGACAGAGGGACTTATCACTACAGTTGGTGGCTTAGAAGCAGATTTCCAGGCCTCTTTATGTAACATGGCAGTTTCCTGGTCGAAAATCTTGGCTCCGTCAACCCGTCGTTCGTAAGCCGTTAGAATGGCCGTATCGAAAAAGAAATTGTGGTCATTGCAAAATCCCACGATAAGGTCCATAAGTTTGGCGGCATCGCGGCTAACTGGATTCCCGAAAATTAAGACGCGAGAATAATGAAGCTCTGCTTCAGCTTCGTATTCTCGTGCTAATTCCCGGAACCAGGCTAACGCGACTGGAATGCTGGTTTCGTTATGCGCCATGTCTAAGTACCAACGGTAGCTTCCATGGTCAATAAGCTGAAATCGGCCTGGCCACTCGTACTGGTTGATAGAATTAACGATATCCCCATCATTCAAACATTCGCCCGCTAGGTAAGCATTTGCGAGGCTGATAGCTAATGATAAATTAGAGCATTCAGCCGCCGCCAGTCGTTTCATGCTTCTTTGGGAGGGTTCTATGAATGATAAAAGAGATCCCACTTTCTTTGCCTCATTCTCGAGAACAGCTCTGACCTCCTGCTCCTGAAAAACGGAAAAAGCAGGCGTATTATGCTTCATTATCCCACTTTTGTGCCATGCGATATCTTTTAGAGTATGGCCTAGCAATGGAATATGATCCAAACCGATAATAGTAAAGCCGCACGCGACAAGGTTATGAAAAATGTTGGTTGCATCGTATCGACCACCGGCGTGAACTTCGTAGATGGCAACACCAACTCCTTCATTTCGAAAGACGTGTATCGACAATATCGTAAGGAGTTGCAAATAACCTGGCTGGTACAGGATCTTCGCACACTGTAGGGCTTCCCAAACTTGGAAAAAGTATTTTGCAAACAGTTCTTCTGTAATAGGTTGGAAATTGATTCGGATACGCTCGCGTTCTGTGTGTAGGTGAGGCGACGTATAGAGACCGGTTTTGGTGCTGATTTGCCTCCGCTGAAAATGAGTTCGCAAAAGACATTCTGTAAAAGCGCATGTACTTCCTTTACCCTTTGTCCCAGTTACGTGGATGACGTTGAATCCTTCTAGATCCTACTTCTGATTAGGAGTGATAATAACGAATGACGAAGTGGCATTACATGTCCTAACACCCGAAGCCATTCTCCCATATAAAAAATGTTTGGCCGAGGTTTTTGAGTCGAATGGGGGTTTCGCATTTTTGAACATGTAGAAAGCAGCCTGATCGCCTCCTAACAGGCGTTATTAGCGGCCTAAGCCTTCTCAGTTCTTCCTTACTTACTGCATATGATTTCGCCATGGTGATAGCTGGTGGATGAATTAGATCTCGGCCCTTAGTAGGGTCCAGCGGTATCAAGGAGCTGGAAAGTAGAAAGCGGCCGTGTTGCCTTATCTCTAGGAGATAGCCTCAAGCAGCCTTTTAGTAATCTTCCCATTTGGTACCTCACTTCAAACATTGCCCGAGTTTACGAGGTGCATGGCTGCGAGGGGCGCTGGCCACCAGCGCGCCGAGCGGCCTTGCACGCGCGAATCTGGCTGACGGCACGTAATACCCCGCGAGGGGTGCCCTCAAGTAACAATCAAGAGTCTCATATGCTTGAACCCGTTTAAGCGAACCGAATCAGGACACCCTGGGCCAAAAAGTTGCAAATAAGTAAAGCACAAGAACATCCTTAAACCTCGGGGTTTGATTTTAAGAACTTATAGAGATGAAAAGATCTAAAGGTCCGAAATATCCAGCTTTACTCAGAATCGTCCTTAACTAAGGGGGTGTGCCGATTCCGACCAAACCTGAGGGGGTATGTTAGATAAACTGTAATAGCAATTGTGCTATTAAGAAATGAGTGTCGCTATTTCAGTAGTAGGTAGGTCAATTCTGGGACCGGCTTTAGGTAGAAAACTGGCAGAAAGTCTAGAGATTCCTCCCCTTCCTATTCTCGATTAATTACATATTATATCTCTTAACATACCTTTAATCGTTATATGCTGTTTCATTAAAAGATATAATATATAAAATTTATATTACTAATATTGCATATAAATTTCCCCGATTTACTATTTTATTTCCTTAAATTAAAGTATGTATTACCGTATTAAAGTGTTAAAATGAAAGTATTCGATAATTGCATTATATAACAATTGTATTATATCACCTTTCTTTTTTTTCTCTACCCTTCCTCGTACATATACATCCCTCATACGTACTTACCTAACCTTTACATAGGTAGGTATACATATACATATGTCGCTACGCGCCGCTAGTCGCGTCGACTTCGTCTCCCGGGTCTCAACAGCCACAAGACTTCGATTAAGACCACGTACACGTACTCTTCTTCCTCGTTCTCTCCTTGGACTTCCAGCCGCACCTCAGTGGAGACAAAATCACATCTGGTGCACTCCTGCCCTATCCTCTCCACCTCCTTACGGGTATTCCTAACCACTTTCCTAACCTAATTGACCGCTATTCTAAGCCAATTAGACTCGCAGGCTAATGCGGAATCTAGGCCAAGTCTACGTCTTGGGAATCACTCCTCACTCACTTCCGTCTCAAGAACATCTCCTTTAGAGAAGGCTCGAAACACCACCCTCTCGATACCCCGCCTTGTTCGACACTGCTCATACCGGAGACAAAATATGTGTAAGCTTGCTGGAGACATTGACCACACCGGAGGGGCTAACCCGGACCCCACCGAGGGCCGTGTGCTTCTCCCGACCAACGTCATCCCTAGACACTACGATGTTACTCTAGAGCCCAACTTCGAAAAGTTCACTTTCGAGGGTAACGTGCTTATCGACTTCGATGTCCAGGAAGATTCCAAGTCCATCTCCCTCCACACCCTTCAGATCGATATTCACAGCGCCAACATCAAATCCGGAGACACCATTATCAGGTTAGCTTATTTACTTAGTATAAGTCTTATAGCTAGTTAGAAAGTACCATCCTTCTGACCTATCCCGTCTAGCTCTTCCTCGGCAATCACCTACGATGAGTCCGAGCAAGTCACCAGCATCGAGCTCAAGGATGCAATTCCGAAGGGGAAGGCTCAGTTGGAAATCAAGTACTCCGGCCTGCTCAACGACCAGATGGCTGGCTTTTACCGCTCTACCTACAAGAAGCCGGACGGCTCCGAAGGTGTCCTTGCCACTACGCAGATGGAAGCCAACGACTGCCGACGGGCTTTCCCCTGCTTCGACGAGCCCATGCATAAGGCGAAATTCACCATCACTCTTATCGCAGACAAGCACTTGACATGTCTCAGCAACATGGACGTTGCGTCAGAATCCGAAGTGCACTCGGAAATGAGCGGATCTACAAAGAAGGCTGTCAAGTTTAACACGACTCCCCTTATGTCTACTTACTTGGTCGCCTTCATCATTGGTGAATTGAATTACATCGAGACCAAAAAATTCCGTGTCCCAATCCGAGTGTATGCTCCGGCTAGTTCAGATATCGAACACGGCCGCTTCTCGCTCGAGCTTGCAGCGCGGACGCTGGACTACTACGAGAAAATATTCGGAGCCGAATTCCCGTTGCCTAAAATGGACATGGTCGCCATCCCCGACTTCGCGGCGGGCGCTATGGAAAATTGGGGATTGATCACTTATCGTGTCGTTGACCTTATGTTGGATGAGAAGGCCAGCGGTGCGGCGATGAAAGAGCGTGTCGCCGAGGTCGTCCAGCACGAACTGGCACATCAGTGGTTCGGCAACTTAGTGACTATGGACTGGTGGGAAGGTCTGTGGCTGAACGAAGGTTTTGCGACTCTGATGAGTTGGCTAAGTGAGTTTTCGGTTCGATCATGGTTAATATGGATGATTGGCTGACAGTGATAATCTACTTAGGCTGCGACTACTTTTACCCAGAATGGAAGGTCTGGGAAAACTACGTTACGGACAATCTCCAGAGTGCCTTAGGATTGGACTCGTTGAGGAGCAGCCACCCTATCGAGGTGCCAGTCAAGCGCGCCAGTGAGGTTGACCAGATCTTCGATGCCATTTCTTATTCTAAAGGTTCATGTGTCCTTCGTATGATCTCCACGTATCTCGGCGAAGAGACTTTCTTAGAGGGTGTCAGGAGGTACATCAAGAAGCACGCTTATGGTAACACACGGACAGATGATCTGTGGGCAGCCCTTGAAGATGCCAGTGGCAAGCCTGTCCGGGAGATTATGTCCATATGGACTAAGAACGTGGGTTACCCCGTGGTACAGGTCACGGAGGACGAGAAGAACAGTTCAATCCGCGTAAAGCAGAATCGATTCCTGAGGACCGGTGACACGAAACCTGAAGAGGACCAAGTGTTATACCCAGTCTTTTTGGGTCTCCGAACGAAGGACGGCGTTGACGACTCGTTAACACTAACGAAGAGGGAAGATGAATTCAAGGTTAAGAACTTGGATTTCTTCAAGCTAAACGCAAACCACACTAGCATCTACCGAACATCCTACACACCTGAACGCCTTACAAAGCTAGGCCAATCGGCCAAGGAAGGACTGCTAACGGTTGAGGACCGTGCCGGCATGATCGCCGACGCCGGTGCTCTTGCTGTGTCTGGCTACCAGAAGACCTCCGGTGTTCTTAACCTACTAAAAGGGTTCGACACGGAGGAGTCATTCGTGGTTTGGAGTGAGATCATTGCCAGAGTTGCTACCGTCCAATCTGCTTGGGTGTTCGAGGATGCTGCCGTAAAGGACGGCCTCGAAGCCTTCGTTAAGGAGCTTGTCAGCGAGAGAGCTCACAAATTAGGTTGGAACTTCTCGGACAAGGATGGCCACGTTGAACAGCAATTCAAGGCCATGCTCTTCGGCGCAGCTGGAATGGCTGGCGACCAGAAGATCATCGAGGCGTCTAAGGAGATGTTCAAGAAATACATGGACGGTGACAGGTCAGCCATCCACCCGAACATCCGGGGAAGCGTCTTCAGCATGGCTCTCAAGTATGGCGGAAAGGAGGAGGTAAGTGCGAATATATTGGATATCCCTCTAGCATCTACTAACGCAACGTCCAGTACGATGCCGTTCTCGACTTCTTCCGCAAGTCCAGCAACAGCGATGAGCGTAATACAGCCCTTCGATGCATCGGCCGAGCTAAGGACCCGGCCCTAATCAAGCAAACATTAGACTTTGTCCTCAGCGGCGAAGTCAAGAGCCAAGATTTATACCTTCCAGCAAGCGGACTCCGCAGCCATGCTGAGGGTATCGAGGCTCTCTTTAACTGGCTAACTGAGAAATGGCCAGAAATTACCAAGCGCCTCAGCGGCAATTCGCCTATCTTAGGTTCTATGGTTACCATCTGCACATCTAGCTTTGCAAAGCCGGAACAACTGCAGAGAGTAGAGGAATTCTTCAAGGATATTGACACCAAGAACTTCGCCCAGCCCCTTGCTCAGAGCAAGGATGCCATACGTAGCAAGATTTCATGGCTGGAGCGTGATCGTGACGATGTCGCGAAATGGGTTAAAGAAAACGGGTACAGCTCGTGAGCCATCGGATGAATCGACACGATATGTCCCATACGGGTTTAGAGGGTATTTACTGGGGAGGTGTTTAGAAGAAAGAGCCCGAGAGATACCCCGGTAGAAAAGGATAGAAAAGCAATCACCAATCAGAAGAAGAAAAAAAGAAAGAAAAAAAAGTACTATATTTGTCTCTGTCTTATTATCGTGAGTTATTGCGTGCTTTGTCTACCTAAGGTAAGGTGTGTAAAAATAAGCCCCTGAGTTGCTATCTGGGAATAGGACAGGTCAAACTTCGGCCGTACCCGTATATACGTTACCAACAGCCTCCTATTCCTTACATAGTACAGACATATACCGCAATTCTCGTATCACCTATGATTGTGGATGGTTGATAGCATGGAATAAAGAAAAGATGGGTCTAGAATTGGTATATATCTTTACTAATTATTATAGGATACCTTACCTTAGGTAAAGAGTTGACCAAATGTATTACACAATCCATGATAGAAGGGCAGGACAATCCCGACTTTCTAAACTCAACTGCAGGTGTTCTTGACGTATGTCGGGCCGGTAATGGCGCTAACGGACTAGCCAACTTTTTTTCTTTTTTTTTTTTTAACTCTTCTAATCCCATTATCAAGCCATAAAAGTAGCCACCTTCCCAGCTTATGTACCACATACATTACATAGGTACCATACATGATACGGCATAGCCACGGAATAAAAAAAATAGGTATGGAGGTAGGTACTTGTGGGAGGCACTTGTCTGGCTTGTGTAAGTACTAAGAGCAGGTTTTGTACTTGTGTAGCTACTTGTGTAGCCAAGCAAGCTTGGCAGGTAAGCCAAGTACCCCTTATGCATTTATTTGCATTTAAATCGGATTGTGGTACACAGTCAGAAACAATAGCCCCTCAGCCCCTCCTTCCTCCGATTGTCATCCTGGGCTGGTCTTGCTGGCTGGCCTGGCAGCTCTGGTGAGGTCCGTCGCCGGACCCCGCCAATAACGAGTCCAATTGCGAAATCCAATTACAAGTCGTGCCATTCCCGTTTGTTCACTCACGTTGTCCATCCAGCCCACGCTGCAGCAGCCCACTTTCTACATTTTTTCAAACGGAGCTGTAACTACCTAAGCTAGTAAGTTACCAGGTACCTACTAGAGCTCTAACCTTACCTGACATTTTTCTGCCTTGTTGAAGCTCAACTTTTTTTTTTTCCTTCCCTCTTCTAACTTCTTCATAAATACCATAAGTCCAACCTCATCCGTCACACCAAGTTCTAACTATATCCTCAAAAAATTGTAAGTTTACAAAGCTTCATTTTTTCTTTTTCCCCCCTTAGCTTCGTGGTGAGAATAAAACAAATAAAATTCACACGCCAATTCCAACATATCTCAATTTCTTCTATTGATGACATCTTGAGAGAAGCTACCCCGCCAACCCACCATCCCACCATTCCATCATCCTTCCCCTCCACTTCTGACGTCCCCTACACTTTTCTGTTTTTGTATCTATCCTCAACTCTTGAGGCATATATCTACACCCAGCATTGAGCCACCTATCAAGGTTATCATTGAGCGAATTTCCAATCTACGTATTTCTTCCTATTAATTGCCCATAATTTCTCTGTAATTTTTTTACTCCCAAGATTCATCCGATTTGAGCCTTTTCCGTAACTAACTCAACACTTTTCTGCAGTAACCCCAACTTTTATTCGGACGTCAATATGGCCATTAAGAAGATCCACGCTCGCTCGGTCTACGACTCTCGAGGCAACCCTACCGTAGAGGTAGACGTTGTCACCGAGACTGGTCTTCACCGCGCTATCGTTCCCTCTGGAGCTTCCACCGGTTCGTGTAATTATAAAGAACCCCTCTCAAGAGATCCTAACCATTAACATCATATAAATAGGTCAGCACGAAGCCTGTGAGCTCCGTGATGGTGACAAGAGCAAGTGGGCCGGCAAGGGTGTTACCAAGGCCGTCGAGAACGTCAACACCGTCATTGCTCCTGCTGTCATCAAGGAGGGTCTTGATGTGAAGGACCAGAGCGCAGTTGACAAGTTCCTCAACAGCCTCGACGGGACACCGAACAAGACGAAGCTTGGCGCTAACGCTATCTTGGGTGTCAGTCTGGCTATTGCCAAGGCTGGTGCTGCTGAGAAGAACGTGCCCCTATACGTTCACGTCTCGGACCTTGCTGGCACCAAGAAGCCCTATGTCCTCCCCGTTCCCTTCCTGAACGTCCTGAACGGTGGTTCTCACGCCGGTGGCCGCTTGGCTTTCCAGGAGTTCATGATCGTTCCTACTGCCGCCCCCAGCTTTTCCGAGGCTCTGCGCTACGGTGCTGAGGTCTACCAGAAGCTCAAGGCTCTTGCCAAGAAGACCTACGGCCAGTCTGCAGGAAACGTCGGTGACGAGGGTGGTGTTGCCCCCGATATTCAGACCGCGGTTGAGGCTCTTGACCTCATCACCAAGGCTATCGAGGAAGCTGGTTACACAGGCAAGGTGAAGATTGCTCTGGACGTGGCTTCCAGCGAATTCTACAAGGAGGACGTCAAGAAGTACGACCTGGACTTCAAGAACCCCGACAGCGATCCCAGCAAGTGGATCACCTACGAGGAGCTCGCTGCTCTGTACAGCGACCTCGTCAAGAAGTACCCCATCATCAGCATTGAGGACCCCTTCGCTGAGGACGACTGGGAGGCGTGGAGCTACTTCTACAAGACCCAAGACATTCAGATCGTCGGTGACGACCTGACTGTCACCAACCCCATCCGTATCAAGAAGGCTATCGAGCTTAAGGCCGCTAACGCCCTACTCCTAAAGGTTAACCAGATCGGAACTCTGACCGAGTCCATCCAGGCTGCCAAGGACTCCTACGCCGACGGCTGGGGTGTCATGGTTTCTCACCGATCCGGTGAGACTGAGGATGTCACCATTGCCGACATCGTCGTCGGTATCCGAGCTGGCCAGATCAAGACCGGTGCTCCTGCCCGATCCGAGCGTCTCGCCAAGCTCAACCAGATCCTCCGCATCGAGGAGGAACTCGGAGACAACGCCGTCTACGCCGGCGAGAACTTCCGCAAGGCTGTCAACCTATAAACGAACAGAAACTTGGGGGAAATAACATCCTATCAACTACCTAACCTAAACCTAAACCTAACATATAATGCTTTACGATCGGAATGACTGGGGGCGGCAGGGTGAGCTCGGGTTAAAAACGGTCACCTAGATTTTTAAGCTACCTAGTTAACTACTAGTAAATTCAAATGAAATGTCTGAACAACTTGATTCGAGTCTGCGACTCTCCTCTTCGACTGCATGCATGTGTATACTTAAGTAGCCTAGCTTTCCCTACCTAGCCAATTGTCTTCCTGCCGTCCAGCCGATGCCGAGAACTAGGCATTAGAACGTAAGCCATTCGGGTGTCTACGCTAATTCCCCGGACGCATATGCGGCTGGAGAGCTTGGTGGTGCTTGGTTTTTCAAGTGCGAAGGCTTTTCGGCTATGGCCTACATTAGGCAGGCATGTATGTATGTAGAACAGAATACCCTAGTTCGTTGGATCGTATATATGTATGACAAAACAGCTAATCTAGGGATTGGCTATGGCTTCGGCATAATGGCTTTACATGAGTTATCGATAAACGGCCTCTTTGCAAGGCAGAGCACAAGAATACATGGGCTAACACGCAGTATATTTGTCTTAGTACCTAGTCTTGATCGATATTAACGAGAATAGTTGTCATATCCTCCTAGGGCTACCTACATAGGCTAGATTTGGTTCTATATTGGAAATATCTATCATGTCTGTAGTTCAAGTTAAGAGTGTTAAGAGCGATAGTCAAAGCTACGGGGCTCACATAATAGCATACTACCTAGGTAGATATGTATAGGAACCGTGAACCTAGTCGGACGAACTTTTCGAATCATCGACGAGAAGTATAAGAACAACGATGAAAGTATTCACAAAAAAAAAAAAAATTACTGTGTGGGTGGACAGAGCAATATCACATCAAAAGGCCCGCCAGCTTCCTCAAATGGCATGATATTATATTACTATGATACTATGTCTACCTGTGATGGCGACTGGGACGACATGATACGAGATAAAGAGATTTATTATATGTAACCAAGACGTGGTACTACATCGCTAGGTAATCAGGCAATAGCATCACGGAATTCATCGACGTAGCCTAGCTACGATAAGGAATCATTCGACAGCTATGAGAAAAGAGCTAGTTCTGGTTTCAAAGTCGCTCCACCTTGTCCGTAGCGTTTCCACTTGATATCTACGTCGGGAGATGCGACTATTACTACTGCTGCTGCTGCTGTACATAATAATGTCATGTACTCTGGAATGAACAACCTGCCCATAATGTTAGCTGAGCTGCGATGACCAGACGAGATCTCATATATAAAAGAAAAACGAAAAGCGATCGATCCGTCTCTGTCAGAAGTCCGTTTAATACATTTCAGGTCCGAGGACCCGATGATATAAGAGGTACCAGAAAATAAAATGTGTAAATGGTGTGTCTCATCATGAGAAAAGGATGCGGAAATAGACGTATTGCCACATCTGAAGTTTTCGACCTGTTCTTTTCTGGGGGAAGTTGGGAAAATGCTTACCTAGAGGATAGACTACAACACACAACGTAAATAAAGCTGCTAAACCAGCTGACTTATTAGAGAATCCATATCGAATCTAGAATTAAGATTCACACATAGCTTTTACCGTCGGATCAAGTTGCTAACGAAAAGCTTTGTTGGCTAGGAGGAAGAAGAAAAAAAGTTGTAAGATGAAGAAGCTACGAAAATTTGTTGTCTTGGACTTTTTTTTTTTGTTGGTCTAGTACTAGACCATCAAGCTAAAACCGGCAAATCTTCGGTTTAGATAACGGCCAGAAAAGTGGACTTAGGTGCACAGACCACCATATACGAAGAGGGCAACCGAAGCTAGCACACAATTTTCACTTGGTATCTTTTTTTCGAAAAATTAAATCTCCAAGTAAAACTTCGTTCACGAACTTCCCACTTCAGCCAATTCCGACAACCACCACCACCACCGACACCGCCTTAAGTCGACAAACACAACATCCGCCAAAATGGGTCGTCTTCACTCCAAGGGAAAGGGTATCTCCGCCTCAGCGCTCCCCTACTCGCGCAACCCGCCTGCCTGGCTCAAGACCACTCCCTCCCAGGTCGAGGAGCAGATCTGCCGTCTCGCCCGTAAGGGTGCTACCCCCTCCCAGATCGGCGTCGTTCTCCGTGACTCCCACGGAATCGCCCAGGTCCGCTTCGTCACTGGTATGAAAAATCCCGTTGTGGTTTTCTCTCCTTTTTTTCAGTTCGCCGATTTGTTTGAATTAAACAATAGCTAACTCCAAAAATTATAGGTAACAAGATCCTCCGAATCCTCAAGTCCAATGGTACGACATGAAAGAACCCTTTACCTCTTACCTTCTCCCCCTCGAAGCCGGCAAAAAAAAAGAGCTGTGCGCGATTCAACAATCGAGATATACATCCATATACCCGTGGAGCGTTCCTAGAAACGCACGCACACCCATGGCAAATCATATAGCAAATGCCGCTTGTTGGTCAAGGCTGACAGCGCGATCTTCATATAGGCCTCGCCCCCGAGATTCCTGAGGATCTGTACATGTTGATCAAGAAGGTGAGTTTTATCCCCCTACCATCGTCTATCCCAAGAGAAAAGGGGGGAAACAATTCCGATATGCTAACGACTATCGCCTACGTCAGGCCGTCTCCGTCCGAAAGCACCTCGAGCGCAACCGCAAGGACAAGGACGCCAAGTTCCGCCTCATTCTGATCGAGTCGCGAATCCACCGTCTTGCCCGCTACTACAAGACCGTCGGTGTCCTCCCCCCTACCTGGAAGTACGAGAGCGCCACCGCCAGCACCATCGTCGCGTAAGTGTAAGCATTAAAACGTTTGGCGTAATTACGCAACGGGCTCTCGCGCAGAGATGGGGATTGGTGTTGCAATGTGGAATTGCCTGGTCTGGTCATGGAGTTCGTGGAAAACGGAAATTGCTTTTTCGGGACAAGCCACAAGAAAGTGATGAGCGTCCCGATTCTGCTTCACTAGGTACCTACCTGTTAGTTGGTAGTAGTCGCACACGATAAAGATAGGCGATGCGAATAAACAATTACACAACAAGAGATCGATACGAGTCTCGCGAAGAACAGTACTGTTATCGTTATTATTATTTGCTTTGGCCCTTAAAAAAGGCTTTCAGTGAATCCTGAGTCCTCCTCCTCTAGTTGCCCTAACAATTCAACAGGAGCGTAGCCTCCCTCGACAGTACCTAACCTAGGTACCTAGTAATAACGTGGGTTCGTTCCTAAAGCAATGATATCATTGTGAAAAGACGCGAAAAAAGTCAATAATGCCTAGTAATCTGCAATGCAGAATCGATTTATTTTTGTGCCCTACCCGCCCTTCCGCGCCATAACTCCGTTCCTGATGCTTGCTTTCCTGTCTGCCTGCTTGCCTATTTATGTCTGGCTGGCTGAGTGGTTGTGCGGCCTAACCTAGTTCGACTTGACGGTCCTCATGACGTCGACTCGAGCTCCTTGGAGCGCTGAAGTAGGTACTCGCCCAGAGCGCGGAGGGGATCTTTCGGCCTGGGGGGATAGGAAACGTAGCGTTAGCATTTGGTATTAGCATTCGCGTAGGTGTGTGTCCAGATAATATCTAGCTGTGTAGTGATGGCCAATCGACTCGATAGGTACCCAAGCATTTTATAGATACGTAGGTAGGTAAATAGAATAGACCCATCGCAGGTTCCATAGCATACATACATACATAGGTACATACATGGACGGTAACTGCCCTTAAAACCAAAACAAAATAAAAGAAAAACACGAAAAGAGGAGGGAGGGGGAGAGAGAGAGAGAGAAAGAGAAGGACTTACTGCTCCTTGGCGATCATCTTCATGCCGTCGAGCAAGGGCCCCGTGACCTTGGAGTTGAGGTACTGGCGGACGGGGGCGCCGTGGGGGGGCGCCTCGGACGGCATGGTGAAGCCCGGGTCCGGGTGCTGGGAGGCGGCGCGAGAGGAGCTGGTGTCCTGCGGTTGGTTGCCGTTGGCGTTGGCGTTGGTGGTGCGGAGAGGGGTGCCGGTGCGAGCGGGAGCAGATGCGGCGGCAGCTGGGCTGGGGCTCGGCGCGTTGTTGTTGTTGTTATTGTTAAAAGTGGTGGTGGTAGTAGCAGCGGGTTCGGTTGTGGTGGGAGCTGGAGACTAGAGAGAGTGTGAGGTGAGCGAGGAGTTGGCTTTGGTTTATTTGGTTTGAGGTTTGGTGGTGGGAGGAATGAGTATGACTGGTTATGTAGGAAGGAAGGTAGGTAGGCAGGTATGTTAGGCAGAAGTGGGAGCTAAGGAACAAACATACCGCTGCGGCTTGTTCAATGGTGGGAGCTGGCGTGTCGCCTGTTGCCGTTGGTGGTGTCGCCGTTGTCGTTGTTATCGTCTCAGTTGCCTGTTGGCCCGCTAGCGCTGGCGAAGCGGCCGGTTGCCCGTAGACATGAGGGACGGGGACAGGTGTCTGGCGGATCTCGTCGGTCATGGTTACGAGGCGGTGGGGGGTGGGGGTGGGTTGTCGTTACGACGGTAGAAAAAAAAAGAGTGTGGTGGTGAAGTTGTTGTAACAAGTGATGGTGAAGATGTACTATGTATTTATTTCGTAGGGAATTAAGGTTTTGTTCGACAATTCGAAGACCAGTATGTGTAAGTACCTAACCTTAGCTAAGGTACTGATCTAATCATACATTTCAAGGTGTAATATGCCGTATTTATTTTCGCAAGATACTTACCAAATACAAACTTCGGTCTCGTGACTGCGCGTTCCCACTTCTTTTTGTTCCTGGCACTAAAATGGAATCCGCGTCCCGCCAACGCGTCTCTTTATATGAAGTCATCTTGTATCTTAATCTTTTTTCTTTTTATTTTCCGCCTCATCCTCACCCAACAAAATGCATCGCCTCCGGGACACGCGATAATGGACGCTTTTCTCATTCGGAAAGCACCTCGATCTAATAATAATGGTTCTGATGATAATGGATCTACCCGTGCGACGAATGAGCCGCCTCTTAAGAAAGTGAAGAGCGATGAGAGTCACGTGGCCAATGAAGAATCAGGTGAAGACTCTAGACCTGGTAGTCCGTCGTTGAAGTCATTGCCGCAGATACGGAGAGTAGATACATCTCTTGCTTCGGACCTTGGTGATGATGAGACGCCCCAAAACTCGGAAGCAGAGACAGAGACCCACGTACCGAGGCGGACCGCTATTGAGGACTCACTGCCCGAAGTTAAGTCTGGAAAAGAAGCTTTGGAAGAATATGAAAGCTTCAGGGCGTCGCAAGAGGTTAAGAGCCCAGAAACTGCTGCGTCAAGGCTGGATTCGAGGAGATGGGTGAGAGGCAAGACCTCGCTCTATGTCGACGCCTTTAACCTTGCTCTCAGCACGGTTCTTGGTGAGGAATCTCACTTATTTGATGAGAAAGAAATGCACATTTTCGATCAATGGGGTGAGCTAAGCTATGAGGCTCAGTTCCTGTATGTGGCTGCAAAACCTGAATGCTTCTCTCGATAACGCTTCTGACTTCGTTTTGATAGCTATGTGCGATTGTTCCTCAGGAAAACCGCATCCTGGCATCGCGTTGCTCGTCTACATTATCATGATGATATTTCAGATACTGAGACAGCCGTCAACGAATTACAGGTGATCCGGGATCTACCAGCCAATTCTTCCAGACCTGGTCCTTCATTTGAATATACGGAGTCGGAACATGATCAAGGTTTGTTTGGTGACAAGTTCAGTTTTGCAGATACATCAGAGCAGTATATTACCAGTGTTGAAGAAGCTGTGGAACTCCTTAGCCTGGAAGAGATTAAAGCCCTGGCCAAAGATGCGAAGGTACAAGGCAAGAACAAGGCTGAGTTGGCGAGATCTATTTGCAGAATGAGCAACCAGCAAGTAGGTCTCTTCTCCTTAGGTCTTCGTCGGTCTAGCACTATCAATTCTCTCGAGTCACCAGGTCGAGATACTCCGGAGGCGGACTCGCCAGCTACAGATATTCGTGAAGATTCCAATAGGAGGAAACATTTTCTTGATAAAATATTGCTTATAGCTGGGCCTTGTATAAGGCTTTCCTTGCCCGTTTTCAGGTTATTTGAGAGGGTTCACCTAGTCTTTTATAGGTCTACCGAATGGACAGAGAAGTCTCTGACCACAATTATTCTTGCGAAAATATCGAAACGCAACTTCCCCAAATACGTTGTTAGCAGGTCTGCAAATATTTTTAGCTCGAGGGGTCAATTATTAGAATTCGAGGCAGCTATGAGACACGAATATGCCGTTGATAGTATCTTAGAGTTTAAAGGACCAGTCACAGAAGTCGGCTTCCGAAAGGTGATAGAAGTTTTTGAGAAAATATACCCGAGGTGGAAGGCTCTTCTTCAGGAGGAGCAGGAGAAAGAAGAGAGAGTCTATGAATCTGGAGAAGGTGCATATTTGAGACGGCTCAACCCCGCCCATTCATACACCCGAATCGTTCATAAAGCAGCTCACGTTTTTGGCCGGTTAAAAGAACATCAACGGGAACATGCACTTCTGACCGAATTACTTGACCAACGTCTCTTCCACTTAGCTCGCCGAGGCTCTTGGTACCAACGAAAGGCTCTACTAGAAGAACACTACATGCATGCGCTGGAGACCGATCCTGCCTATAAGGATACGGAGCTGCAGAAAAAGCATTGGAAACGCATTGCAGCAACCACCTGCGAAACCGCACTGGAGGATCGAGATTGCCATCTCATTTATCATTATGACATACAGAAAAGGTTGGTTAAACTCGAGAAGCAGCTTAAGATTCCAAAGCGTCTACAGCATGATTTCGGCCATGTCCGGCTTCAAAAACCTGAAGAGCATTTTGCCGAAGGAATTCAGATAAAAAAGGACGACGAAGTAGGAAAGAAAGGGCGAGGACCGAGCACCAAAACTATATGGGTGGATGAGGCTGAAGGCGGAGGTGAGTGCAGCGTTGAAGCCATGTGCTTAAGCTGGTACAGGGATAAGGGCTGGAAAGGCTACCATGCCGAAGGAGGCATAGTAAGAACGCTTTTTGCCTACCTCTTTTTCGATATTCTCTTCCTCTACATACCAAACGTTTTCCAGACCCAGTACCAGACCTGCCCGCTAGATCTGCACACCGACGCTTTCTACCCCACTAGAGCTTCCGAGATCAATCACCGCCTAGTTGAGATCGCAAATGGTGATGCGGTGAAACTAATCGAGGAGGTTGACCGGCGAGAACGCGATAATCGCACTTGTGTTGTCGGCCTTAACTGGGATTACGAGTTGGATGACCTCCTCGAGCTAGCTGGCTGCTTCGATGGTGCAGCATTAGCCGCCATATGCAAGGTCATGGCACAGGAATATGGCCAGAGAGGCGGCGGCATTCCAGACCTCATCCTCTGGAGGACAGAACCGAACAAAGAAGTGATGTTCGCCGAGGTTAAGAGTGCCAATGATCGCCTCAGTGATACGCAAAGGTTGTGGATTCATGTCCTAACCGGCGCTGGCGTAAGGGTTGCTCTATGCAACGCCGTGGCAAAAGAAATTAGGGAAGTTGACAGCGACCAACAAAAACCAGTGAGATAGACGCGCAGACGAAAATAACAAGAGACCACGGATAGGTCTCTTTCTACGATGGCTTTTGGTGGCGCGTTGGTGGCATTCACGCGTGGGGGGCGGGGGATGTGAGCATGTATAGGCCATACACGAACAAGTCGAATTCTCACCTCAAGCAGTCTGTACGTATGCCCTAGACGCAGCTCCAGAATCATGCGAGACTTACATGAGACGCAAGCCAGGGTAGAAATGATTTACTACCGACGCAATCCGATTAGTTCGTGAGCCGTCCCATCCAAAGATCGCGAAAAGAGCGACAGACGAATCAGCAGTACCGCACCAGTAGCCACCGCTCGGAATAGGTAGCTGAACTACTCATGAATATGACTTGTACCACCTATTCATGACTCTTGTCTAGTCTCATTGACCGTGTCAAAAGCAGATCGGATATATTTCACTTTTACTTATCCAGACTATACAAATGGCGGTCAATAACTCGCGCAGCGGAGCCATGCTACTCAAATGCATATATTAAATGCCAATGTGGATACTTGAGCAGCCGACATGAGTGCGAAGTACGTCGCGATGCGTCGGTATACTCGAGGTATGAGGTACTTCGTCTGAATAGGCGTGTCATTAAGCGTATATTCCAACCCCTTTGGACTTTTGGTAACGACATCATGATTGTTACCAGCTGTAGGCGTTGGTTCTCGACGGCGACAAAGACGACATAAGCGTCCCTCTGCTGGCGGTAAACGCAATATGCACGCAATACTCAACAGCTTGAGCAGAGTTATGCGCACGTATACCTGCCAATACCTCAGCTCAAGGCATCTTACGCGTAAAAATAACTGCCGTGATAGTTCAGATGACTGCCACGTATCTAGCTTTGCTTGCAACTCTCTCTACGCGCCTATGCAAGTATGTGATAGAACGTATCATAGATCACTCTAGAGAAAATATGTAAACAAAGATCCTGGAGATCGACCCGGTTAGTCGACGGCACCGGCTCCTTCTCCAGTGTAGGTCGACATATCTGTCAAGCCTTGTATCCATCTAGACAAGCTAACGGTTGCGTGACCTCGTGGAGTGGGATCTATGTGAAGCCGCGCAGACACTAGGACCAGTAGTCTAGTCTTGACATTGCCATTCCAGCCTATGGCGAATTCGGATGCTACGGCGGCATCCATCATTCTCTGCTAAAACCCAATGAAGATATTCCTACTTCCAACAATAACAATAATAAACAAAAAAAAATCGACCAACAACTCCACGGAATCGGCACTGCGATAATCGCCACACACTAGTTCATATTAGCTCCATCTCTATTGACGAGAAGCTGAGATCCACGTTGCGATAAACATGAGAGTTGATGCCTGTTTGTCATTGCCGAAGATTATATCGGCATCTGGTTACAGATGAAGACCAACACTCGATGACATGGCCGAGCTATCTCCAATACGGCCTTGTTGTCCGCATATTGAGGCCCTTTAGCTCGCCCACTAGTGCTCAAGTTAGGCGCAGCCGCTTCCCGCAGCATGGCGACGACACCAACATCTTAGCAATGTTGTCGGCGAAGCTATATCGTAAGCGCGCAAAGGCGACTAAAGGGGAAACTTTTGAGGAATAGTTGGCGTGGGAATTAGCATGGTTAACCGGCGCTTAGTTGGGGGGCACAGCGCCTCCACAGCATTGGGTTACTTGGCAAATCTGACTGGCATAGAAGGTTTCTAGATGAACTTAACTTCAAGTTAGAAGGATTGTTTATCGTTTTGAGGATCTTGCGCTCCGGAGTCATAACTAGATAGACCCCCTTTCCTTTTGGCTGGCGCCCGCACTCCAGTGCCGTGGAAGCGCGCGCTGGGGGACATCGAAAATAGGATATTGAAAAGCTGTTATGGTGGATTGTAAACTCGAACCCCCAAGATAGACTTCGTACAGGAGCTCCTGGCCAACAGTAGCTCGAGGATGTCCTCGATCTATGTCGTGCATCATGTGGCGCGCGCTCCGCTCAGGTCCAGCTAATACAAGGAGCCGCAAAATAGAACAGAGGATCTATTCATGAGAAATAGATGGTTTCGAACTGAGCAAATCAAGTAAAAAACAAAGCGGACATGGCGAGCCGCGCGCTGGATGAAGCAGGAGAGTGGAATGTAGAGCGGGATATGAGAATTGTCGAAGATTACGAACAGGCGTAAGAGATAATTAGAATCCGTACATAAACGAGGCCTCGTCCCCGGACTTTACACCACGATCATGTCCCTGAATAGCAACAATTGAGTGATACCATAGCGGAAAGAGTCTTGGCTAAGATCCTCGATATCTGAAACAACAAGTTCTGAAAATATCTTACCTTTTACCCACGTACGACGCTACATAATATCTGCACCAGCACCAGCATCAGCACTCCCCCTCATCGACGGTCATCCCCGTGATCCACTCTTTCAGCTCGCTCAGCTTAACCTCTAATTACCAGGTCTCAAGCTGACAGTAACACGAAATTTTACTCTTTTTACTCTCTTTTCTCTTTTGTGCGTTTGTGCACAAAGGTTTTACTGTGGTAGCTAAGTCACCGGAACAAATAGCCGCTCGAGGTTTTTAAGTCAAGGTGAGTAATGAGTGGGTGAATAACGACGGTAGTGGTTGTTCTCCGTGACGGGAAGGGAAAAATAGAAGACAGGGGGGGAAGTCGAGGGGAAGGTCAAATCAGGAGAGTGGGCAACTCGGAACGGCGCTAATCAAGAGCCAAATATAGCAAATACACAGTAGCGGCAGCGCTTAAACCCCAAGTACCGAATACCTCCGAACCACTTAGACTCACCAGCGCGATCCCGGGATATTGCGCCTGGCAGACCGTACCGACCGGGGCAGTCCGACCAATCAGACTTCGGATTAGCTACGCACTTATACAGAGCTAGCTTAAGTCGACGATAACCCCAGTTAAGGTAACTTATACCTTTGGGAAAGAGAGAGAGAGGAGAGACTTCCATTTTATTTGGGTTTTATTTTATCCTTTTTAAGGGGTAAATCATTTTTAAGCAGGATGTAAGTCAAAGTTGCTCTTTCTTCCAAAGTACGAAGTATATACATTGGGAATATTAGGAATGTTCCTATGTTCCTACCTCCTTCCAATATTTCCTAGTGTACCTACGAAGTATAGGTATCGTTTTAGATCACAGATCACCTTCAGGCCCCCCCTTCACAATCTAAGCTTTTTCTTCACACGCAACTCTTCACATACATACCCCTTCTTCCTCTGCAACCTTGACCCAATTCAACACAACCCAAATTAATCTAGACTAATCAAGGGATAGAGTCAGAGTCAGCAGTACAGAAAAAAGTAACCTAACTACCTACAATTACTCAATTGTACATATTGTACATATTGTACATATTGTACGTATAATTGATAGTTGTAAAAGGGTTGATTCTTTAAAAGGCACCTGATCCTTGTCGCTCTATTCGCAGCCAATCCGCAGCCAATCCTGAGACGCCTTCACTTTACACTTCTACCACTGGTCCACTACTACCGCTGTCTTGGATTGAAGCTTGACCTTGCTCTATTCTTCGCGCGCCAACATTAACTATTTATTTTTTTTGTCCCTCGTCCTCTCCACTACTCGGGCCACAAGTCGACGTCCCTTGTTCGCAAATTGGCGTTTGTCTACAGCGCGTACGAATAATAATAAACATAGTACAAATACATGCGCCCCGTTGTTACCAGGAACCTTAGGAACCTTGGAAAAGACGCCCACCCCGTCCAAGCTCAGGCATACCCGGGGACTCAAAACTCTTGGAGACTTCTTGGAGCCACACCCCTACCTCCCCTACCTTACATAGTAAAAAGCCTTAACCCTACCTTGGATCTGTCACATCGATTCTAGTGTCCCTAGCCGGGAAGTAGCTTAGCTTCCCGTTGGCGCCTTTGTCTCAGCATCGACAAGGTACTCTGCCACGGTTGCTTGCCTATCCCCATTATCCCTGTCCACCACGCAGCAACCTTATCCTTGACCCGCCAGAGTTACATATTATAACAACCGTCATTCCCTCTCACCCACGGCGCATCTCTTTTCTCGATCCTTTCCTCTATCACGGCGACTTCTCTGCAGCTCGTAGGCATCCCGTCTTCTTCACCCTTCCGAGTCATTCACTTGACTTGAAGCTATTCAACAATCAACTTTCTCCTTAATTACCACTTTGACACAATCAACCATGCCTTCAGTCAAGCCGAAGCTCGCGCAGCTAAAGACGCCGGTCACGGCAACCTTCCCTTCGGAGCTCTCTGCTCTGTCGGCCAAGACACCTCTCTCAGCCGTCCCGGACTTTATCAAGGAGGAGTACCCTAACGGTGCAAAGACCCCTATCACTCCACCTACGGCTTATATGGATTTCTTGAAGGCTATGTCCATGCCTTCACCACTCATCCCGGGGAAGAGATCGGGAACGAGCAGCCCTGACGATGACTCGACGCAGGATTCGGTTCCGTCTACTGCAAGCAGCGAACAGACAGACTGTTCGTGCAAGTGCGGCAACCGTAAGTCGCTAACTAGCTTCCCCACAAGCCCTCTCCCAAGCCAGCCTATGTCTGCACCACCAGCGGGAGTAACATCGTTCCCGAGCCTTTACATGCCTCCATCCCCGGCTATGTCAACGATAGATTCGCCGCTGAGTTCGGCAGCACGATCTCCGTTCAGCGCAAGATCGGTGCGATCACCATTTGACTGGGAAGCGGCATTGAAGTCTAGGTACTCGCAGGGTTGCAGGGCGCACAAATCGTCAGCCAAGAGTGTACGTCATATTAGGGAGGTTGTCACGAGGACCGTTACATATACGCCAAAGATGGAACCGGCGCCCAAGGGCAAGCGGAGGAAGACAACGCATCTGGACTGTTCTAAGGTCCAGGCAGCGGCCGCGGCGGCAGCAGCAGGCCGGACAAACACTGTTTAAGCACTTGATTTCAACCATCTCACCACAATTACTTACCTTGGGTATTCAACCACGAACGAACTAAAATCACGACACACAACCCCTTAATTCTATTTTGGCCTCTACGCCAGGAATTGAAACTTAGCTTCCATTTGTTCATATCTATCACCCCCTCTCACTCACTCATTCACACGCTCACACGCGCATTACCGACTTACTCGTTCTCTCTCTACATCTCTATCTCCTTCTCCGATATACTTATATCAGTATCAAATTAACAACGAAACCACCGTTGGGATCGATGGACCATTCATATCCAGCAAACTTGATTTAAAAACGGTGGAGACGACTTTATGGCTTCTTATGATCTAGATCCATGGCGTATCTGGCATTACAAAGAGGGGGTTTTTTTGGGTGGATTTCTGTTAAGAAACTATGACGGAGTTTATTGGCGTTTTTACTGGTGGGCATCAGCAATCCTGGGAATCGGAGGCTTGCGCAGCGATACCACGGAATTTTGGATCGCTTTTATTATTATTTTTATTTTTTCATGTATAGGCACAGGCGGGTGGTGCCCCTTTGTGGAAAGGGGGACCAAGGGGAGCGTGGCGAGGGAGCAAATACCGATAGGTTGCTGTGTGATAGGACCGGGTGGAAAGGTTTTGGTGTAGCCAACTTTCACGCAATACATGGCATCCCTTAGCTTAGTAGAGCTTAGTGCCCAAACAATAACAATACGTGTTTGACGAAGAATTGGTCTATAGGCGGGCCCCAACGTGAGAATTACCTTTTTTTCATTCTGCGAGTTTTTGTTTATTTATTTGTGTATGTATTCGTATGGAGTTTGTATGGAGTCGCAGACGGGAACGGACGGTGGACGTTGTTTTCCCTCTTGCCGCTAAGGCGACCTAGAATGCGGCCGGGAGGTTGGGCTCGTAAGCGTTGACGATTCGTCCGTTTGGCCTGAAGCCAAGTTTCGGTCAAGGACGCGGTCGTCGTTGGTGGCCCTCATCCCGCTGCCTCCGCTTTTGCTCTCTCTCTTTCTCACTCACACACACACACATTCTCTCTTTCTGGCTGGCTATCTGTATCTCTCTCTCTCTGATTTCACTCGCACAAAAAAAAGCTCACACTCGCACAACACACGGACTTTTTAATTGTTGTGACCACGCGAACTGTCCGCGGTAACGTGGGAAAGCCAACCGAGATCGAGAAGGTGCTTGACCAAGATCGCCCACGCGCGCACATACATACCTCATACATACATACACTACACACACGTACCTATACACACGTACACACGCACACACTTTATTTATTTATTTTATTTTTCTTTGCTCTTACTCTACTATTACGTAGTATATCACCGTCACGAGGTGGCTGTTTCATTAACAGAGAGGCCTCGTGAGCACAACGTATACTTACCTCTTACATACATACAACTTACCTGGTAACTGGGTTAAGAAGAAGACTCCGGCTTGGTTCTGCTTGTGCTAGCTACCTAGCTACCTCTCTTACTATTACTATTACCTACATAGTACTACCGCTTACGGCATTAACATTTCTAGGACGTGTCTGTCGTCTTGGCTAGGTATCTCCGCTAGCTAGAGAAGCAGGCTACCGTGGCTTAACTTTTTACCTGCCTACCTCTTAGACTTATACCTACGTACTTACAACTTACATACTTGCTACACGCCTTAGCACACCTCGACGCAGCGTACCAGGTATGTCCTATCCAGTAGGTTAGGTAGGTCTTACCTATTATATGCGCTAGGTATGTACCTAAGTATACTTCGCGACGCCCGACTGCTGTGCCTTTTACACACGATTGGTCGGTTTGTGCGTCCCGACATCCTGGGACTTGCATGGCGGGGCTCTCTCGACGAGGGGTGGTGGGCAGCACAAGGACAGGACAGGGATGCCAATTTCTTAGAGGACCTAAAGGAAAGAAAGAGCAAAAAAAGATCACAGAGAAGAAGAGACGAGTCACGAAAGAGAGAGTGAGTTTTCTACTAGTTCGGTTTCGCGTTAGCGTGGGCTACGACGCTATAAGCGGCATCACGGCAGCACAGTAACACAGTAGGTAGCACAGCAGCAGCAGCAAAAAAAAAAAGTTAAGCTCTAATGTCTTTTAAGGAAGAAGTTAGCAGCAGCAGCAGCAGCCCCGGGCGCGCAATCTTCAACTTTTTTTTTTTTGTGCTTTTAAGCGCTGGAGTCCCATCGCACCGAGGTCGCGACCCCATTGGCTAGAAACCTTAGCCTTAGCTTTTTTTTTCACAAAGGGGAAAGGCCTATGATTGGGAAGGGGGGAGGGAGTGTGTCATGCAGCGGTTCGAACTCGGTTCCCGCTTCGCTATTGGTTGCGCTGGGGTCCAGTTAAGCGCCCGCGACCTTTTTGCTTGTTGGATTGTACCTTTTTTAGTTTCCTTTTTTTTCTCTTTTGAGGTTGAATACAGAGGTTGATACATACAGTAAAACCTCGCCATAGCGAAGCTACAGTATAACGAATTCATGCCTTAACGAATTAAAGTCCCTGTTTTTTGATTTTTGTATGCAATTTAACGAATTTTAATTGTTATCGAATTTCGTTAGAATTTGGCTTAGTCACCACCAATTCGTTATGGAGTAAGTACGAAGGGCCGGGCCAAAAGTCTTGCACATGCCAAGCTTTTAGTCGCGGGAATTTAACGTGCACAATTATAATAGCACTGTATTGACTTAGTACTAATTCTGGGGGAGGATAGTAGCTTGTATGCTGTATTTTAGGGGGCTTACCACTATAGCTACAGGGGAGCTAGCTGCTATTGGTAGATCTGACACCGTATAGCCTTCTTTATTAACACATACTAAAGTGGGTAGCTTACCTAAGCGAGGATGTGCAAGACTTTTGGCCCGGCCCTTCGTAACGTTATACCTTTTTAAAATAGCGCTAAGCCATTTTGGGAAAGAATATCCCTAATTCCGCTTAACTTTTTACCTTTTCCAAGCTTTTCAAGCATGTTTAGGTACGTACCTAATGCGCGTTCCCTTTTTGGGACTAGCTCCATTTTACTACTTAGAACGAATTCAAGCCATAACGAATTAGAATCACTGTTTTTTGACATTCGTTATGGCAAGGTTTTACTGTACTTCTAACAATACCTACCTCCTACTCTACTTACAACGTAGAGGTGGTCTGAGTAGGCAGTGCTTCTTCCTTTCCTCTTGTTTCATCCCCAGATCTTCATCCGCCGGCCCCCTCCTCGAAACGGGCGTTACGATCCCGCCGGGAGGAAAGCAGGCAGATACACGGATGGAGAAATATATTAGATATATACCTACCTACCTACATACTATACAATACCTATATATCTTTAGTTGTTGCACTGGACAACTGCAGGGTAAATACCTAAGTTAGGTACGGTATGGTATGTACGGGGGAAACCGGGGTTTTCCTCTGTTTTTTCTCTCTTTTACTGCGTTGGGAATATGAAAGAAAGAAACCAAACCAAACCAACCCCCTTTCCCCCTTCGATCGACCAGCGGTGAGGATGTATATGAGAAAAGCCTTTTTTGTTATTGTTATTGTTATTGTTCGTGTCTCTCTCTCATTTTCCTTTTTGCCTGCTGCGACGCGGACGGCCGCCGCCGAAGTGGCCATCCAACCCGGGGGGGCCAGATGTTCAAGGTGCTCTCTCTCTCCCTACAAACGGCAACCGGGCGAAAACATACATACGCCCGTATACGCGCCGCGGAAGTGGATAACATACTATAGCACTATAGCGCCAACAGGCAAAGTAGGTACCTACCTAGATTGGGATCTCGCTCGCCAAGACCTGAGAGAACCCCCTCCCCCAAATGTGACGAGGAAGGATATTGATGCCGGTTGCTTTGCTTGATCACCACCAAGGCGAGCTCGAGCACAGCAAATATGTGCAATACGCAACATATATACGTACATATATACGTACATACATACACACATACCTCCAGGTCAATGCGTTATATCACACCCGTGGAAACGGTAGCAGTGCGCCGTTCTGTCACGCATCGGGGTAGACGACAGAAAAAAAAATTGTGACGAGGGCCGCAGTAGTCTCTCTATATGCCTTACCTTACCTCATTAATATCCCGCGCCGTAACTCTTTTTAACTTCTATCCAGATTGAGCGGTCGGGTCGGGCTTGTCCTCCTTATATCGAAAGTCCATTACCGGATCTCTTATCCGATATATTAATATCTGAATGTATATGTGCCGTATATGCGCGTGCGCGTGCGCGTACGTACGTAGTATATCCGAATTCTATTACATACCTAGTTGGCCTGGCAGCAAATAACCATCGACCTATCGTGAAGCTCGGATATCTATCACAATTCCAATCGAGAGGGAGAGGGAGAAAGAGAGATCCTTTTACCCTGGCTAGTTAGTTTAGGTAATTAGTCCCAATCGACGCGTTGTTCTGGAAGAGGAGCAAAGAAGATGGTTATTCTCCGACACGGCCAACGCCAACCCCTTCGCGCCCTGATCGTCGTCCGTGCCCCTCTCCCCTCCCCAACCCGTGGGGATCTATATTAAAGTCCCGTTATTGCTGTGATTATCTACTACAACCACATACTGCACCGTACCTCTCGACACCGCTTAGTTACCTGTGTAAAAGCCTCTCGAAAAGAGGGCTCGCCGCAGTCAAAAATCTACCTAGGTCTAGGTAGGGTTTAATACCGGTGCTCTACGTACGATGAGCGAACTCTTTTCCTATCATTATTCATCAGAAACTATCAGTATTGCACTGTTATCTTGCCCCTCTATGTACCTCTACCTAAGGTACTGACCTAATGTAAGTTTGCGGCGAAGGCATATGCATGTAAGATGAGGCTTTTTTTTCTTCTTCCAATGCTAGGTATCTCATTCTATCCCTCTCTCTCTTCCCCAAGATAGAAAGACCCTTTCCCGACGAACGGTCTTGTCTCGCACGTGGGAAGAAACACGCTTATGATGTATCCCTGGTTTGGTTCTGACGGGTCCTCACCGCAACGCAATACCCCCACGACTTGGACTAGAACTAACCTAGGTATTATGCATACCTACTTATGGTAGGTATATCAGAGATGCGAAACGACGCGTTGTGGATTCGCGATGGATGATTTTTTTTTCTTCTTTGTTTTTTCTTTGGGTGGTTACTGATAATCTATTTAGGTACATCATACCAGGTAGCCTTTCTCCTTTTTTCTTTTTTTGCGTGTGTGTTTTACTTGCGTCTGGTGCTTACGCCGCACGTTCCCGCCGCAGCCTCGCATGGCCTCGGTGTCTCGTGCCTGCAGTTGCTTCACTCAGACCTCTCTCTCTCTCTCTCTCTCTGGTATGGAGTACCTACCTACCACTATTGTGGGTTTCGAGGACGGGGAAATTCAGCGAGGAAATAGTGTAATGTTGACTCGTAGCGACTTTTTTGTAAGTATTACTTAGTGCATAGATAGGTACCTACATATTATGATATCTAATCCTTGACCGGCTGTATGTATTGTACCTATTACTTACTTCGGCCGGTTAGCTTGCCGGCGGAATTTCAACTCGCCTTGGCTTCGCTTAAGAGCCGTGCGTAAGGCTTTTTCGGCTCGTGCCGGTGCCGTATTCTCTACCCCCTCCCCCTCTCCCTCCCCCCGCGTATTCTAGGCAACTTTTCGCATATAAAGACGAGAAGAGGGAGGGAAGGACGGGGTTGAGGGCACATACCTAATACTGGCTATCTATCTTCTTTCCCGTCTGACTCACGTATCCTTGCGATGCTGTCGAAGAGCTGAAAGAGCCCGGCTGCCTATTCGCAGGCTCCACTTGTACTGCGCCTAGGTATTCTCTCGTGCGGGATAAGTCCTGCGTATTACCTATCTTGTCGCCTATCCAGGTGCACGCAGCACGGGTCGTTGGAGATGATGCCTCTACGAGCAGCTACTTCGGTACTGTACCTATGCATATTGAAACGGATGCCGCTGTTTGCCGACGAATGGGATCGTGGGTGGTAAGGGTACCTTAGGTAGGTATGTATGAGACTTGGGTATGTGTACTTACGTCTGAAGTGAGTCAATCGAGAGTCTGAGCGTTGCTACCAGAGGTACCTAGGTAGTCGCGGCGTCGATCGGGCCTGGCAGCGCCTTGCGGGCTAGTGTAAGGTAGGTAGGCAGCAGCTGTCTGTGCTTCAGCACCAGATCGCCAAGGGGGGAAGGGGGGAAGGGGGGGAGGTCACAAAATGGCCCCCAAATCCTCACCTGCCATATCGGTTCGTCGAGCAGCAACAGCAGCAGTTTGGAAGTGGCATGTCCTTAGGACTGTAAGGGGTGCGCGGGGATGCGTCTTCTCTTCCCCGCCAGCTGGTGCGTTTTTTGATGACATCCCTACTCGGGGTGACTCACCTTAATGAGATGAGGAGGTAGAGGTTCGTTTACCTATCGGCTCTTGGTATAGATGTACCTACCAGGTATGTACTAAGGCGAGAGACGTCAGTGAGTATAGAGCAGCCTCTGTCACAAGTGCTGGTTAATGTTTTATCCCAAGATGATGCATAAAGCTAAACTGAGGTAGTTAGTTAAATATACTCCGTGAGATGTTATACCTATCTGTCATATGCCCCCCTTTCTCCAGGGGAGACATTGTCCAAATACATAGTAGGTACGGGCATTGTTCACCCAGGAAGCCATGTGAGAACATAAGCGAGGAGTGAGGACAAGGTCTCCTTGAAGCTTGAAGAACTATATGAACTCAATCAGCTAGTTAACACTAGGTCGCTAAGATAGCTGGGAGCTCTTTTTCTTATATGACTTTAACGTTATGTTAGGTAGGGATATGAGTACCTAGGTGATCTCTTTCATGAAGCGTCTTGGTGCTGTCTTTCTTGGAAGTAGAGCCAGTTTCATAAGGGGCTTAATAGGGGCTCTCTCATAACCCAAAGTCTAAGCTAATCGCCTATTGTCAGGTATGATGCCCTTGATGGGCATCATAGAGTGCCAGAGCCGTACGTGCAGTATTTTGTAGTGATCTAGTGGCTCCTGGGCTTCCATCCTCTTACGAGTGATCTAACTACCCTTTATACAGACGGTATACCCTTGCTATACCCACGTACTCCTCATACCCCTGATACCGACGAAGTAGCTTGTTTAGTTGCTAAAAACTCGACTAAGGATTTGCTAGTACATGTTCTGGTTTATACGAGATTTTGGTGGTGTCAGGAGTATGTAGTTATGACAAGGAATATACTGGCTGGAATGGGGGTTTACTGGTTATACAAGGGGTAGACACATCCCTCGTAAGAGGATAGAAGGCCAGCCGTCGCTGAATTAACCCAATATGCTCTATGTAGAACCTTGACATTTGCTCCGTATATGACATCTATCTAGGAGATAATCCTCCTCATGACAGCTAGCCTTGATGCACACTATTATGGATCAGCCAGTTTACAGATGGAAGACTTGAAACAGGCTCGCTATATCGGTATCGCCATATCTACATATATGTGTCATTAGGATAGTCTATTTTAGCTCACTAGCATGTGTTTCATGATTATCGAAAATGGAAGTGTCTTTGTCACGGTACTGTCCTTATAGGTGAAGATAGCATCGTCAACCCCTCGAGTTGACATTGATCTACGTTTTGGTAGTGTAGCGGTTCGATAGCTATCTTCTGAACTGTTACAGCCTTATTACTAGTTGGTACTTCAACAGATAAGTTACCGGCATGGTCGATCTGATTGAAATAGGGGTAAGGCAAAGTGGCAGTCCCGTATGTATCCTACAGGTTTTAGCAAGAAAACATCTAACCGTAAATTAATAAGAGTTACGTATTGAAACTGTTTTTTCCATCGGAAACTCTTCTGGACCAGGCGCTACATTGTCTTTACCAATCTTCTGTATGTTTATCGTCGCTATTCTCTGTTAGTTAGACCTGCCTATGGCATCTACGCAGGTAGCTCAAAGTTAGAGACTAGGAGCCATACATTGATACATTAGATCTATGTTCTAGTCGCTAGTATCATAGATTATACAAGAGTCATTACGATGTCTTGTGAAACGTTAGGGCTTAACGGCTTTATTATCGCACTAGGAGGTATGCATTAACAGAGGGAATCTAAGCGATTCACTCACCAGATTGTGACAGTAGACAGCTTTATAAGACAATGTAAGTGATATGTTTGGTCATTGTTGGCTGTTATGGGAACTGTATCGTTTAGAAAGTAATTTAGTCTTTCCGAAGACTTCAGCTGTACATGCTTGAATGGCTAATTATTTACATATTTTCAAGAACGATAGAAGGAATTTTGGGATTGACTTGCGCATCTTCCATTGAGGCTTTACCCCTCTGTCTCTCAGAGTTGTCGTCTTGACTCAAGCGCTTCTACACGATGAGGCTTTGCTAAGATTTACGAATGTAACTCGATCTACACTATGGAAAGAATACAGCTGCTCTATGCCTAAACACGGAGAAGTTTAGAAGTGACTGAAAACAACTTGCTACCATTGCTTATGGTTACAAGTGGAGAACCATTCCGATCACCCGTACTCACCTTTTGTATGACACGGTATGAGTGGCCAGTAATCAGATCACACCAAACACGTAAGTTTCGTCAATCACTAATTGTACCTACTTTGAGGCGGTCTCATAGCACATATGTCCATTCGTAATGTTTTTCACCTAGGTAGGTAGGTACCTAAGGCAAACTGAAGACTCCATACCTCAACAGGAGATGGGAAATGGCACTCGAAGGTCACTTATACAATAGTCTCTTATCCCCGGGAGGATATAACGCATTACGATCAAGAAGCTAAAGGCTTAAGAAGAAAGTATTATCTCCATCTGGTTAATGGCGCCAAAAGGTTATTTCGGTGCAGATGTTGTCTATCTAGTTTAACCTGGTGTCTTATGGGCTGGTGACAGCAGCCAACATGAAGACCCACTGGCATGCGAGAATATGAATACCTATAATAGAACCCTAGACAAAGGGTTGCAACGCATGGGCCGCACACAATTAATTATATTTTGCCTATATAGCCCCAAGATTGAGCACATCCCCGTAATAGGCCTGCTAGCCAATCACGAACCGGCAGGATAGGTAGTAAATGACCTGCATAGTCTCATGAGTATAACTATTAATACCTTTGACAACAAAAGGTAGTTGAAGGCTAAAGAACTAAGGATTAAGAAGTTTTCTCTTGGAAGATATCACACTATGCGTATGCTATCATGATATGATCAGTGTCATGCCTCTTCACTTGAGGTACCGCGTTTCCCTCAGTAAACAGGTAAGTACCGACAGGTAAATGAACTGAATATGCGCGAGTCGGTCTCCCTCTAATATGGATGGTGTAGGTTATTATATCGATGCTAATAATCAAGTTAACATGCGGAATATCTGGTCAACTACCTTCGTCAAAATGACAAGTGACATTGGCTCTAGTTCAGGGGCACTAAGACATATCATTATGCAATGAATTAACATAGCGCGTGGATTTACAAATCTAGCTGCAATTATACAATTGCCAAAAAGTTGAGAA